AAGCGACGCTTGTGCTCTCTTGATATCCAATCATTGGACCGCCCTGGGAAGCAGGCTTTGATTTCTTCTAGGTGTCGCTCAATGAATGGCTCAACGATAGCGAGCTGTTGAAGAACGCTGTTGTGTGCCGCGGACACCTTTTTGTAATCATTATCGAAGAACTGCTTCCTACCAACAGTACCCCTTCCAGACAATCTACCTTCATGTCGATGAACAGGAATGCCAATGGCATTAGCATCCTTTATGTAGTCCATACAACACTCGACTGCCTCTTCAGTTGTGTATCCCTCTATCATTGATCCTTCCGGGTGAGCGCGATTGCGTACATAGCCTTTGAGGATCGACATGTAACGCTCATAGGCCCACATCTGATGTAAGTATAATGGACCAAGTTCAATAATCTGAGGGACGATGTGAACGATCAAATGCTCCATCATATCTAAAAATGATGGTGCGAAATACATCTCAAGCTGGCATACAGTCTCGACGGCAAATGTCTGAAGCGGACCTAATTCCAAAGGATCAAATACCTTCTGTGAAATTCGATTGAAAAAGTAGCACAACTTTGTTATAACCACCTTTGTATGGACTGGTTTGACTGCCCTTATAGCAATTGGTAGGAACACCGTTAGCAACCTATGACAGTCATACGCATTGTATCCCGAAATGGACAAATCCTTCATTGATACTAGCTTCCTGATGTTCGATGCGAAACCAGTAGGCACTCTAACCCCTTGTAAACATTTACAGAAGGCTTTTTTCTCTTCAAGTGTCAACGAGTAACAAGCAGGAGGAATCTCGGTCTTCCCATTTGGCAGCACTACTGGGTGAAGGTCATGCCGTATGGACAAATCTACAAGGTCGTTACGTGACTTCAATCCATCCTTCGTTTTACTCGGGATGTCCAGCAATGTGCCAACGGTGCTATCAAACACGTTCTTCTCGAGGTGCATAACATCAATTGCATGTCGAATCTCTAGGTCCTTCTAGTAATCTAAGTATTTAAAGAAAATTGAGTGCTTCTTGAAAGGCGACGTAGTACCGTTGTCACCATCAGCTTTCTTCCTCTTTACTGTCTTCTTCTTTCCCTTTCCATATACAACCTTAATCTTCTTTGTTATCTCATACACGTATGTACCACCTCTTGCTACTGGGGCAGTGTCATTCTCCACTGTATTATCGAACAATCTAGCCATCTTATGGTACCTATGTCTTTGTGGTAGGAACCGTCGATGTCGCATGTACACTGTCTTCAAAGACGACGTCAGGTATTTGTATGAAGTTTTCTCCAGACATATCAGACATCCAGTCTTCCCTTTAATCTGCCCAGATAATGAAAAGTTTGCAGGTAGGTCATTGATGGTAACGAATATGATCGCACGTAGATTGAAGTGCTCCCGCTTAAACTCATCCCATAGTCGTAACCCCTCTTTCCAAAGCTCCTCCATGTCCTCCATCAAAGGCTCAAGGAAAACATCTATGTCGATTCCAGGTTGGTTTGGACCTTGTATGAGGATAGTGAGTAGAATGTACTTTCGTTTTTGACATATCCATGTTGGAAGATTATACATTGTGAGAAGGACTGGCCATGTGCTGTGCGAGCTGCTTAAGTCACCAAACGGGTTCATTCCATCAGTGCTCAACGCAAACCTTACATTCCTAGGATCCTTAGCAAATTCTGGGTGTTTTGCATCAAATGTCTTCCACTGGCGAGCGTCGACGGGATGTCGAATCATACCATCTATTTTTCGGCTCTCTTGATGCCATATCATCAACTCAGCATCAGTCGGGTTTGAGTACAGACGCTTCAGGCGGTCCTTAATTGGTAGGTACCACATCACCATTGAAGGAATCTTCCCGCGCTTACCCTTATCAGAATCTGGATCGGTACACTCTGAATCTACGGGCCCATTCCCCGTTTTATACCGACTTGTGCCACACGTTGGGCAACATTCCAATTCCGCATATTCTTTACGGTATAATATGCAGTGATTCTTACAAGCATGAATCTTTTCTACACCAAGAGATAAAGGACATATGAGTTTCTTCGCTTGATACGTGTTCGATGATACAAAGTTAGGCTTAGGAAGCAACACACGCAACAAACTCATCAGATCATTAAAACTTGTGTCCGACCATCCATGTTTAGCCTTCAATCTCAGAAGTTCAAGCACTGAACGCAAGACTGTGAAATCCTTATCACATCCCTTCGTTTCATCGTAAAGAAGATCCTTCGATGCCTTCTCTAATGCCTGCCAATTCTCCAATCCTCGTGACCTGCCCGCTAGCACCTCTGGTTCAACATGGCGTAGCATATCCTCTAAATCAAAACCACCATCGAAATCATCACTATCGGTGGAAACATCGACAACCATTCTTTCACGCGACATGTCTTCGATTATAAAATTCTCTGCCTCATTCATCTCGAAACTTAACTCTTCATCGTCATCTTCCGGATTGGCGAATTCCCCGTGATAGGTCCAAACCTTGTAGTTGGCGGTGAATCCGTACTCCATTATGTGACCCAATATTTCACCAGGATCTACCAACAATTTCTGATTCTTGCAATGACGGCACGGACAAAAGATCTTTGTCATATTCTCCCTCAAAGCATGCTCCTTAGCCTGATCAATAAATTTAGATGCTTCCTTAATAAATATCGGCTGCGTTCTCCGCATCTCATACATCCATGACGACCGATCCATCTAATTATATAAAGGCAAAAAAGTTACAGATAAAAAAATAGACCGCAGGTATTTCATACAAAAGTTTAAATGCATTTGTCTCCCAAAAAAAAATACAACAATACATGTAACTAGTATGTACAATTGATTACATGCAAAATTTGCCCATCAAAACATATATTTTGAAGCTAGATTTTGCAAAAAATAGTTAGAACAAACCTTGTCAAAATATTAAAAAAACTCCACTTTCCACCAACGAAATATAACAAAAATGGAGCCAAATGAAGCATGATAGAGAGTTCTTCACCTTTCGTATAGAGTTCAAGTAAAAATTTCGAGTTGAAAACCTCCCCCCTAATTGGTGCTTGCTTTAGGAGAGAGAAAGCTTCGTTTTCAAATGGTCAAGCTCGGGCCTGGAGGAGCATATATGGCCGATCATCGCATGCGGTCCCTTAAGCCAGCCGCATGCGAAGATCCATTATCGCATGCGGCTGCTTAGGACAGCCGCATGCGAAAATAGACCTATTATCGCATGCGGCTGTCTTAAGCAGCCGTATGCGATAATGGATCTTCGCATGCGGCTAATCAACCCGCCCCCGGGGGGGCGGTTTTTGCAGGCGCCGCCACAAGCGGCCCGCATGGAACCTACCGACCCCCTCGTACAGAAAAACGATTTTTGTAGTAGTGTTGGCGCCTCGGCGTAAACACGAGTACGTACTTGTCGACGCGCTCTGCGCACGTACGGAGGGCGCGTGGAGGCCTATAGCCCCGTGCAAACGTGCGATAGCGCGGCGCGCGCTGGCCTGATCCGCGCGTACGTGCAGCCGTATGTGCGCGGATGCCAGATGCGCCCATGCACGCGTGCGTAAACTCCGCAGGCCCCGCCCAGGGGTATACGGCTGGGATCGCGTACGCGCGGTGCGACTTGCGCCGGGCGGGCGAGGGGAACTCTGGATCGCGTACGCGTAGGCGACTCGAACCATATCGCGCGGGGTCACGCTCACGCGGAGCAATGCGCTGTGCGCGAGGGCGGGTCGCACAGCGTTGGCTTCCGCGAAGACCTTCGATTTACTATATACTCTATCCGTGATTCTGCTACCCCCGTCTATCTGACAAGTAGAGGCCACCATCTATCTTATGGGCCTATCATTGTTGACCAATAATGTATTCAAGTGAGAAACTCTATTTGCTTCATGTACACTGTACAACACACTGTTTTATCCTATCATCGTTAATCAAAACTTGAGAGTGATGATTTAGTTTAATTAGCTCATCTAATATAATTAGAGCTCGTTGCAACACACAGGTATTTTGCTAGCTAGTTAAAAAATAGTTGTATAAGAAATAGAAGCAATGTTTGCCTATTAAATTAAAATGCAACTCTACTTGTAAATAAACTATAATCTAGTTGTATGAGCCCATGCACGCTTTGATGATCACTAGTTAGGACAAAGTTAATAACCAAGTGTCCAAGTGGGATCTTTCCTGTCAGCATTGCCGCATTGGCACAAAACAATGTGAACTTAACTTTCGCCGAGCCGGCCGGCTGCGCGATATGATCAGCATCCCGCGGCGTCAGCTCTTGCACGTTTCTGCCGCAGAAGCCAAACCGGCAATATCCAAGGACGTGCAACTTGCAATTTCTACACGGTTAATCGCTGCAAAGCCCGGCCATAACGTCACAATCGTGGGGCATGCAGAGCAGAGCAACGCATAGAATTTCTCCATGATGAGAAGAGAACTGATAAACATTGTGTGCATGCTTGCTACCTTGTACCACTAGAATGTTGAGATTAGTATTTTACTCTACTTGTCAAGCAAACAACAGTACTGGGATCCTGAGAAATCCAGTAGTACAACTCACAACGACGACCAAGTTACTAACATCTGTCATCAACCTAGAGCAGAGTGTGGATATTAGGAGTAGCATCTTGGACGTTTTCTCTGTCCTATCCTGTTGCATTTTAGTATGAACCAATAGGACAACCTACCAAATCTTGCATGTGCTTAGCTGGTGATGTGCCCTGTCCCAAGTGTGTTTACACTATCTATGTACACCTCTGTCGTTCATGTCATGCTCGTGTGAGATCATCCTCTGGATGAATGAGATGGGGGCGGACTGACGAATGATGGTTAGTTAATCTCGATGCTAAGAAACTGCAATAGCGATAGCAATCTTCAGTAATAGTGACAGATGGTTTGTACGGTGGCACCTTAATAGAATGTGGTATATGCTGGTACATCGTGGAAGTAACTTCCAAGTGCACACAGTAAAATCTCTCGCCTATATAATGTGGCTTAACCAGTGTAACATTCACTACTACACCTCTTGCACAAATCCATCTTCTGCACGGGCTTAACACTGATCATTTGTGCAAGGGTGATTAGTTAGTAGCCGATCGCTAGTGTTATGGCGCCTAAGATAGGCTCAGTTGTTGTGGCGATTGTAGTGAGCCTTGCCATGGTCTCGCTGGTCGCAGGGAGTTCAGGGACTGCGACTTTCTACACGCCTCCTTACACACGTTGAGCTTCTTATCGATCCTTAATACTCCTCTGAAACTAAAATTTCTCCAACCTGTAAACGAAAACACGCAATGCTGCATAGATATATAGTAGATATATTTTTTTTCTTTCTCAGAAGGGAGGGCATGTGTCCACTGTCCAGTTGCATTTCATTCTTCAGAGAGATATATATTTTTTTACTACTGATTAAACCGCGTGTATAACATTTGTCTGTAATTCAGTAGCTTTAATTATCGTGCGAGCTTATAACATTTTGGCTGGCCGTGCATGCGTGCAGCGTCGGCGTGCTTCGGGTTCCAGGAGCAGGGGACGATGACCGCGGCGGCGAGCGACGTGTTCTGGAACGGCGGCGCGGCGTGCGGGAAGCGGCTGGCGGTGACCTGCACCGGCGCGACGAACCAGGGGGTGCCGCAGCCGTGCACCGGCCGGAGCGTCACCGTCAAGATCGTCGACTACTGCCCCGCGGGGTGCCGTGGCACCATCGACCTCTCGCAGGAGGCCTTCGCCGCCATCGCCAACCCCGACGCCGGCAAGATCCTCGTCGAATACCACGAGTACGTGATCATCATAGTTATAGACTGTAACTTAATTTTACGCCTCATTTTCATTTTAGGATGATTTTTTCTTATCAGATTTATTCACGATAAGCTGTGCTCATTTGCAGGGTCTAAGATCAAAATCAGGATGGCTTGAAGGCAAGCGAACGTGTGTCCTTCTGGTCATCAGTAGCATAAGATGGATTTAAGGGAAGAATAAAGGATGCCTCGATTCCACTGTGGTTGAGAAGAAACCATACGTCTGAGACATTAGATTTAAATTCAAGTAATCTAGTTTTGGAGTATTAGTGACTGTTTGGTACCGCTCCAACTCCTAAATATAACTTCAGGAGTTAAGTCTCCTAAATATAACTCCAGGAGTTAAGTCTGGAGTGGAGTTATAGAGCTGCCTAAATCCAGCTTCACAACTCTAGTACATTTTGTAATAGAGCTCCACCCAACTCCACTCCCAGTTTTAGTGGAGCTGAAACTGTTTGGCTGAACTCCAGGAGGAGCTGGAGCAGTGCCAAACAGACCCTTACTAATCAAACACTTGTAATACAGAAAATGCTTGTACTAGTATATCAGGCATTTATTGGAAATCCACAATTAATTTGTGATTCACAATGGATGCCTCATGAACAGTTTGTCTCAGTTGTCTGATGCATGTTGGCAAAACATCTGGCACTATCAAGCAGAATGAAAGAAAAGGGAATCAGATCAGGTTCTCTTGCAACTGTAGGCCTGATCTTGCTGAAGTTTGAAAACAAACACCAAATGGAAAGGAGTTCTTTCTACACTTACATTCGTGTTCATAAATTGCTCGGATATGAAAACCAATGGTACGATAACCATTGTTTAACATGTTAAACGTTTGTAGTGTTAAAAGTGTTATTTCTCGAAGAGTTCATGCATTGCATAAAGTCAAACGGATACATACATAACAATTCCTACATAAATAACCGTGCAATTTTGAGGCAGGGTATCTAGAACCTAGAGGTGGACAAGTTAGTTGTTCTGGATAAACGGGAGAACAATCGCTTTCAGTGCCAGATCGGGCTGCAAGATCAAATGAGCGACCGAAACTGAATGCTAAAGCTGTGATGAACTGTTGTTGAGCATGCTAAGATGACCAGAGATTTTCTCCTTGCACGCCGGACAGATGAAGCCAAGTGAATCAGCCTGCTGATCGGCAACGGTGCCAAAATGCTGGAACTGAGTGTTGCACCATACACACATGGACGACTGGAGCACACACCCGCCAACCATCTTTGACATGGACATGTCCCATCCTAACTGGACAGGAGGGCAGCTGCCAATGTGCGGCGCATAACCTAACATCAGTGTTGGTTCGGGTACAGGTACATGATTATGCCTGTTCATAGTCCCAAACTGTGGAGCTCCAGCTGAGGCCATCCTCAGCTGCTCCTCGAAGGTAGGATACATCTGTGGTTTCTGAACACCAAATCCAAGCTGCAAATCACACTGTTGAAAGACAATCAAATTAGCATGTCTGATTCCAGCGTGCAATCATATAATTGAAGTGAAACAATTAAATTAAAGAGTCATCTAGGGATCCTACAATAAAATTTTAGTAATAAATAGCATTAGTTCATCTACTGCAATAGTTGCATGAACATACATTATGTGATCTTAAACTTTACATGTTTTCAGCTATCAAGAAAATAACTGCCATTCTTGTTCCTTCAAATGTGTCCAATGAACCCACATAACTCAACGATTATTAGTCAGAATTCAAATAAATGCCATTGAACGGGAGCAATTTTAGGCAATTGCTTGAGTAGATTGCAGTAGATTGCAGTGTGGATAACTCAAGTAGTACAAACAGCTCTACTAGATTGAACGGGAAAAATTTTAGGCAATTGCTAAAGCAGTAGCATGGATGTTGCAAAAAGTCAGCATATCTTGAGAAATTACCTGGTCTTGAATAATTCTACTCATTGGACCATCTTCAACAGAACGAACCAGAGAGGTCAGGCTACCAAAATTGGTTTGCAAGGACATAAAATCATCTATACTTCCACTTGTGCCAGCTGTAGGGAGTGAGCCACAAGGACGAGTGCTGCCATTGTATTGATTCTCCAGGTCACTGTCAGATTTTTCCAGTGCCTCAAGCATGGAACCCTTGATATCAAAATCCAGTGTGCAATGTTCATTTGGTTCATTTCGACTGGTGGAGCTATTAACAAAACTATTCCTCATACTGTGAATATCAATTTCATCAGTTGCAGGACCACCAGTCAGTGTGTTCAGATCAGATAACGAATAGCAGCTTGAATAATCAGCTTTCATGTTTATTGCATTATTCAGCTGGGCAAGACTACTTTCTGTGATAGCGCCATTGAAGATATTGCTGTAAGCTTCAACATCAAAACCTGCATCATTGCTAGTAATGTTCCGTGGATTCACCAACTGTTCTTTGGCATTATCTTCACGTCTGTTGCTATTGTTCTTAATTTCAGATGTCATTGAACAAGAAGTAAAACAATCCACATTAATTTGAGCAGGAGAGATAGGATCCATGGTCAAATTAGGTTGATATATCATGTCATTGTTCTGGTTGAAGCTTTCAGCCTTGGATACACTGCTCTGGTTGTTTACAAAATTTTCCTCCTTACAAGCATTGTCATCGGCAGAATTAGCACCAAAGCATTGGGCAATGATGGATGATCTATTATTGTCATCTATGGCATTAGATGTTTCATAATTTGCACCAGAAACAGGAGGAGACATTGCATCTAAACATGAATTGAGGTTGACATCTCTTATCCTGACATCGGTATTGATCTCATGATCTTTCAAAGCAGTCATTCTGCAATCAATAATCTGATCTTCAATATGTTTGCCATTTTCAGGACTAGTAGAATCGCCTGCATTCCCGTACTTGCATTCTACATTGTCATTGTCTACCTCCATGTCAATCGAATTTAGATCAGGCTCATTCAAAGCAGCAGAAAGTGGGCTATTTTCCTCCTGACCATTAAAATTAGCTCCTTCAGGAAAACTACTAAATTTGTCATCCAGTAGATCACAAGGCTCAGAAACTTTTTTGGATGGTTTCATATCAGTACACTCCATCGGATCATCAATACACTTGCTTTCACCTTGAGGAATTGTAGGATTAGGAGCTAAATCCTTTGTGATGTTGTCATTCTGGGTGCAATCTGCATTGGAAAGTACTAAATCCTTCGTGCTGTCAGTCTGCTGTAAGTTTGCAGAGTTACCAATATTAAATTCGCTTGCAGCTTCAACAGCATGAGGCTCTTCAGCATTATGACATGCTCCATCATGGATTTTGTGGTCACTGAAATTGTCAATGGGGTCCTCGTGATTCCCAGTGACAGGTTCTCCAGCAGATCCTTTTTCCTTCTCAGGTACACCAGCCATATTGTGAAGAGGATCACAATGTCCAGAGAGAAGTTCACCAGCAGAAGATTCTTTTCCCTGTTCAGTTAAGCCATTCGTCTCTTGAAAACCAACTGGCTCTGGTGCCATGGATGGTCGACCACCTAACTCTCCTGAAATGGTCTCGTCAGGCATTTTTTCTGGTGTTTGACCTTGAGATTTTGTGGTGGCTAAACTATGGTCAATATTGCCCAGTTTATCTTCAGAAGTTATGTGACATTCTTGAGTCACAATTGTTACATTTTTGTTGGCTCCCACTTCACCAGACTTATTAACCTTGCGCCTTTTAGCCTTCCTTTGGTGAAAGGACAACTGATGTTGCACATAGGCACTCTGGTCCTGAAAAGTCAAATTGCACTTTTGGCACTCTTTTCCATTTGCTTCCACCTGAGTTTCATTCTTATCAAGTTGCCTCTGAGGATCACCATGGTGACTGGAGAAAGGCACAGATGTAACTGGAGGCGCACTCTGCTTTTCCTCAGTTGAATTAGGCTGGCAATGGCCTACAGACTAATTGAACATTTTAGTTAGTCAAACCATGAAAGGTAGTTGTGCATATAAGGTGCACTAAAAGGACTTACATTAACAGCGTTTAATTCAAGCACTTCTGCATCGCTGCTCTGAATGGCAGTTGGCTTTGCCTCCACATATCCAAGAAGAGACATAAGATAGGTAGAAACTTCTTTGCAAGTAGCAAACTGATGTCCGCTGGGGCTGGCAAGTACATCATGGACAATTAGCTAGAGCAAATAATGGTAGTGAGCAAAAATATGAAACACACAATCTTCCAATAAATGAGATCCAACTTCCAAGTCCAGCAGATATTCACATATTATGAAGAACATGGCACCAAGTTCAAAATAAATACTATGAAGACAATATTAAGAAGTTGCACTGTCCTAACAGACATTTACTAATACAAGGTAGCCTCTTCATTCAGTGACTAGAAATCAACATGTCTGAAAATGTAATGATTAATAACGAAATATGTATAGTACGTTTTTTTTTCTAGAGAGCAAATATACCTATTATGTAGAGCATGATGAGTAAGAATATATCTTTGCAAAGAAAGAATGTCCAACAAATGAGCATGACGAGAATGCTCGAACTATCAAACAGATCAATGCCGTTGAATCCTTACTTTAAACAAAGTTAAACTTATGAATCATCATACATGTTTCAGGCATGACGGTTAATAGAGGCAGCCATATTAAGGCGAGCACTTGATTATGTTTTAGTTACTGAACCGTAGAAATGACAACTGGATATAACAGCGTAGGTGGGTGGATGGGTGTGGGGAAGGAAACATGATCAACTAACTATTGATTAGAAGAAATATATGCTCACTGTCTATGCACGTACTAGTTACTACCACAGACAAGGTAAATCTGGATACAAAGTATCTTGCAACACTGTCCAGATGCTGTGCCCACCATCTTTTTTTTTTGCGAATGCGCAAAAGGATTGCACGTCAATATATTAGAGGAATAGAGTGTTTGTTACACAATGCAATCGGCCAGACCGGCCTACGCCAGGGAAGGAAGAAAACAAAGCCAAAAACAAGGAAGAAAAAGAAAAACTCAAATAGTTGGATTACGACACATTCAAATACCCATTGTTGTGGTTCCTATGTTTCTAAGATCAGCTTAATGTTGCTATCATGAGGCTCACTTTACAAACTAAGCTTTAAAAGGAGATCATAGACAGCAAAAACGATTGTGACAAGCACATTGCATTTCACACTTCAAACACAAAACCCAAATCATCAATGCATACAAAAGACACTTAACAACTGATGTTCACCACTACCGAAACAAGCTATACACAACATGAACAAACCTGACATAACGCCGGCAATTGATCCAAGCAACACGCTCCTTCCGCTTGAGGCCAAGTAGCAGCTTCCACCCACGGGGCAGGTGGTCACCAAACATAGAGGCATCCACGAATTTCCTCCGCCGCCTTCGGCTCCCCCACTGACCCTCAAGCCCATTCATGAAACCTAATAGCTCGGATTCTGCCCCTAATCCCGCCGTCCGCCTCCGCATCTCCTCTTCGTAGGGATCCACCAGCTCCGCGAGCCTCGCCAGATCGACCGCCACCCCATTCGGATTCATCACCTCCATGTCGGCGTTCGAGGGAGGCGGCGTCGGCAGGGAGGGCGCGGGGGTCACGGCAGCGGCAATCGCGGGCGTGATTAGGGTTTGCGGCTGGGGTTGCGGTGCAATCTGGGGCGGGGATGCGAATGAGGGGTCCTCGCCCGCGAAGAGGCGCTGGAGGTGGAACGCGATGAGGCGGTTCTCGGAGTCCTCGTCGGCGGGGGCGGGGGCGGGGGCGGCGGCGGCGGAAGCGGTGGCCGGGGTCAGGCTGTGGGAGAGGTTGGTGGCGACGCGGTGGCGGGAGAAGGTCTGCTTACGGGAGCCGGCGCTCTCATTGAAGACGGCGCGATCGATCTTCGGTGGCGGGAGGACGTCGGCGTCGCGGCCGCGGCGGGGGTCGGCGGAGTAGGGCGACCCCGCCGCCAGCGCCACGAGATCCGACTGGGACAGCGCCCGCATGTCCACCATCGGGGCCACCTCCGTCCCCATGGCGGCGGACGGCGGCGTCGGCGGCGGCGCGCGGCGCGCGGGGGATTTGGGGGCGGGGCGCGTGGGAGAGGAACAGATTTACAGATGGATTCAGAGGGAGGAGACGAGAGAGAGAGAGGGGAGGGGAGTGTGATGTGGTGTGCTCTACGCTAACGCCGAACGCTACTAGGCTTTCAGATCCAACGGTTACTGTCGCTTTAATATTCGTGCGTGGGGTTGATCGAAATAGACTGAACTCGCCTCAGGTTCGTTCCACCACGGCGCCGCCGCCGCCGATGGCGCGCCGCCTCTTCTCCGCCACGAGAGCGCTACTCCGAGCCGTTCCATCTCCGTCTCCTTCTTCTTCTGCGGCGGCGGCGGCCGCGGCGGCCTCGCTCCTGCCGCTGCTGCCCTGCAAGCGGCGGAGGAAGCTCCGGAAGAAGCTGAGCAGCCCGCGCGTCGCGCCGATCGAGCCGGAGGCCGCGCGCCGCGTGCCGGAGCTCGACGCCGTCCTCGACCGCGAAGCCGCCTTCCGGTTCCTCGCCCGCGCGAGGTCGTTCCTGGCCTCCCTCCCGCCGCCGCACCGGATCCCCCTCGCGGAGGCCGGGAAGCTGTACCGCGAGCTCGGGTTCCCCCGCGGCCGCAGCGTGTCCCGCGCCGCCGCGCGCCACCCGCTGCTCTTCCACCTCCCCAGGGTGGACTCCGTCCCGCACCTCGCGCTCACGCCGCTCATGTGCTCGCTCCTGGAGGAGGAGCGCCGCCTGCACGACCAGCTCCTCCCGACGAGGGTGCGGGCCGTCCGGAAGCTCCTGATGCTCGCCGACCACCGCCGCATCCCGCTCGCGAAGCTCCACCACTGCCGCGCGGTGCTCGGCCTACCGGACGACTTCCGGGACCGCGTCCGCGAGTTCCCCGGCGACTTCCGCGTCGCCGTCGACCCCGACGGCCGCGACGTCCTCGAGCTGGCGCGGTGGGACCCGGCCCTCGCCGTGAGCGCGCTGGAGCGCGACTTCGTGGTGGACGAGCGCCGGGTCCGGCGCACGTTCCGCTTCGCCGTCCCGCACAGCCGGTCGATGCCGCTGGACGCGGAGGACGCCGACCGCCTGGACGCGGCGACCACGTTCCCGCTGGTCTCGCCGTACACCAGCGGCGCGCTGCTGAGGCCGTGGACGCCGGAGGCGGAGAAGTACCGCGTCGGCGTGGTGCACGAGTTCCTCAGCCTGACGCTGGAGAAGCGCGCGCTGATCCACCACATCTTCGAGTTCAAGGAGGAGCTCGGCCTCACGCGGCACATGCACGCGTCGCTGCGGAAGCAGAGCCGCGCCTTCTACCTCGCCGGCACGGAGATGAACTGGGCCGTGTTCCTCAGGGACGCGTACGGCGGCGACGGCGATCTCAGGGAGAAGGACCCCCTCGTGCTGTTCAACGAGAAGCTGCGGCGCTACGCGTGCATGACCAAGATGGATTCCAGTGAGAGCATTGCTACTGCCTACTAGTGACGTTTTTCTTGCAGAATTTATCTGAATTTACTGGGTTCAGCTTTGGTTTCAGTCGCGTAACGCTGATCAGTTCTTCACTTATGATCACTTCTTGCGGCAAATAGTTAAGGCAAAATTGGTTATATACGTGAACTTTTGATGCTATATAATCAATTTTGCTAATAGTTAAATGGGTAATTTGGAACCATGCCATTATAATTTTTCAAAGTTTGAGATATACCATCGGTATCTCAATGACATGTAGAACTCACATGAGTCAATGACATGTGGGTCAGGATGGTATATCTCAAATTTTGCAAAATTATAATGGCATGGTTGCAATTTTCCCTAGTTAAATATCTCCCCTAGATTGGCCCATGTTGCTTACACCATAGCATTATCAGCATCAAAATTCATTATACTATAAACATGGTGCTTGATATCCAAAAAGATGTCACCCCGACACCCCGCTAAAATATGAACCAAAAGTGCAGATATACATCCCATGAAACTTGGTCTAACAGGGCTCAAATTACCTCTGAAAAAGACCTAAGTACTGCAAAGGAAGATTTCTTTGAAGACAGCCTAAATAATGCTAAGAAAGTTAGCTGCCCTTAAGGGCATCCACAATGTGACCATAAGAGTGAGCCTTAAGACTTTTTTTCAGCTATATACATTGTGGACATGGACATAAGGCATTAAATGCTTAAAAACAGCTCTAAGCTTACAGTTGAACTTAAGAGATTAAAAAATGATATCTAATGGAGCCTATCAGCAAATGGTTGCGAATTGGTGGTATGTTTCTTCTTTGATGGGACCCAGTGGGACCCGGCTTGTTTCTCATCCAAGGCCATAACCATTGTAGAGATAGATATAGCTAAAGCTATCTGCACATGGGCCCACCCCTATTGCTCATTCAGCAACCCAACATTGAGGTTGCCCTAATATAAGAGGCAGAACAACATATATGTCTTCCCACAAACTCATGTTCCAACATGATATTTCATAGAAAAAAAATTCTGACAGGAAAAATAAATATGCCAGTTGGCTCAAATGTTATTAATATTCCCACACAACATTATTAAAAAGAAATACATAAAAGAGTAAAAATTATAATTGTTTTAATAGGCGGTCTACTAAACTTCACCGTTACACTTCGGGCACTGTTTCTTTCTTCAGCAACAGACGCTTCCTGATGCAGTTCGGGTGGAAAATGTCCGCAGGGAAGTTTGGTGCAGTCTGGGTGGAAAAAATGTCCGCAGGGAAGTTGTTTGAGTTCCTGCCCAACAACAAACACTCCACTGCTTCTTCGGTCGAGTTGTCCGGTGCATACCATGCAGTGTTGTATTTTTTTTTATGCCGTGTTGTATTGTTTTTTTTTAACGAATCGGTGTAAGGGTGTGCTCATTTCATTAAATATAGCATGAGAAAAAATGTACAAAGCTATAAGAGAAATAAAACTAAGGGATGATCTAAGCAAGTCTATTCGTTTTGGCAGTCCAGGTCTCGGCCGCCTCCTTTATCTTCGCAGAAAGTGATAAAGTTGAGAGTTCTACGTGCTGAAACACTCTCTGGTTTATCTGTTTCCAAATCTGCCATGTTGCTAGGAGCACCAGAGTGCCATATTGTTAAGAACCAAAAATTACTTGCTTATGTTGCTTTTAAGATCTTTAAGATGAGCAATCTAGGCAAAATAAAGTACTCCCTCTATTCCAAAATACTCCTAACATAAAGATCAAGGAAAAATTACTGTCACCTCTTTATTTGGGTCGCCCTAATAAATTCAAAGTATGTAATCAATAGAATTAGAGATCTTGGGAATTTTAGAAACAATGAATTTAGGAGGGGGGTGCTAGTTAATGCGCATCTTGTATTATGAAACATCCAAAAAAAAAGTATAGTTGTGCCCTATATTTTGCCATGGAGAAACAACAAGCAGGAATTATGTATATAGATGAAGAGCCTTTTGTATAATTAGCTTTCCACACCTTAAATTTTCAAGTAGCCAAAAACGATTGCGAAAAAAGAGAAAAAAGACAGTGGTAGACGGTTTTACTACTGGGGAATACTTTGGACCAACGAAAATACCAAATTATAAGGGATAAAATGATAATTGGTTGAATGTTGAGCAAACACTTGTCAGTAATTGATAAATATATATGTGATATATGTATAAATAGTTGAGAAAAGATATTTTTGTTTGGTTTAATGTGGATCAAGTTAAAAAAATTGTTTTCAAAATATGTTTCCTTTGTATTTGATGTGCAGGTGAAGCTAGGAGGAGTTGATCATGGTGAATGACGAGGGACCGAAACTACAATAGATTTCCAAGGTTAGAGTCAGTCGAGATATGTCATTGGATGGTCATGCTCTAACTTAGGCACATAAGATGATGGACGACGTGGAATGGGGATGTTCTACGCAATCAGTGGCGGAGCCAGGATCCTGTGGCTGGGTATGCCAACATATAAAAAATTCAAAGCAAGTATGCAATATAATGGATTATAATGGATCATAAGTTATAATGTGCATGTGCTTCATCATTTGCTTCAACAGCGGACTGTGCCTGTGCTTCACCATCATCTTGTGCTTGCACAAGTGCTACCTGCAGATTGTTCTCAATCTCAACAGGAGGAGGATTTGGTGTAGATGTGGAAGCTGTTTTTTTTTTTTTTTTTTTTTTTTGCCTTTGCAGCTTTCTCCCATAATGCAAATATGCTGTTAGTACCCTTCCTCATCTAGATTACAATTCACAAAGAATAGAATGTTAGAAAATTACTAAACAAAGTAGCACGCAGCACAGCAGTAGCAAGACAAATAAATTAGAGAAATCTTTACCTAGCTGCCTGCTGAAATTGTGACGACGATGCGCTGCAGCCTGCTGGACACCACCTCACAGGCCGGCCGCGGGCCGCCGCCGCCGCAGAAGTAGATCGAGATGTGCCGCCGCCCACCGCTGCAGCCGGCAGCCCGGCTGAGGCCGCAGCAGTAGATCGACATGTGCTGGCGCCGCCGCTTGGGAGTTGGGACGGGAGCAGTCGTGACTTTTTTTTTAAGAACTACAAGAACGCGACTACGCGAGTCGTGACTTGTGAATGGATGCCGACAGTAGGAATTCTGGCCGTTTGGGCCTTGGCCAGGTTGGCCTGCTCGCTGCTACTAGCTCGTTTGTGGGCTTCTGTTCCAATTAAAAAATAGAATATACATGTGTACTATAATATGTATTTATTTTGTCTACTGAAATCTTGGGTATTCCAAGGAATACCCAGGCATACCCCTAGCGCCGCCACTGTACGCAATTGGGTTTGTGGTGTTTGGACGTAATGGGAGTGAACCGGTAATTTAGTTTGTACTACGTAATAGATTATGGGATTGTGGGTTTGTATAAAAGATAGTGAAAGAGATAATGTACGAGTTATAGAAGAGAAAACTATTTTTTTTCTAGGGTTTTGAGAGGAACGGGTTCAAGACTGATGGGTGTTTTTGCAGATACTTCTAGAACACGATTTGATCAATAGGTCAGCATGTTCAGCTACAATTCCATTTTTCAATTTCATTTTTGTTCCCGGTTGACCGGTGTCGATGGAAGGAGCAAAGTAGAGTGACTGAGTAGGAATCACTGGAGATGGCGGAAGCACCTCGCCGCCTCTAGCTTGAGAAAGAGGAGAGGAGGAGATGGGAAGGAGACCAGCCAGGAGGGCCTCATTGGTGCCTTCTAGCTAATCGACAAGGCTAGGAGGCAGCGCACTGTGTATGAAGGCGGCATGTTGGAGACCTTGCTCGTGTGCGTACAGGGAGATAAGAGGAAGAGGAGGAAAGGATAAGGTTACAATGCGCACGAATCTCAAAGAAAATACAATGATCTAGAATTCGTATGGGAATAGGGATTTTTTTTGTCACAAGTTGTGTATGTAGCCTGTAAATTATTTTAAGCAATTGGGGGTAAATGATCCTCACTTTCAAGGATTCCTTTGGAACCAAGGATTCTTGGAGGAATTAAAATTTTTCTACATACTTCTTTAGATCAAAGGAACAGCTATGTAAGAATCCTATGAAATTCCTTTAGATTGGCTCAAAACTTAAGAATCTTGGAGGAATTTTAATATGAGCTTCAACCTTTTAGAAAAAGGAAAACCATGGGTACCTATCTCTCTTCTGATTCCTATATTTATCCAGCGCGTAGTTCCATAGGATTTAAGATGTTAGGATATTCTAATCTTGTATGATTATCAATTTAAAATGTTTGTTTCCTGTTACTTTGTTTTAAGATTCCTGTTTTCTAAAGGAAACCTAAGATGCATGTTGCCGCGTAAGCAGGTTTAGAATTCACATCAGCAACAGAAAACGGGGTACTACAGGAAACAACTAGATAGAAGAACTTTCTTACAAGGACCGCAAGCTCTGGCCTCTCACCTGTCTCAAAGCCCTTACTGAAATCTTCAGAAACAAGTCAGGCTTGTTCGTTCCTCCGACTTGGAGGAAAGGAATGCCACATAATCAAGCTAAGAATCTGCTATATGCAATGGCAAAACAAAGAGCAGAGTCAACCGGTTTAATCTACTCCATGAACCGCAACATCTCAGGAATGAGACTCACCTTTATAATGCAACTGCAGCAAAATATAATATCGTCGCTTGAACTGCAGGGTTATTATTGTATTGGAACCACAGGGAGAAATAAAAATACAGCATAGGAATCCAGCGGCGTTGAGTTTAGTTGATCATCATCTGCACACACGTACTAAAGCAAACAAAAGACATGTTCTCCTGGTCCTGCAATCCGAGGGAAATGTGTCATAAACAAGCTAAGCATTTTGTATGACAGGCAGATTGACAGAGCGGCGACAAGAAGCCTTTTGAGCAATGCCAGCCTAATTGTAACCTTCTAATCCTAACAAATCATTGCCTAACGAAGCAGGTGTGTGTATCTATCTCCCTTTCTTTCTCTCTATCTCTCTCCAGCCTCTGCTAGTCCCCCACCATGAGGTGTGAGAAGCTAAGGCCACATGGACTACAGATGGAAATACCTGTAACACTGTATTGGAAGCAAATGGTCTCTTCTTGGCTTTGGTGACAAGAGAGAGTACAGAAATGGTTGAGAAAGTTATGAATACAGTTGGAAGGATAGGCCATCTTTCCCATTTAAAGGCACTGCCATCCTTTTCCGCAGTCCCCTTGAAACACTTCCACACACAGACACAACCATAGACAAACAGTCATCCCATGAAGAATTTCTTGGCCTTCACCTTCATGCAACCCAATTCTTCCCCTGTTCTTCCTCTCTGTGAAGATAGCTAGTTGGTGAAGATTTCAGAGCTCTTCGCAGATTGTGGAAGGTCAAGAAGCACAAACGAGATCAAGAACAGTGCCCTCCTTCGCTGCTGCATTTATTATGGGTTTCTGAAGAAGCATAAGAGTCAGTGTTCCTAGAATTCTCCATCAATTTCATTCTGACTTGTTTTCCTTCTGCCCCTTGGTCTTTGGCATTCCTTCTTTGTATCATGTCTCCCCCATCTCCTGTGATGGAATCCCCTCGGCTCATTGAGGATGATGGTGAGGAATGCAACAGTAATGAATCCGGGTGGACGATGTACCTGGCATCCCCCACACATAGTGATGACGTGAGAGCAATTGTCAGTGAAGGAAGTAACGTAGAAGATGGCAGCGGATTTAGCAATGAGAGGCGCAGAGGGAAAGAAAACAAAGGCCATGCAAACGATGATGGAGATTACGACTCATTGGCTTCTGATGCTTCCACTGGACCAGCTGAAGTGAAGATGCAAGAAGGCAAAGAAGAGAAAGATCATCAAATGAATGGTGGTAACAGACATCAACATGCTAAGGACGAACAAGATGAGATACCCACCAAACTCTCAACCAGCTACAGCAAAAAGGTAGGCAAGATAAAGAAAGGAGATGAGAAGACCAGTAGAAGAGGACAAAACAAGAGACGTAGCTCCTCAAGAACAAGCTTCTTTTGGTAAATGTTGTAAAATCCTTGTAGGATATCCTCACCTATGTTTTTTCTTGAGCAAAAATTCTTGTAGGAGGCATGTAGAATGGAATGCCTTGTGAGGGTCCTCGGCTCCTCGCAATTGTCTTCCAAGTTTTTGTCCATTTGTTAACCACCTCATAAGTAAAGCAAATTTGAGGCCCTCTGGTTATTATTCAATGACATACTTTCATTATCTCTTTCAAAATTGTATGCTCCTGTCTTTTATCTGTAAGAATGAAAACTACTATACAGAAAGCCACATTTTGTCCAGATAAACTTTCTCAAGGTATGAATTGTTCAAGTCACCAACACAAAAGGATAGTTCAATCTAATGGATTCAGTTTTTCCAGTATTTGTAGCGGTTATACTCAGAAAAGAGAACATAGTAACCTGATTTGTTTTGTTTCTGTGGATAATTTGACCATCATAACTAATCTAATCCAAAATCTACTATGACAAATAGTTGCAGCGGAGCATGATGTATTTAGGTCATGTTTATGTTTTCTTTTGCTGAACTAATGCTCGTGAAGATCATATATAAGAAAAAGCACTCTAACTCAGCTAATGTGCCATTTTTACCTTTTTAGATGAAATCTATTGCCTCAAGGAGCTGAACCTTCCATACTTCCATATAAGAATAAAACAATGTACATAAGGTATATGAGATGTAAAACCCTAAAAGTTGCCAAGGTTGACTAAATGGGAAATTTACAATACAAACAGCTAATATCGGCAGAATAGTACAAGTAAACATAACATTCATACAACTACAAGTGCATCGAACTATCACCTGATACGTGTGATTCACTACACTTGCATCTACATTAAGTGTCTGAAGGAAGCTCTGGCATCAAATGGTGCGCCTTCTGCTATGCATATGGTGCATGAGAAGGCATGCCTCCAACAACAATCTCATTCCTGAAAATGAAAAGGAAGAATTGGCAACATTTCAAGGGAATGGTAGTTGATTACTATTTACTACATGGCAGAGCTTGATCAAACGAGAATAAACAAGGTGAATCAAAAAGGTTGCTGAATTATCTCAGACAAGTATGGGAACTAAAAACAGTTTTGCAGGGCTTACAACAAATCTGTAATGTTGAATATCATGGCAAATGCTAGATTGCTAGTTCGTGCCCCTTTTACTAATACTCTAATAGAGTGGCCTTTATCATATGGTTGAACACGACGCCTTCATATAGCAAAGTTGCCTAAATAAACACAAAGTTGCCAAATGTGAAATTCCTAGCTTTTGTCGTTTTAATGAGCGGTAGATTATCCATCTAACAGGAGAATCAGATTTCTGATTATCAACTCCACTTCTCGTCTGTTGCTTATTTTTTTCCCTGAGCAACAAAAATATGCCCACCTAACAGCACGGAACAGCTCAAAAGGCCCCTAAAGAAATAGCCTTTGCCACCATGCGTAATCTGACAACACATATTCTTCAAACCAAAGAGACAACAGGTAGGCACAATCTTCAGGGAATACCAATCCAGGATGTTTCACTGGACGGACCACCTACCAAGCAGTAAATCACAAGTAAGGGCAAGGATACTGGCATCTGGTAAATGCTACGGTGAAGATTCTAATGTGGCGCGACAGAATAAAATGCCAGGGAATCCAGTTCAACATCCATAGATCATTCCATTGCACCAGTACCCGCCTCTACGTTAGGGGAACATGGCGCTCGAGCGAATTGTTGCCCCCCAATTCCACCCAAAATAATTAAACTAATGCGTGTCCGCGTCAGGGGAACACGACGCTAGAGCAAATTTATCACCCAAAATGATACGCACCGAGGGGGGTTGTGGCGGCGGTGATGAGCAGCGGGTGGCTAGGACGCGACGGGCTTGGAGTGGTGGAGGAAGGCGGCGGAGCAGAGCACGGCGGTGACGACGGCGAAGAGGCCGAGCGCGACCACCAGCGACAGCCCGGCCACCGCCAGATCCAGCATCAGCTGCGCGCCGTGGAACACCGCCCCCAACGCCATCGGGCCTCCTCCTCCTCCGATCCCCCTCGTCGCCCTCGCCGATGCCTATATCGTAGGCAGCGGAGAGAGAGGAAGGAGGGGGGGGGGGGGGTGAGAAGAGAGGGAGGCGGTGGCGCGACACGCGGCGCGGCGAGCGCGGGCGAGGAGGCGGCGAGCCGACCACCTGGACGAGCGCTCGTGCCATCTCACGGAGGCCAAGCGGTGGGCACCAGATGACAAACCGATCAGACAGAGTATCAGACAAACAAATCATAAGAGAAATTTCACATAAGTAAAATTTGACAATCTAAACCTTTTATTGGCTAAATTTGATTATATTGACACTTTTGAATATGATACGTGGGGCTATCTGAGTATATGATAGTGAGCCAGGATTGATGTTAAATAATCGAGGACCGACTGCCAGTAACAAGCAATTATCTGATTATCCATGCTAATGGAGTAATTAACATGTTACAACTTACAACAGCCTACAGAAATTAGAAGAAAAATATGATGTCAAAAGACAACCTAAAGAAAATATGATTATATTTGATGGTATACTTGACAAAATGGCCGATGAAAAATGCTTGGTGCAGCTCTCATTTTTAGGGGCCTCTCCAAGAGGGATAAACTACAACATTTTTATCAGTGTGTCAGACTAAGGTTTTGTTACAACATGTATCAGAAAGAATTCACGTCAGAGGCTCATAAGCAGCAGGTCTTGCTACAAGGAACAGCACTCTCAACTCTTGCTCTTGTAAAAACCTCTCATTATTGTCTCCAAAATCTTAGGAAAAAACTATTGCTGCTGTGCGGTTCGATCTTTTCGTCACCATCAATGAAATTGGTACAGAATTTGTGCTGCTGATGCTCTGAACACCGCTATTGCCAGCAGCAGGTGGAGCTGGGAGAATTGCATGAGACCAGTCCATCAATGGATGTGAACTGATGCCTCAGCCCTCAGGAGAGAGTCACAAGACACTCAATATGTATATACAGATCCTTTGGGAAGAACTGGTCAAACCACAAACTGTTTAGGCACAATACTGGTAAATATATGTGGTCTTCTGTTACCGTCATAAGAAGATGCCAACCTCCTTGCCCAGAGGCTATCCTCGGGTGACCAGGATATTGTGGAACCCATTGTTGCACACCACCTCAAGTTCAGTAAGGCTGTCGCAAGATGTTCAGTTGCTTCAAATGTCTTCATGATCTTTAATTCAGCATCTGGCTCTTCGCTGAGGATTAGATCTTCTACAATTACTCCTTTTTCCTTAAGAACATCGGCCTCCTCAGATATCATTCTCACACTGAGGACTTGCAATGCTTCAATTGCAGTATTGTACAGTTCCTGATCCACGTAGGCACAAAATGTGTACCAAAGCGTTGATTGATCAGGTCGGATTTTAGCTCGGTGAATACACTCAACTATATATTCAACGACATGAATCTGACCCTGCAGAATGTTCAGAAATGAGTTAGACATCAGCATCATTCAGGAAAAAGGTGTATTATCATAGCCAAACCTTTTCAAATGCCTCTAAGAGTACTGTATTGAAAATCTCAATGTCAGGCTGAATTCCTTCTATTATGCATGCATCCAACAGATCCAGCGCCCCCTCAAAATCCTCTCTTGCCAATACAACCTGTCATGGCAAATAATAGATATGAAACTCAAGTAAGTGGACCCAAAAAATCAAAGTCAACTAAAAGAAAAGAATCAAAAGTCACAGTTGCATCGCTAACTGGACTAACCTTCACAAGAGATGTGAAAGTCAAAATTGTAGGATAAAAGCCATCTCGGAGCATCAATGATAGCACAGCGCTAGCTGATTTGACACAAGGCAACAATTTACAGCACTCTATCATAATATTATAAATTGCAACATTTGCTGGAAGTCCGTATGATCTGATGGTCATGAAGGTTTTTATTGCTTTGTGGGTCTGCAAACAAGGAATGGACCTATCAGATTCAAAATTCAAGCATCAAAAATAATATATAAAAAAACATTAATCGTTTGGACACAACGAACTAAGCAGTAAAAGATGGTAGGTACATACATCCTTGGCCTTGACCAGAGCATGCAAGGCAATGCAATAGAGGTCACTTTTCTGATAAGGATCCATGTTCCATAAGACATTTTCAGCTACATTCAAGTACTTCAGCATTTCCTCTGTCATTCCCTCAGCCCCAAAAGCTCGTATCTGGAGTAACACAAATTAAACATAACAGCTTAAAAACATCGATAGCAGCATGCGTTGAAGTTTTAACAGACAGGTGATCTTTACGCACAAAAAAGAAAAGGTACTTTTGGCAAATAAATTGATTCAATCTGTGAACTGCTAATGTGGACATGCAAAAATAGTGGTATTACCCATTCACCAAAACAGTTGTTATATTAACAGTTTCAGGTAAACAGATAGCACAAGCCACAGTTCAGATTGTTATTAGATCATGACACGTGAGGACTACTCTGGAATGCAATGCACAGTCAAGTGTTTGGTGCTTGCTACTCTCCGAGGCCTCAGCCAGAACACCTATATTACCGAGTATATTTCAGGTTTGCAAAAGCAAATTTAAACCTTGCTTCTAATTAGTATAAATAGAGCACATTAGACACTAAAACTGATAGAGAATAAATAATCAAAATGTTAAAAGGGGATCTTGGGGTAGAAAACGAGTAGATTAAGACAACCATAAATCAGCTCCTTAGTTTGAAAGACCATCATCAACAAACAACAAGACATTTACAAACTTTCATCAGCCAAGAGCATAATGGGTTGTGGATCCACTATCAATATAAGTTACCTAAATATAAAGTCATATAAATGGTATAGTTACTTACAGCATGGCTCTAGACCATTGTGGCATGAGTCCTTAATACTTACTAGCACCAAGTGTCAACCCTCTTGATAAATTTGTATTTCTTTCTAAGAAGAACAACAAAAATGTGAAGACCCTAACCCCAAAAACAATAACAAAGGTCATGTAGCAGTAGCACACTAAATGTGCCATCCCACAGAACTCAATTATTTAGAATTCTGCACAACTGTCTATGTTCTGTGATAATATCTATTTCCTTCAAAATGAACTTACATAAGAGGGATATCTATAGAACAGATGGAAAGTAAACAGACCAGGTTTTTCATGCACACAAAACTGTGTTGGATTTCATTGTTTAACATGTCTGTCTCGATTATGCTGATCCTTTTAGAAACATCAGCATGCGAGAGCACATTTCCTTCTTCATAGGGAACATTGACGTTGCCAAACAGAGAAAAGAGAAGCTCATAAGTCCTGAGATTCGGTTTCAAATTCAGATGCCTCATTTCAGCTAGTACGCGGACAGCTCTTTCTGGTTCATTCTACAAACATAATGAAAAATATTTTAGTTCATACTTTCCATAACCAACAAGGAACCTTCAACAATTTTTGGACAGAGGCATGCGCATTGATAGCTAAAGAAGAACTTTTGTTGTGGAGCATCAAGTACTAATACAAGTCTTACTCTTTAAAAGAGAGTTGGGGTGATGGTAGGTTCTAGATGCACCCCCACTCCAGACCTTCTGTGGTTGCAAATACGGGCATGTGTTTGTTCTTCACAAAATTTTGTATCTTTGCACATGAGTAGATTTGAGAACAAATAATTATGTATTGCATTTTTATTTTAGATTTATAAAGTTATATTGCCTTGGTCACAAACAGATGTCATTTGGACTTTTCAAAGTCAACAATACTATTTAATTCTTTTGCATAAATAAAAAAAATGCAAATATAACATCATTAAAGCTCTGTTATGATAAACTCGCCAACATTATTTTCATACGACTGAAACCTATATTTTGAACTACAATTTCAAAGCTAACTTGTGTTAGACGGTACGCACCCTAAAAGGCTAAACAGTGTTCTTTTGTGACTAAGAGGCAGTATTACATTGAGTTGAGACTTGTTGCAACACATGGGAATGAGGAAACATTATTAGTATAAAGATTACAATATACCATAACCGCGGAAGATCAGTATTGAGCTACTGATAGAATAAATGACCAAAACAAAACTAAGACAAGATGAAGATATGGACAGAAGCACAGGGTATCAGGAAATCTCTTAACCAATGCATTACCATCATGTCGCAACCTGCAAGCAAAGCATTAAAAGCGTGTATGTACTTCGGTTGTGGCTTTGAAATTCTTGCCAAAAAGTCCTCAGCCAGATTCAACTGTAAACTTCTGCTACTGCCAACTGAGAGAGCAGCAAGTGTGTCATTGTAAGGTTCAATACCCCTTCTCTCCATTGCTTCAATCTAGAAAAAAAAAGGAATTAAAAGAAAGCAATGTGTGAGTTTAATAGTACTAATAATATATTATTAATATGATGAATAATACAATCTGTGATCACAAATGCATGTTGTTTTGGACATCGACATGGCCTCCTAAAACCCAAATTATCATATTACAGAAGCACTTTTTGAGACAAATCTACACACAAGATTCTCATATATCCAATCTTAACATTTGAAAAAGATATGGTAGCTCCATCCTAAAATATGGGATTTTGTCCAGGTGCAGAGCTAAACAATGGTTGGCATTAAAGAACTTATTTACAAAAAAAAACGAAAGCACAACATGTCTTTTTTATCCAATCAGATATATATAAGCTATATTCAGGGTTTCACAAGATTATGGATATGCGTAATTATCAGTTTACCGCTATATCCTTTGAGAGAACTGGATACATCATAATTGACAGCAGGCTATAAGTAGCATACCACTTTGATGGCATATGCAACTCCTTTCCCAACCATGACAGCCTTGATAAAACCATCATATGTAAACTTTGATGGTTGCAATCCAATCCTTTGCATCTGGTGAGAAATTTGTTATTTGACATAAACATCAGAGTTCTCCAAACAATGTGAGAAGTTTTTGGTCTAAGTGCTTTCAATATTCAAATATTAATTGCATATTTCCTGCTTGCCATTACCTTTTCCACTAATTAAAGCACAATAAAAAAAAATAGTTGCTAGCATGCAAGCTCATAAATGTTTACGGAATAATTCCTCTGATAGAAATGCCAAACTTATGATGGAGAATTTTAAAGCTAATAAAGTAGACAAGCAAAGGTCAATTAACATGACTGAGATTTTTTTTTTTTTTTGAAAAACGCTATCTGTCCTACACACTAAACTCAAATAGGAACGTTACATGAAACAAATCAACTAAAAAGTAATATTGCCATACTGGATTTCAACAACCATCAAGAAGAAAGAAATGTTCAAAATATGATAAATGAGAGAAATAATTAAAGTGACATCCAGAAAAATGGTTACATAGGTACAGCCATGCTCCATCCCTTCCCGTCACAAGAGCTTGCCATTTGGACACCGACAGTCTCCAAAATGCAATTTGACTACTGATCTCTATTGTAATATATTTGCAAAACCCAAGATTACAATGTTATCAAAGTTTAGAAGGTTTTACTTGATGTGTTTCCAAAATGACATATTTATGTGACCAGAGGCAGTAGTCAACAAAACTGTATGTATTTGACTATTTGTTACCTCTAGTAATAACTGCTCAGCTATCTGGCAGTTGTTCAGTTGCACACACGCATGTACAATATCATTGAAAGACCAAAGCAGAAATTTCTTTACTGTAGCTGGTACCAATCTTAATGGCCTTGCCATCCTCCCATTGTCTAGGACAGACTTGTCAGAGAGATTGTCGCCTAAAACAAGAATGAACGTAAATAAGTTCCTAATATTTCATTGCGATTAAACTTACTAATATATTGAATGACTTGTGTAAATGGAAGACAGACCAGTAGAAATGAATTCAGCATAACCCTTCAATTGCAAATTTTCAAATGAAATATTTTCTTCCTGTGACAGCTCAGGTTGAGTATCAGTTGAACATTTCTCAGATTCCTCCACCTTTCCTTGAAATGATGATGGCAGGTCACAGCCTAATAGAATTTTGAGGTCTTCTAATTCAGTCAAAGCAGGCACAGGAATGTCTAGTCTTGATCTTTGGTATCTTCCTTTACCCCTCAGATGGTCAGTGTTTCGTCCAGCAAGGACTACCATATGTTGCATGATACGATATGCAGATCGAAGGTCCCCTAGTGTAGTTAGGGCCCTAACAAATTTCCTCTGTAAAATGATGCTTGGGTTATAATTCCTAGTGCAGTCCTTCCATATATCATGAACTGCAGATAAATTTCTCTGAGAAACTGCAAGCTAAAAAGGATATAATAATCAGATAAGCAAGATTTCACATTATTAGATGTAAAGCTATGAGAGAATGAGCATTCAACATATTGCAGTCAACAAGGAAAGTAAATTAATTGGCAAGAGCTGATATATCCCACAAAATGTCAGATTAAGTGTTCAATAGAATAGGAGCAATGTGCCAATATGAGAAGACCAAAAAATAAAACTAGAAAAGGAAAACGTGGGTGTATTTCATAAGAGAGGCAGAAGAAACTAAGATCAACACAATGCAATTACTGACAAAGAGAAAAGGCAAAAGAACAAACAGATAAGATTTCCTTTGCCATTGCTAGAGGCTGGTATTCACATGGACACTAAAAGTGAATTAGTAAACAACGTAATCAAATGTTGATTAAAAATAGGGCCAAATAGGCAGCAAATAAAATGGTAAGTCTGTCTTCTTATGGTTGCATCACATCCACAAGACTGCAACAGGAGTCCAACTAAATGAACTAATACTTTTACAATGTCATGAAAAAAGAACTTCTGAGAAACATATATTGGCATATTGAGGATGTTGGAACAGACCTTCAGGAGCTCACAATATGTTATTTCAGACTTCCCAAGAAAATAAGTTTCCATTTTCTCTAGACAGCCTTCAATATCACTCTGCTTTGTGGTACTCCCGCAGCCACTTAAAAATATGTTAAAAATTGGCAAATAATTGTGACTGCTTTCTTTCTCAACTAAAAGAGTCAGCCAGTGAATTGCCTGCATTGGAAAGATGGTTATGAACAACTAATACATTGACTGGTTGAAACAGCCAAAATATGTCTCTTGCATAAGTAATGATTTATTAAGGCATAATTCTATATATTGATAAATGTATAGCACATGGGTATAAATGAGAAAATTTTAAACTGTACCAAATTGCATACCGTATTACCGTGTCTATGGTAAAAAAAAATTGACCTAATAACCATTGTTATCAAAAGATTTTGCTAAGAACATTAATTTGCTAGTCAGTGTCTCAACTCTTGACTATGAAAGCATTATAAATATAAGGGGCTTTCTAGATGTACATGGCAATCTGTAGACAGATGGATCTTGTATGAATTGTATGATGAAGTATTCCATTCCAAATTCTTCCCGAAACATCCCAACAAAAATCCCGAATTGGATCCAAGATTGATGGGTTAATGTGAACTTATCCATGCGGTTAGGCACTTCAGATGACCACTACATGCACATACAAGCATGTGCATATCAGCTTTTGGAATAGTAATACACCATGGTGTAACTATACATATTCTTCATCAAGCAAGGTGCACTCTTAGCAGCCAACATCTATAATTCTGTATCATTTAATAAGGTAATGGTGGTGATGGTGGTGGTGGTGGTGAATCTGGCAGGAGCCAGGACACAAGGAACTCCTTCACTTTTCCCCTGCCTAGCTCTAGCCTTAAGTGCCCTGTGGTTTAGGCACCGGTGTGGTAGTTGCGGCGATGTTTTGTGTGTTTAGCATGCTTGTGGTCGGCTGCCTGCAGCACTTTCAGTTTTAGCTTTTTTTTTATGTGTTTAGCTTGCGATGTTTAGTTTGTCCTGTTTGCTTTCTGTCATCAAGCTGGAGTCCCCAGCAAAAACATTGTATCAGAAACCTGTTATGCTTTAAGTAAAGCTGGGTGTAGGCCTTTTGTCCAAAAAAAATCTGTTAGGTGCCAGCCCACCACCACCCACTGCATTTTTTTGTTACGGATAAACTTGATTTCTTCAGCATTATATAATAAACCTTCCATATGTTGTTCTTTTCATATTTGTCCTTCTAAAATCACAGTTTTACATGCCAAGGTCTAAGATAGCCAAATTGTCATGTTATGTAGTGTGTAAGTTCATTTTACAATTTGCATGTGTAAACAATGTCAAAGGTTCATTGTGCAATAAGTCATTTTCATAGCATGGTATCAGCGTTATTGCGAACACTCTATTTAGAGCATGTAGACAACCGGTCAAGTGTGCATGATTATACAGATAAAATTTGAACCTTCTAAGCATAAAGGTATTAGTAAATTTTTGACAGATAAATCACAAGTATGGATTACCTCCTTTGAATACCCGCCTTTGCTGAGAGCTCGAGTGACAGATCTGTAGACTCTTTGACTCATATGTACAGCATTCTCTTCCATGAGTTCCAAAGCCTCCGTAACAAACTATAGATAATCAAAAAGCTCCAAAAGAGATATCTAATCAAAATGACTATACTGTTACTCCATGCAAAGAATAAAACATGCACTCAGCAGAAGATTTACCAAAGGATCAGGTGCTGTTGCACAATATTCCAGTATATGAGAAAAATCTTCTGAAGTCAATGCCCTGTTAGTCTGTTGAAGATTTGAAAGCAACAAGGATGCTTGCTGCCGATCACCTCTGCGAAGAGCACCAACAATATCTGCTTGAATGGATCTAGTAGCCAAACTGGTCATCCATTTAAATTCATCATATTCTGCAACCATTACATCATTGTTACCTATGCATATGCATAAAATTCACTTCTATAACAATCTAATATGAGCATTAATCAAACCAGAGCATCTCATGGTATAATTCAGCAAGGCAGTGAGACAGGACTTACAGAAGTTACTAACACAGATAAATTAAAAAGGGAACCTCAGGCTCCAAACTATATGAATTTACCCCAAAAAAAAATAAAAGGAAAACGCTTAGTTCCCCATTTGATCATCACGTTTCTTGCAATATACCGTTCATATACAATTTGCAAGCATAGAACTGGGTAACTAGATTAGAAACAACAGTTATGGCCTTCCATAAGGAAAACATGACAGTACAACGAAAAGGTGTAAAGCCCAGCACCGTTTGAACAAGTTGAGGCCTCTCCGGAGTGAACTCCACTAACCACATTGGCTTGCGCCTGCAAAACGTGCAACTTCAGCATCCAGAATACACACCAACGCACAGAAAATACATAAGGACGCAAGGAAGAAACTCTTCGTTACAATCTGCGGGGGCTTGAATGCCGCGGAGGAATTGGTGCACCGGCGAGCGGCTCTCGATCTGCAGTACAGGAGAGAAATGTGAAATCACGGCGACACCTGACCCCGCGCAAAATCATTCCACGGACGATACTCTTACAGTATTCGATGCATCGAGGGAGATGTCGTCCGTAGAGCTCCTGGGCGGGGTCCCTTCGCGGCGGGCGAGGCGCGTCGCGCGAGCAGCCGGGCAGCGGGGCTGGCTGGCTGGCTGGCCGCCGGCGACGTTGAGGCGCCGAAGGCCGTCGACGCGAGGGGGGCGACAGGTGAGGGGGCACCCCGACGAACCCGCGCACGGGGAGGCGGCGGCGGCGGCGGCGGCGTGGCTGGTGATGTCGTCGGGGAGTTCGTGTTGGCTCGATTAGAGTGCAAAGGGAAACAGGAAAGTCTACCAGTTAAGTGGGCTGTGCCTTGTGGGCCGTTTCTGTTGATTTGGGCCGCGCCGCTAAGCGTGAAATGGAAAATATAGGTTTAGGCCCATCGGGTGCTAAACAGCTATTAGTAAACCTGTAGGATAGGCTGCGCATCTTGATATTTTATACCCTTCAGTAATTCAGTGTAACTAGCCATTTAGTCGTGCCTTGCACGACTTTATGTGCCCGTAATGCTCTCAATCATACTTAATTTTGAATATATTTTTTTACAAAATCATACAACTTGATAAACTATTAGTTAAATCTATAGATTCAGCTCAAGCTATATTTAAACTAAAGGTTCAAATATTATGTTCAGGATCAACCTTTCACCGTATACCGTCAAAAGATGAGAATGTTTACTCAGCGATATGATGCATAAGGCATAAAATAGTCAAACCTAACACAATACACAGTGACAAACTAAATGGCAATCTAGTCCATGATTTGAAACCAACACAAATTGCTCAAAGATCATTTGACCTCTGAGTATCTCAAGAAGATAACATAATAAACATCCCAAAATAAAAATACACAATTTTGTTATGAAGTGTAGTAAAAAATTCAGAGTCATCACAATTAGTATAGTTTGTCTGTTTGTGCATTGGTGCCAACCAAAAACCCTTCAGTCCAAAGCCAAGAGGATCTCTCAACTCTTCTTTGTAGGCGCGAGAAAGTAGATATGCATGAGACAACTCATTGCAGGAAATTCACTGCAACGAAAACAAGGACTAGAAATAAATAGAAGTTTCTTGAAGGGTCTCTAGGAGGTTTTATCAATTGAAGGATCCAGTGGTTCACATTGCATGGCAAGAAAATCGGACGGCTAATATTTTTTTATCACATTGTTGTAAGTATTTTTTTATCTTTTTTATATCGAATTCTTTATGTAGAAACTATGTTGCTTCTTCCTTAATGCACATATAAATTAATTCTTCACCTTTTTATGTCAAAAATTTGTTCCATTTAAATCTACAATGTGAGACACCATTATTTCTTTACTCAAATATAAGTATAAAGTTACTAAGGTGTAGTAGGTGAAAAAAACATATATACAATTTATACTTACGTGCCACTACTTTCTTAATAAATGTGTAGTATAATTGATTTTCCACTTAATATTTTAGCAACTACAATAGTGACAAATAATGAAACCCACGGATTTAGATAACACGTCACGAGATATACACCCATAATCTTTAGACTTTTGGCAATATTTAAAATAGCTTTTTTACTCAAAAAAAATTTAATCGTCTGCTAGGGACAATAATTTCGTAGAAACTTGCTTCAAAATTCAAATTACTCGCAAAATCCACTGCCACCAACTCAGCATGTGCGCCCAAAATAAAAACCAGGCTGCAGTTAGCCAAGCAGGCAGGCACCCTCTCGCACTCTCCACCGATCCACCAACACCACGAGCAAATTTCTCTTCCAACGTCGGCCTCCCCACGCACCGCCGCAAAGGCGCGCCGATGTCCTCCTCCCCGTGGCCTCCCACCACGGGCGCCGCCTCCGCCGCCGCCGCCGCCGCTTCCCCCGCGCCTCCGGAAGGAGCGGCTGGCGGTGCCGCGACTCCCGCCGCTGCGCCCGCCACGACGTCGGAGCAGCGCCCGGTCAAGGTCGCCCCCTCCCACCCCACCCCGTCCCGTGGTCTCCGCATCTGTGTCCGACTGTCCCTTTGCTCTTTCTGCTCTCGGTTATACGCGGTCACACTGAGCTCGTGTTAGCCTCGCGCAGGAAGGGGGAGACGCCGCGGCCGCGGGGGCTGCTGCTGCCGTGCAGCAGCAGGAGGAGGAGGAGGTGGAGGCGAAGCCCCAGTTGCTGCGTGAAGACGACTCGTAATTCGCGATCTCCCTCTGTTACTATGCTCCTTGTTTTACTGCAATGCGTGCTCTGTGTTTGCGTAATTGCTTGTATGAACGCTGCCTCACTCACGGTTAGGCTTTTTTTTTTTTTTGCCGGTAATATTACACAGAGTACGAACTCTGTAAACGCGCTGATGTGTAGTCGCTATCTTTTATACTACTGTTGTGGGTGTGGCACAATGCTGACAGGAGTAGAACGATGAGGTGAGGCCATTTAGCCTGTTACTAGTATCATGATGTTCTTTGTGTACATGATGACTATGTCAGCAGCACCTTGTCAGTTTTGTCAGCAGCACCTTATCAGTTTTGTGGTTTATTACATTGTGCACAGGAAAGCATATCACTTCATTTGTGACAGTGTGAGATACCTTCACAGTGTTAGGATATGCTATGTAGTCCTATATTTGCAAATAACCAACAAGCAGAGAAACATTTTTTTCCCTCCGAAAAATTGTGCCAAAACTCATGTATATCACTTATTTTTCCTTCCAAATGTGCTGTTTCTCACCAACATATGGAGAATTCTGAAATCAACTGCGCATAACTTTTTGTCCTGTAGTATAGCAAAAGCTTAGATTCCGTGCCTATGCACCCGGTTTTGTTTGATTTTATCTTTGGCATCTGCAATTTCACTTGTTCTGTCTTGTATATTTCAAAATTAAGGTGTCACAATCACCTTCTCTAATAGAACCCACCCTTGAGGAGTTGATTTGCATGATGTTACTATGTAAATTGCACCATGAACTGTTTGGCTGCCAATAAAGGTTAACACATTTTTTTTTTCGAATAGAGAGATCAAAGAAGGCTCAACAAATCTAGTGCTTTTAAAATAGATTGGGAAAACAGAGTTCTGTAAAAAAAAACGGAGTTGCAAAATATATTCTTCTATGAAAAATTGAAGGACTAGCATGCATCTTTGCTTGCAGATATCATCTGTTCATCACTGCATACGTTAAAGTTTCTGCTACAATTATTGTTGATTACTTATCATGTACCACTTTACTACTGTTTTCCAGAATAGTATGTGAGAAAATGAAAAATAGGAATATAACTTCAGAAATTGATGAAGGATTTAACTGTTTTTGTTATATTTCCTACTGTAATGTAATATGTTAATTCCATAGGTAGTAAGCATCTCAATCTGAGCTCAGCACCTATATTAATATAAATTCCTTTCTGTGTGGTAAAATAGTTTAACTCTTTGTTCGAATTTCAAACCCTTTGATGGTTTTTAGGTAACAAAGCGAATACATAAGATCTTTGAAAAAGACCAAGTTGGTACATACTTCCTCCGTTTCACAATGTAAGACTTTCTAGCATTGTGCATATTCATTTAGATGTTAATGAATCTAGACATATGTATGTGTTTAAATTCATTAACATCTATATGTATATGGACAATGCTAGAAAGTCGTACATTGTGAAACGGAGGGAGTATATACTTTGAAGAAGACTAAAATTTCTCCCCACACTACCTCAAGGCATGCTCTATATAGAATTTGGAACACCTTGGCCCTCATTGGCTCATACTTGATATAGAAATTACTCTGTCATGGTATTTACCTTCTGCTTGTTGTTGCCATGAGAAATAAAAAAAAATGGCAGTTAAATTCGTGCATTGCATTGTCATGTGCAGAGAAACAGAAATCCAAGTGCACGAACAGAAGATAAACAAATATCAAGCTATACTTGCAGCCCGTTTGAAGGCCAAATACTTCTCTAATAAGGATTTTGATGGAGGTATTTGTGAAATCATCATCTATGTGCAGTATAGATATTACCTAGTATATTTGTGCACACTTTTTTTTTCACACGTTTAATCACATACAGGCATGCCATTTTTTCAGTCTCATGCTATAGAGATCTGCTATTGATACAGTGCATCATTTTTCTTTCAAAAAACCCATGGATGAAATGAGAAAACGTGACAAACTTAAGTTAACTGTTAAACATAGTTATTCCATTGGAGGCCAGAAGAAAATCCCTCTTTAAGTTAATTATCATCATTTATACAAAAAGGAGGATGGAACATTTGGGAATACATAATAAACTGATAAACATAGATGCATTACTTTCATGCTATTTGTTTTGGATTAAGTTTATCCTGAATAAAAAAAAAAGTTGAACTGAAGCATGGCATGTTACCCAATTGGTCGACATCTTAACCCTAAAAGTCTATAATTATGGGACCATGTCTCTTTGCATTTATTAACAGTAAGTGTGTACGTCATCTTAGTATGGATCTGTTAAGCTTCCATTTTCATTGAATTTTCCATTTACTTACTACTTCCACTATCAAAGTCCTCCAAAAGGAAAGAATGAGAAAAATGTGACCTTATGGAATGTCACCTTGGGACTAACAAGGCCCAGATAGACTCCTAGTACCTGGACTAACAAGTCAGGCATAGATTGAACACGCTCTCCTAGAACTCCTCATGCAAAATTAGTGCTCAGCGAATAACTAGTAAAGCAAATTTACGAGTTGAAATGCAAAACACAATAAAATGCCCAAATTGGAAATTCACCTGGAGGAATGCCGTGCCTCGGCATGTTCATTTCTTTGCCTGGCTGCTTGCAAAGGATTGACTACCAAATAAGTCAATCGTCAACTTAGCTGCATGTGGGCTATGCAATCATGTCCTTGGAGATGCTGATCATACTTCCACTGCCCTTCTTACTATGCTTACGTCGAACCCAACCCCCCCCCCCCCACCACCACCACAACCGTATGTCCTGTTTGAAATACGAAATGTTCTTCCATTATTGTATATACTTTATAACTTGACATAATCACATCACTAGGCCTCCCTTCTGTTCTCACATGTAAACGGGTTTCTTTCAAGTATTTTGAATTTTTTTGATGGAATAAGCCTTGTGGTCTTTGGTCCTTGTGGTCCTTCTCTTGCTTTTAGGTTGTTTTTCCCCCTTTTAGGACAGCATCCTTTCAGTTTTGCTTTTAGCATCTTTCGGTTTTGCTTTTAGCATCCCTAGGACAGCATCTAGCATCTCCTTTATGCTTTATTCAGTTTGGATGCTCTCTAGGACAGCATTGCGTTCAAATTTTAGACTAGTGTGGGCAGCAATTAGCTAGCAGCCATCCAGCCAGCTATGGCTATATATATGTATCCAACCTCCCTCGGGAAGGTATGGCTTTTGTGTTTTGTGAATGAAGAAAACCAGAAAATTGCCCCATCTCGAGTGCCATCCTCTTCTCAATGAGAGTAACCATTGAAATTCTAACATCTGGTATCAGAGCCACACTTTCCTGTAGGCTAAACATCTCTTGTTCCACCCCTTCCCAAGCTCGGTTGAGCTCTCAGCCAGCAGCAGCAGCAGCACCGGTTGCTCCTCCTTCCCCTTTCCCTTCCCCTTCTCCACGCAGCAGCCCCCCGGAGGTGAGCCATGTCCGACGCTCGGTCTCGGCGTTCGGTCGCCTCGAGCACTCGGCGTCAGCAGGACGCCGAGCTCGCCGCAGCAGAAGAGCGCAGGCGAGCAACGGCTCAGACCGCTGCAGCAGCAGCGAGGGCGGCCAGACTGGCGGCAGCGGAGTTGGCAGCAGCCAGGGCGGAGGCGAAGGCGGAGGCGGCGGAAGATGCGGCACGTGCGGCGGAGGTAGAGGTTGAGACCTTGCGCAGCAGCATCAACGGCTCCATTGCCGGCGACATCACCGCCGACAGGGAGCTTGAGGAGCTGGCAAGAGGAAGGGCACGGGAGCGAGCAGAGCGGTGGGCAGCAGCCCACCTCCACGGCGGCGGCGGCGGCCCAAGGGACCGCGCGCCCGCCGACGGGAACCCAGACGAGCGCAGGCGTGCCGGCGGCAGCCCGGAGCTCGCACGTGGCCCTCGCAGGCAGCACGGCTCTCTCTCCCCTGACCGGCGCCATGGTCACCACGGTGTCCAGACGGTGGTCAGGGACTTTGGTCCCGGCGGTGGGTGGCCTACCCTCACCAAAACCAACTACATCGAGTGGGCCGCGGTGATGAGGGTGAGGCTCCAGGTGCGGCACATGTGGGAGGCAGTCCGGTACGGTGACGTCGACTACGACGAGGATCGGCGGGCACTGGATGCCCTCATCGCTGCAGTCCCGCCCGAGATGCAGTTCTCGCTTTCCCAGAAGCGGACTGCCAAGGAGGCCTGGGACACCATCGCTGCGGCACGCATCGGCAGCGACCGCGCCCGCAAGTCCACACTGCAGGCACTCCGCAAGGAGTGGGAGAACCTGGCCTTCAAGCCAGGTGAGGATGTTGATGACTTTGCTCTCCGTCTCAACACTCTCTTGCAGAAAATGGTGCAGTACGGTGACGACACCTACGACGAGGAGAGAGCTGTCGAGAAGCTCTTCCGCTGCGTCCCTGAGAAGTACAGACAGATCGCTCGCTCGATCGAATCTTTGCTGGACCTCTCCACGATGTCGATCGAGGAGGCGTTAGGTCGCCTCAAGGTCGTCGATGGTGATGAGCCACAGCCTCTCTCGGGGCCCATCACCATCGGCGGGAAGCTCCATCTCACTAGGGAGCAGTGGGAGGCCTCTCAGGGTGACGGGAGGAAGGGGGAGTCATCTTCCCCGACAGGCGGCCGTAAGCCGCGCAAGGCGCGGGGAGGTGTCCAGCTACGGTGGGCGCGAAGACGTGCCGAGGGTGGCGCCCGCAGAGGCGCCCAGGGCGTTGCCACCGGCAACCACAAGCCGGCACGAGACGACGCCTGCCGCAACTGTGGCAAGCTTGGCCATTGGGCCAAAGACTGTCGACAGCCACGACGCGGCCAGGCCCACGTCTCACGGGTGGAGGAGGAAGAGCCGGCTCTGCTCCTGGCTCACGCAAGCATCGAGCTACCTCCAGCGGCACCGGCCGCAGCGGCTTTCCTCCACCTTGATGAGCCGAAGGTACTCGTCTCCCTCTGCAACGGCTCTAGCAACGACAAGGCTGATGGGTGGTACCTTGACACCGGCGCCACCCATCACATGACCGGCCGACGGGAGTTCTTCACCGAGTTCGACTCCAGCGTCCGAGGCTCCGTCAAGTTCGGGGACGCCTCCGGCGTGGAGATCAAGGGTGTTGGCTCCGTCACCTTCACCGCCAAGTCCGGTGAGCACAGGCTGCTCACCGGAGTCTACTACATCCCCGCGTTGAGGAATTCTATCATCAGCGTGGGACAGCTGGATGAGAACGGCTCACGCGTGTTGGTCGAGGACGGACTCATGAGGATTTGGGATCGCCGTCGTCGCCTTCTTGCCAAGGTAACCAGAGGCACTAATCGACTCTACATCCTCAGCGCGCAGGTCGCACAACCAGTTTGCCTCGCCGCTCGTCGGGACGACGAGGCGTGGCAGTGGCATGAGCGCTTCGGGCACCTCCACTTCGAGGCCCTGAAGCAGCTCAGTGCCAAGGAGATGGTGCGAGGCATGCCGTGCCTTGACCACGTGGAGCAGCTCTGCGACGTCTGCGTGGTGACGAAGCAGCGGCGGCTCCCCTTTCCCCAGCAGACGAGCTTCCGAGCCAAGGAGCGGCTCGAGCTCGTGCACGGGGACTTGTGTGGCCCAGTGACACCGGCCACACCAGGAGGACGACGTTACTTCCTGCTGCTCGTCGACGACCTCTCCCGCTACATGTGGGTGATGGTCCTCGGCAGCAAGGGAGAGGCTGCGGACGCCATCAGGCATGCGCAGGCTGCTGCAGAGGCGGAGTGTGGCCGCAAGCTGCGCGTGCTGCGCACTGACAACGGCGGCGAATTCACGGCGGCTGAATTCGCGTCGTACTGCGTTGATGAGGGCATTCAGCGCCACTACACCGCGCCGTATAGCCCACAGCAGAACGGCGTCGTCGAGCGGCGCAACCAGACGGTTGTGGGGATGGCTCGGGCTCTTCTCAAGCAGAGGGGGATGCCGGCCATCTTCTGGGGGGAGGCGGTGGTGACAGCCGTCTACATCCTCAATCGCTCGCCTACCAAGGCCCTCGATGGCAGGACACCGTACGAGGCTTGGCATGGGCACAAGCTGGCGGTCTCCCACCTACGGGTCTTCGGCTGCCTCGCGTTCGCCAAGGAGCTTGGCCACATCGGTAAGCTCGACGACAGGAGCACCCCAGGGGTGTTCATCGGCTACGCGGAGGGCTCGAAGGCCTACCGCATCCTCGACCCGGAGACACAGCGTGTGCGCACAGTGCGCGACGTAGTGTTCGACGAAGGGCGAGGGTGGGTATGGGACAAGGCGGTGGATGATGGTTCGACTCCGACGTACGACGACTTCACCATCGAGTACGTCCACTTCGAGGGAGCTGGGGGAGTAGGCAGCTCTTCTTCACCGAGCGTGTCTACCCCAGTCCCCGAGCCTCCACCGACTCCAACACCAACACACCCTCGGGCCACGACTTCGACTACGACGAGCTCTTCGTCGACACCACCCCAGCCGGTGTCCCCACGCGCTCCAGCACCAATAGCCACTCCTCCGGGCACGTCTACTCCGACGCCAGCTCGTGTTGAGCGCAGCCCGGTGGAGTTCGCTACTCCGCTCTCCCACGACGGGGAGCGCATCGACGCGTACCACGACGGCGAGCAGCTACGGTACCGTACGATAGAGGATCTTCTCGGCGACCAGCCGGTGCCGGGACTGGTGCCTCGCGACCTAGAGGCGCAGTTGCACCTTGCGTGCGACGACGATGAGCCTCGGTTTTTTGCAGAGGCCGAGAAACACGCGGCATGGCATGCCGCGATGCAGTCGGAGATGGACGCGGTTCAGGAGAACCGCACCTGGGAGCTTGCTGACCTCCCTCATGGTCACCGCGCAATCACCCTTAAGTGGGTGTTCAAGCTGAAGAGGGATGAAGCCAGAGCCATCGTCAAGCACAAGGCTCGCTTGGTGGCACGCGGTTTCGTGCAGCAGGAGGGGATCGACTACGACGATGCCTTCGCTCCCGTGGCACGGATGGAGTCCGTGCGGCTCCTTCTTGCGCTGGCTGCTCAGGAAGGCTGGGGCGTCCATCACATGGACGTCAAGTCGGCGTTTCTAAACGGCGACTTGAAGGAGGAGGTCTACGTGCACCAGCCGCCGGGATTTGTGATCCCCGGCAAGGAGGGCAAGGTGCTACGCCTGCACAAGGCCCTCTACGGCTTGCGGCAGGCACCGAGGGCGTGGAATGCCAAGTTGGATTCCACGCTCAAGGGGATGGGCTTCGAGCAAAGCCCGTACGAGGCGGCCATCTACCGGCGGGGCAATGGAGGAAATGCCTTGCTGGTGGGTGTCTACGTCGACGACTTGGTGATCACCGGCACCAAGGATGCGGAGGTCGCGGCGTTCAAGGAGGAGATGAAGGCCACCTTCCAGATGAGTGATCTGGGGCCTCTCTCCTTCTACCTGGGGATCGAAGTGCACCAGGACAACTCCGGGATCACGCTTCGACAGACCGCCTACGCCAAGCGCGTCGTTGAGCTGGCTGGGCTCACCGATTGCAACCCAGCTCTCACTCCGATGGAGGAGAGACTGAAGCTGAGCCGCGACAGCACGACGGAGGAGGTGGATGCTACACAGTACCGACGTCTTGTGGGGAGCCTTCGCTACCTCACCCACACACGGACGGACTTGGCCTTCTCCGTCGGCTACGTCAGTCGGTTCATGCAGCGACCGACGACGGAGCACCAGCAGGCTGTGAAGAGGATCATCCGCTACGTTGCGGGGACTCTCGACCATGGTCTCTACTACCCGAGGTGTCCTGGCAAGGCACACTTCGTCGGGTACAGCGACAGCGACCACGCCGGCGACATCGACACCAGCAAGAGCACGAGCGGGATTCTCTTCTTCCTCGGCGAGTGCCTCGTTAGCTGGCAGTCGGTCAAGCAGCAGGTGGTGGCCCTGTCCAGCTGCGAGGCCGAGTACATGGCGGCATCTGCCGCTTCGACCCAGGCGCTCTGGCTTGCTCGACTGCTTGGTGATCTCCTCGGCAGAGACACTGGAGCAGTAGAGCTCAGGGTGGACAGCAAGTCCGCTCTGGCCCTGGCAAAGAACCCCGTTTTTCACGAACGGAGCAAGCACATCCGGGTGAGGTACCACTTCATTCGAAGCTACTTGGAGGAAGGGAGCATCAAGGCGAGCTACATCAACACCAAGGACCAGCTTGCGGACTTGCTCACCAAGCCTCTTGGGAGGATCAAGTTCCTCGAGCTCTGCTCCAGGATCGGGATGGCCCAACTTTCCCACAAGACGACGCACAAGACTTAGGGGGAGAATGATGGAATAAGCCTTGTGGTCTTTGGTCCTTGTGGTCCTTCTCTTGCTTTTAGGTTGTTTTTCCCCCTTTTAGGACAGCATCCTTTCAGTTTTGCTTTTAGCATCTTTCGGTTTTGCTTTTAGCATCCCTAGGACAGCATCTAGCATCTCCTTTATGCTTTATTCAGTTTGGATGCTCTCTAGGACAGCATTGCGTTCAAATTTTAGACTAGTGTGGGCAGCAATTAGCTAGCAGCCATCCAGCCAGCTATGGCTATATATATGTATCCAACCTCCCTCGGGAAGGTATGGCTTTTGTGTTTTGTGAATGAAGAAAACCAGAAAATTGCCCCATCTCGAGTGCCATCCTCTTCTCAATGAGAGTAACCATTGAAATTCTAACATTTTTTGCTTTGTTGTAAGAGGCTATCCCTGCCGGGCCGGCCCAAGATAGGCCAACCAAATTTACTTAAGATTAGGGGTATGTACATATGTAAGAGGCTATCCTCTGTTCATCAAAGTAAATTCTATGATGGTTTCCTGATTAACATGTCTTTACTAACTATTTCTCTTTTATTACACCTTGTGTCAATGTTTACTCTTAGTTTTTCTTCATTCTGTTAACAGGAAATGTCTTTGAAGAAATCACTGTTGAAGGTGAAACTATTCAGTCAAGCAGGTACGTTTCCTCTGAATTTCTCATCGTGTATATAAAGTTACAGAATAGCAACCGTCTGAATTTTCTGTTTGTAGGTGGCCATGTACAAGATCATTTGCAGACCCAGTAAATTTTTTTCGAGATAAGAACAGCCATGAGAGGAGTGATTCTCCATCCTTGACAGCAGACTCCGCTGCCAAGAACAATTCTCCTAGAACAGATTCCTCACCGAAAAATAGTGCAAGTGCTTTGGCCACAGAGAACAATCTAACACCTGGGAAGAGACAACCATCCAAGAAGATCTGATGGGATAACAGTACGCTAGTTGGTTGTTTTCTGTTCGTCCGAAGTCTGAAGGTACGCAACTTGAAGCATGTAAGCTAACTTGAAAGGCAAATTCAACCTGCGCATGTTTGTGGCCAATGCTAGATTCATTTCAGTGAAGTTCCAGTAACATCTGTAGTAAGAAAAACATTGTATTTGTGTTTGATGTATTATAGACGATTCCTGGTGAAGCATTCATTGGTTGCTCAAACTTTTGTCGAACTTTGGTTATACTTTGAATGTAACTGTTCAATTTACTCTGCGACTACATAGTCCTCGATACACGAGTAGATGAAAGCATGAAACAAGTCTTTTACACTATGGACCTTTGGTTGATGACCCAGGAAGACATTCTGATGGTGCTTCTTTTCACACTTCATGGTAATGTTTCTATTACTCATCTGTAATGTCCATATTCCCAATATTTGTTTTTTGCTGATCCCATTATTTCCCAGTGCTAACATACCAGTATCATGTTGATCCCTGTACTCTTTATATGCAAATATTTGCACACACTTGAAATGATTTCAGTCCTTTAGGCAACACGTTGAGACATGCTTCAGCTACTATTTATGGCAGTGTGAACTATCCTATTTTGACATCTTGTTGAAATTCGGTAGTATTTGTTGAAATTTTGTAGTGTTCTATAGTTTTGTCCTATAAAAAAGAGCTCCATCACCACCACTACGAAGAAATTATATTGTGCTTGTCCCAGGATGTCCACTTGTTGTATCAAGCTCTTGCTTTCTGGTCACCTTTGCAATTTTGCTTGGTCCCTGTGATGTGAACATCTTACTGCCCTATGCCTTTCTATTTTGTATTCACATGCTCACGCAAGCTTGGACAGCGTTGTTTTAATGGCACACTTGCCAGTTGCAAATCTGAATTGTTTGCCAATACTTGAAACCTGCTACTGTCATTGACAATCATTGCCATGTTACTGCAATAGCTTCAATCGATATATTTGCAATTGTGTCAACAAAACATTGAGTTTCTGCATCTGCAATTGAATTAGAGCACATCTGTCTGAAGGATTTTGTGAGCTTAGACATACTTTCAGAAGAGTGCATAATCATCTAAATGGTTTTTTTTGTGTTTGTGTGTGCACGATACTGACTTGATTTTGTATCTTAGGTGCGCTCAGTGAATTTGATATGTAACCCTTGCTATCCACACTTATTTTTCACGTGAGCAAGGTAAAATTTTCTCTTCCATTGTTGGTAACTAGAGAATTGAACAAGGTACCATATCCTTGAGTATTTGTCCCATTAGTCTTTAAAATCATGTATATGCATGTGAGATCATTTAGCTCTATCATTTTTAGATAATGATAGTTCTCTCATTTATGCACATCCAATTTTCTATTGAAGTTAAAAAACAATGTCAGTTTGTCTCAAGCATTGCATGAGGTTCAGGAAAATTCATTCCAGTAAGTACCAGATGGATGGGTCTTAATTCTTATTATGTGGTACCGTGATTTAATCCAAACAATATCCCCCTTGTTTGTCATGGAAATACAACTACTGGGCTACTACTGAAGAAATGCAGAAGCGCAAAAGCGAACTGCAGCGACATGGGCAAACCATCAAGGCATCAAACACATCATTTTCAGAGGAAAGCATCATCCGTTGATAACAGACCAATGGTAAGAATTCTTTTATTATACTTTGCTGCAGCTTCTTGTTTTCTCATCGATATCCATATGTTATTGCTACTAATCAATGTCAACTCGCCAATAGGCTCAATCCATATTTATCTTAGCCACCTTGACAAAAAGATGTCAATAATGGGCAGTTAGAATATTCCCGTACATAAAAGATAAAACAAAAAAACAGAAGCCGAAGGAAGCATCTCAAAACATGTCTTATTTTGATATACTAATAATAATCCTCGTAGTTAAAATGAGGAGATAATTAAGAATGATTTATTATTCAGTAATCAAATATTCTCGCATGGCTGTGAGGAGCTCGGCGAGGTGTTATTCTTCTGTGCTTGCATGAGGTGCTCGAGCTTGGTCTGGAGCTCGGCCCTCTCCTTCCTGAGCCGGGCGTTCTCGCAGTGGACATCACTGCAGCCCCTCATTGCTTGGTTGAGCTCATCAAGGAGGCGGCGGTTGGCGTCACGGAGGTGGACAACCTGCCCCCTCAGCTCGCTGAGCTGCCGCTGCTTGCGCATGCGCGACCGCCGTGCCGACTCCCGGTTGGAGATCATCCTCCGCCGCCTCCGCTCCTCCTCCGCTGCCATCTGGTAGGCGTCATCTGTGCTGCCAGAGCCGGCTGGGCGATTGCCCGCTACCACAGGGAGCAATTCCTGGATAGGTTCACAGGTAGCTGCTGGGAAGTGGAAGGGCGAGGGTGCCATGGTGATCATGTTGCTGTGGTAGTGGGAACTGAATGGTAGGCTTGGAGGTGAGAGGCAGTGCAGGCTGGCCACCTCGCCATGGTAATGGTGGTGCAGCATGGCTGTTTTCGCTTGCTTAGTGGAGAACTCTTAGAGGGCCAGAAGTAGATGAGGGTTAATCTGCTTTGATTCTGCTTACTGAAGAATTTGCTCTCTCTGAGCGGAGGAGGCGATGGGTTGGTGAGGGCCTTTTATAGGGTGAGAAAAGGTGCTTTTGATTGCCTATGGCTAGAGACTAGAGAGAGACCACCTTCTTTCTCTCCCTCTCCACCCCTCCTTGTTTTTGTAGAATTTGGTAGCTTTAATTTTGTCGATTTGGTACATGGCCATGACGGTGAGCTTTTCGCCAACAATATCCAAACAATATATGCCTACAATAGTTGTGGCTCATTAATCTTCTACTACCTCCCTATCTTTGCTTTTATTTTTTTAGAGAACATTTGTCATTTTCTTTTCCCTTCGTTTGCATCCATGACTTGACTTGCGCGAGTAGTCTTGTCTAAGGTAAATTTATTCCAGTTCATCCATGCCAAACCTTGCTTTTTACCTTGTAATGCATTCTCCCCTCAAAGATGCTCGGCCTTTGTTTTTGGCTTTTCTCATCACTCAAGCTAGTTTACTTATTAAAATCTTGTACCTGGTTAGAGTGGCATGAAATCTCTGGATAAACACACAGCTTTACCTACTGGTAGCCACTGTGGGAATAAACGAACAGAGATTGTTAGGCCACTAGAGAATGAAGTAGATCAGATTGGGCATGACAATTTAGATTACATATGGCAGCACGCACTGTGGAAGCAAGACACCTAAGGGTTTGTTCACAAGTGGTCAGTAATCAGCTTTTCATCTCTAGCATAGAGGTATGGCACCTAAGAGATAGATTAATGTGTGTATCCCCTGCCTTTCTATTTTGAAATATAAAGGCATGGCGTGTTGCTATAACAATTTGGATGATGACAACTTTAACAATTAATATGAAAGCAGGTTAAGACAGAACAATTTTCATCTTACTTGAGCAGTTCCAAAAAGAATTAGTGGTGTGCTTCTATAAGCCTATAATGCATGACTTCTCAAAAGCAACAAAGGTACCAATTCCGATTAATTCATTTTCTAATGCATCCATTTAGGGTGTTTTCCTCACCATAAACAAGTAGTAGATGGGTAACATATAGCCACATTGCTGGGTGTGCTGCTGCATACATGCCTTTGAGCTCTGATACTCATAAGGTCTTTCTCTTCTTTATTTTGGAAAGAAACAAATGGACAGGAGGAAAGGAACCTACAAAACCTTTATGTGACAACTACAATATACAGAAAATCAAGTGAAACAGGAGAAGATCAAACCTTTATTTGACAACTGAAAATCAAATAATTATGCGCGAACTAGGGAAGCGCATAACGACAAAAATATTGCGCAGGTACTATATCTTTCAAATTTTTTTCAGGGCTTCTTTTTAATTTATCTAACTATTTTGTGAACTCCCCAAGTGATTCAGCTCCTGTACCCAGAGCAATAAGCTCAACTTGGCATGCATGCATGAACCTGCAATTCCTAATTGTCCACAGAGACCTAATGCAGTTGCTCTAATTGTGGCAGCAATAAGCAATTGGATTGGGGGAATGTGACGCCATCGGAGCGAGCCACTTTTGCAAAAGCATGGACATGAAGATTTCGGATGATTGAGGCGACCATCCACCGTTGAGGTGGGCCCCACCTTTCAGTGACCCAGGCCCCCGCTGCCCTGCTGGCTGAAATGGATAGTTGGGCTTCCGTTCTATCAGAGTGGCAGCCGCAGCACCGAGAGATGGCCACTAATCAGGACATAACCACGATCATCACGAACATTATGTAAAGCAGTTGCTTGCCTCCTTTATTGTTATTTTTCTTTGCCTCTCGTGATGCCTTTGTCGAATGCGTCGTTTTCGGTTTTTTTGCATTGTCGTATGCATAGTATATACGTTTATGTGGCTCAAAGATCTAGCCCTTTTTTTTTTCTGAAACAGGAACAGTGACTGACTTTGTTTTGTGGGTACTCGTTTTATAAAGGAGTGGGCACCAAAGGAGATGAGAACTGAAGCCAACAGCGAGTGTATAGTTCAACTGGTGCATACTTTTCTCTTTCGAGAATACGCAGAACAGATGCGTATCTTGGCACTAAGAAGAAAAATAATGGGCTCAAGAACAACCATGCCTATGCCTGCAAGCAACAGGTGTGTACCTAAGATTTTGTCATATGTTCTCTTTTTACATCTGAAAATATATGCTTCATTTCAATGGAATTTTCAGTCCTTGTCAGTTCTCCTTTTGAGAATATATATATATTGTTAGAGTAATTTAACTGTCCTTTAGGATACCAACATTTTTAATGTAAATTTTGGTAGTACCAGAGATACCGAGAGTTACTAAATTTTACATAAAAAATGGGGTAAATCCCGATACCTTCTTAAGGGCCGTAAAATCACTATATCACAACTGAATTACTCCAAGCATGGTAGGGAAAGAAAAAAAAAGAAGAGGCAAAGATAACCCTGAGAATTGGGGAATCTGGAATTCTAGAAAATTACTAACTAATTTGAAGTTATAATTCCCACTTGGTCAGTCTTGCTATCAACTTCGTCTGATCAACATCGCTTTATTCCATTTGATGATGCATTCGCAACTCATAATATCATTCTTGCACCGAATAAATCAGTCCCAGTCTTCAGAAAAATGAAGAGAATAAATCAGTCCTGCGTGAGGCACAGAACCGTTAAATCGTCGAGATGTTTCAGGCTTTTGCACGGTTGGAAGCCTGTCTCTCCTCCTCTTTACACAGATATATTCTTAGGATGCGCCTGTGCATTCGCCATTCATGCAACAGAGTCTTGTCATTGGGACGATGAACGAATATATGCTAAGTGTCAGTGTGAGACAGAAACACCTGGCTTTGGTCCTGATGTTTTTGTTTCCCAAATATGGGTTACCTAAGCCTAGTACTCTTTCTAGGAAGCCCCACAAAAATGTAAAATGGGATTAATTCCTATTGCATACTCAAAGAATTGGATGCTATGTTTGCGGATAAAAGCTCATGTGATTGGACCTGGAAGAAGATGAGCCGTGAATTGGAGATAAACCGTGTATCGTTTCAGAAAAGTAGTGGAACGGATATGGTAAGTACAATACGGAAGATGTCACCTGTTGATTGTAGGGCAACTTGTTTTTCCTGCCACATATATATTCAGGGCTGAGATATCTTTATAGATTTCTACATCAACTAAAGACAGCTCAAAAGACAATAATTACAACGATAATATGCAATGAAAAATGGTGGGGATGCGTGTAGAAACAAACAATGGTGGAGGTGATCGTTGGTGGTCGGAGGTCCTTGGAGCTGAGATAAACAGCGTGATAGGGAGAGGGTAATCCATGAGTACGGTGCAGCGTGAACACGGATAACCTCAATTTGTGGGAGAAAGGTGAATCGATGATTGTTTATGGAGAGTTCCGTCCATCTCTCTTTGTCCTTGCCCCATCTCTCCCTAACAGCCTAATCGTAGCTCTACCCCCAATTTGATTTGGGAGTAGTGAGAATCGATTTGAGGTATATTATATATCCGGAGGGCGTAAATGTAAAATACTCATCACCGTGGATGGCCAGTTGGCCACTCGCTTGAGCTACACTTTAGACTTTGGATGATACATTAAACGTTTAATATAATGGACCCTAATACGTATTTTGCAAGTTCATAAATCTAGATGACACCCGCCACCCCGGTCTAAATTTAAGGACTAACCGTGTATTTTACTCTTTCATAAATAATGAGAACAAGGCAAAATTTATTAGGAGTAAATTGCACCCACGGTGCATGAACTTAGCAGGTGGATGTAATTTGGTGCAAGAACTTGAGAAATGAGTGTTATAGTGCAACAACTTGATAGGCATGTGCAATTTAGTATAAGAATTTTATAAGTGATCGTATAAATGCAACAACTTGCAAGGTATGTATAATTTTGATACAATAAACTAAGAAGTTATGCAACAACTTAATTATTTGGAGTATTTTTTATATAGATTCAATATTTAAGTAATTATTTTGAAAATATACTAGCGTGGATTTGTATAAGCATGTTTTTTTTATCCTAATAACTAATAACTGAAAGTCAATTGAACTGGATGTAAAAAAATATTATATTTCGGTTGATATTTGAGAAGGTGAAAGAAACAAAAAAAATCTTAAGGTAATTGGATGTAAACTGTACGTGCAGTATAATTCTTAAAGATTAAATTTAATATTTAAGGTAATATCCGTAAGATTACTATCATACTATGTAATGGCATATTGACATCGTGAAAAAAAAAACTCTCCTAGCATATGCTTAGCCAAGTTGGTGCATCAAAATACTAAATTGTTAATTTGTCAAGTTGTTGCACTCGGACGTTCAATTCTCAAATTCTTGCACTATATCGCACCCACCTACCAAATTGTTGTAACATGGGTGCAATTATATCAATTCCAACTCATGAAATACTCATGAAGTGTGCTCTCGTAAAATACTTCTTCCAACTCTTAATCATTTCTTACCAGCTCTGCTCCTTGAAAAGTGGGATTAACGGCGTCCACAAAACTTGGTGGATATTGATATCTTTGCTTTGAGGAGGCATCGATGTACCATCTCCTTCGAGGCAAAGTTGCAAAGACCATGAGTGAGCCTAAGAAAAAGAGAGCTCCCCATCAGCTTGAGATGATATGCTGGGGGTTGAGACTCCAACTGCGGTGCATTATTATGAACTCATGCTGCTACATTTATGGTGTTTTCCATTAGCTACCTTGCCTGCCATTGTAATTGCAAATGTTCTATCACACGGTCTATTATGTGTCTCCCATCTGGTCTCCAAAACAGTTTTCCTCTTTCGTTCTAGTCTTTGAGAAGAAAAAGACTTCCGTTCACCGAAATGATGGTCAAGCTGTCCGAAGCATGAACCAGAGACTTGTTCTTGAAAATAGAGGGAGTTGCACGTAATTCTGAAAACTTTGGCGGGTGAAAAGTATATAGATGACTCCTGAAAAATTGTGCTCCTTTTCCATTTGTTCTAGAAAAAACAGATAGTGGATCCAAGATTGCAATTTAATTTGTAGCTGGTTCCTTCTGAACGGCAATATGCCATTGGCAGTAGTATATATGCCATTATCAATAAATCAATCAAGCCCTAAATTCTCTGAAACTCTGACCTAATTGACATATGCAAAACTCATCCATACCTCTTCTATTCATAAACAATGTTGTCCACACGCTATAGTGACCCGAATTGGATGCACATGCAACATGTTTGCATGTTCTTGGTTGCCAATGTACAGAAACGTTAATAGCTTCCAGGCGGCTGCCTTGATCCACTAGTGCTCAAATCAACTCGTGGCACAATGTACAATAATAATATTCTCAATGCATGTCGTCACTAGGATTTGGGATAAACACAAGTTCCCTTTTGCTAAATCCTATGTTTAATCCACACATGTCAATTATGCATTGCTATACGCTACTGTTCTTGGCAGGTATGCAACTTAATTTTGCAAGAGCAAACAGCAGTTAGTTAATTGGGACAATTTAGCAAACAATCCCGACGAGAACCACCCCCCCCCCCCCCCAAAAAAAAAAAAGAGGTAATGGATGCATGATCCATGACCTAAATTATGCAACATGCAGAAAGGTGGTAGCTAGACGAAGAGGTTCAAAGAAATGGACAAAACAAAATTCAGGAGAAGATGGAACAAGTCGCTATAGCTAGCATCGGTTGCTTTCATGGATGGTGTGATACTGTTGTGATTTCAGATATTTATTAAGGATTTTTTTTCAGATATGTTTATATTAGTGGCCAGAAAGAATCCGGCGATGGCTGACAAAAATATGTACCATTCTATAGGGACGTTTGATACGCATAATAGTTTTGTTGCTATGTATCTAATCTTTGGCTGAACATCATATTATACAAATTAAAAATTCAGTCTTATCCTTCATGTTCAGAATTGTACCTTTTAGTATTCTCTCGTCTCTTCCTAATAAAAAAGAGCAATAAATATATATATAGCCGTTAGGTCAGGAAGCACTAGGTGTCAACAAATACAGGAAGGAACACCCGTGCACTAGTCAAACAGAAGAACTAGCTAGCTATAGATCCCTTGCATTTTTTCACAAAATCTTATATGTTCCATTAAATTTGGGTAATTCATATCACATCCAGAAAAAAAGATTTAGAATTAAAACACTCAGAACCTTAGGATCGCATAACAAGAACTTACCCAACCGGGGGGGGGGGGATGAACGGTTAGAGTATCCAAAAACAAAAACTTTTAGCGGAACTAAAAGTTACCTAGTAGCCAATGGAGATAGGTTTGACCGGAAGATGCGTCGGTCTAACCAGTGTAGTCGCTTTGATCGGACTGCGTAATCTTCCCACCGTCACATGTCGCCGTCGTCAGTCTGACCGACACGTTACCGCCGTTTGACCGCTGGTATACTCTCGTGTGATCGCCGAACCCAAGCAAACACGAATCGTAGGCTAGTACTACAACAAATGCTCATCTCAAATAGATAGGGCTAGTGTATGAATTTCAAGTAATTTCTTAACCTGATTTTGCAACTCCATAATCGTGTGTGTATACCAGGTTTCACATAACCATTACATGATAAGAACCAGCTCCTTAGCGGCCGGTTTTCGTGAAAACCATTGTGAACATGAACGAAATTGTTATAAATTTTATCAAGTATTTGAGATTTAGTTTGAAATTATTGTATTTGTCCGGTTCCCCAAGCGGTTTGTTAACTCGAACCGGTTAGAAACCTTAAAATAAAAACGATAAAAAAAGCAAGCGATTTTTGTCGATTTTGTGATTCCTGGTGTAGTGGTGTGTAAAGCTCTACCCTGTTTAGTACATTAATCATGTACATACAGAAAAACAATATTGGAATAAGCTGTATTCCTACATGGGATTCGATTTTGACATCATCCAATCGTGAGGCGACGGCTATGACGACCATGAGGCTATGAATGGCGTGCAGGTCCAATCCAACCCGTCGTGTCCTGTCCAGTCCCGTCCGATCGATTGTTCTTTGCATTGCCGCGAGTGCGATTTGCATGGTAGGAGTATGCTCCTGATGACTCCCGAGGATTTGACATGGAGGGAGGAGTCGTCCACCTCGCCCGCCCCTCGCGCGCGTCACCGATCGACGTACGTCGATCAGGTGAGGCCGCGCGCGCGGCCGGCCAACCGCAGCGCGAAACGTCGCGGCGCCGGGCGTACGGCGTGCGTGCGCCTCGCTCCCCACGTCCCACCCGCGGCCATTGGCGACACGTACGGTCGGCCGGCACCGCCGGGGCCGGTCACCTCAGTTCCCAGCTTGTTGTTGCCTTGCTTAGCCAATTAATCTTTTCCAAATTCCAGTAACTAGCTGAAATTCACAGCGTTCAAATTTTACCAGAATCTTGCTAAATGCCTGTGATTTACTACGGATAAAAGAAAACATCCTAATGCGCTACTTTTTTTTCTATAGGGAATATTCATCCTACTCTAATTTTTGTGTGGCTATCCATTTAATTTTGATTTTTTTTAATATTAGGAAGTTCAGATTAACTTGCAAAATTTATAATGAGAATAGGCGAGGCAACAAATTCACTGCCACCACCACTACTTTTTTTAAATAAGTATATATAAGTAATTCTACAGTAATAGTATTGTTCTGTAACCATGTACTTTAAAATTTTCTCATCTTACTCTTAGCTACCCCTCATTTAACGAGGGGCATCTAATTTATTTCCACTCAATATCAATTTGTCTATTAAATAGTCCAATTGTATTTTTTTTATGGAGGGAGCACGTTGTTGCAGAATTATAGAAATAAAAAGTAAAGGAAAATAATTGTCATTGACGTATAACCTACATGGATCCTATAACTCCCGCGCTCTCTGTTTTGGTGATTCAGACTGTAGGTAATTAGCGGTGAAAAAAGATTTAGGATACACCAGTATATTTTTCTAAACGAGTTTAGATAATATATGTCCAGGTAATCAAATCCATCAGTACACTCAGCAGTAGGACCAACCGAGATATCTGCTACTACCTGCCGGCTTGCTAGAACAATACACACAAGTGTTGACCTTGTGTGCATCATCCACACACCTGAATGGGTCAAGAGCGGTTTTACCTTTACAGTGGCTCATGTCGCTGATTAAGATTTATTTCATTGTTTGATTGCCTACCGCTCTACACACTAACAAGCTGAAGGTAAAGCTTGGTTTAAACATGCACGTATCCGGTGAAAGTTCAGTTTACATTTTAATTAGGAGTAGTATATATATCTTCTTTTTTTTCATTTTGTGTGTACTTGTGCAAGTTGTGGTCATTCACTAACCTTTTTGTCATAATTGCACAAAGATGTCTTTCCTTCATAAAGGCATAGAAAGATGTTCAAATTTTAGTAGCTTAGATGCGCACAATAGGCTGCATATTTTCCTCCAGAAAACTCTCCTCTCATTGGACTTGTATGGATAAGCCCTACTCCCTCTTTCCCCTAAGCATCTCTACATATTAGCAATGCTTAATTATATAATCAAGCAACACAAATATGTATGGTTACCTCAAAGTTTCCTCCAATCTCTGCAAATGTTCTATGAAAGGCTACATAGTTTTTCAAAAGAACTTTTTTGTTCTCTATTTAATTTTCTATATGCAATATAATATGCAGTTGACAGTTTTTTTTATTTTAGCTAACTACAACAAGATGGTCATATATAGCAGAATTATACTCTAACTAGCTAACTGTTAGTAATCCATCTGCACACGACATTTAACTACAACCACAACTTAAGAAATTAAGCTCACGTTATAGAGATAATCAATGCTCCAAATTAATTTTACTAATGAGAAAAAAGTGTTTCCATCTAGATGTTACAAGTAATTACCTAGTTATTTTTCACTAATTAAAAGGAAATACTCTCACAGTTATGGGAGTGCATGCACCAATAATTAGGTGAAAATACAAACCCAGTTGATGACACTGACTTAACAAAGCATTGGTGGTTAAGCTTAAGTAAAAACAACGGCATGCAAGTTGGTCACCCAAGGTGATGCAAACAAACTTTGGCACGCATGTTAAAGTCCGCTTACGTACCAACTTTTCAATTAACTACTCGCTCAACTAATTAAAACTAGGGTCGTCACCCACTAACAACAATGTGGATATATGATGGGGATAACGAAGGCCATTAGGGCATATGGAGGGTCCCCCTCCTACTAATCAAGGGGCAAGAACCCAACTATGTTGCATTCTCATCAGTTAAATTAATCAATCAATCTCACCCCACATTGCTATCAAACCCATTAAAAACTTCTCAATTAATCTATCAAAGCTACATAAGTGACAACAACGTAAATGTATGAGACGACTTTATCACTGACATGTGGATCATGAACGTCACGAATCCTATGTGTTGGTGACACGATCGCACACATGAACAGTTTTGCGCTGTAGCTGAGCCGCGTTGTGGGTGGTGGTGGTGGTGAGTGGGTGAGAAGAGTGAGAGTGGCCATCCGGATCGTGCATGTACGCATGATCTATCGCCGTCAAGAAGCTGATGCATGCAAGAGGATCGGGGGGGTGTCGCCGTCGCCGGAGACGAAGCTATACCTTTTTTTTCTGCAGCGTCTCGCGTGTGTGACGACTGCGCGCAAGATCGATCGATCGATCGATGCGTGCTTTGCTTTCAGGTGTCGCGCAATTGAATCTCGAGTCCGAGACGCCTCTTATTTCACCACCTTTTCTGCGTGCCATTTTTATAGTTTGGTTTGATCTGGTTTGGTGCTTTTTGGTGGGCAACATGGAGTTGTTTATGTGAGCCTAGCGATGGATTTATTTCTGTCTCAACTCAGAGCCAAACTCTAGCTAGCTTTTTATTAATTTTATTTTTGCGAGGACAAGGTCTAGCTAGCTATAGCTTGTGATAAAGAAAGAGATGGAGGAACACACAAGGGTATGACAAGAAAGCAAGCAAAGTCGAAACATAAAGTAGGAGAGAGTAAACAAGCTCGAACAGAAAGAAGGATGGCCCTAGTGGTCCAACTAATAGAAATTAAAGTTTGATGGCCTATTAAGCATCGCCATTAGCACCCGCGCAAAGATATTGAAATGCCAAAGGCTCATGGCTCATCAGTTAGCTCGTCCGAGCTTCCAGCCAATGTAATTACCTGTGGTACGGTGTCTCTATGGTAGTATGGTCCCAATATATGCAAGGCACAATGAAGATCATTATCTCAAAAGTAAGACATTTTTGCTAACAGAGAGTATATAAATATAACCGACACATCCCATTCCCATAATTAATTACCCCTAAGCCATATGTTGCTTGCATATACGTGAACGCGTGTGTATAACTTAACCTATATGAATTTTAATTCTGGCGTTCATAAAATTTGTGCACTCTTTTTTTTTTCTTTCCAGAAACATAGTATACAGTATACAATACGCGCGCGCACTTATCCCTGTAAATGCACACACGCATACCCTACATCTATAAACACCTCCAAAAACCTAGATCGACATATCTCGAGATTAACGAAGTCATCAAGCGTCTCGCTATCGACGGAAATGTTGTTTACCATTAAAAGAATAATTAGACATAAGTACGAACATCTGTCTACCATTGAAAGAATAATTATACATAAATGTGAGTATCCGTGTCAAGTATAGAACTTAAACCCATCTGAGCTAGTTTCACCAAAAGAAATCTGATCAGTTGAGCTACGCTCAATAATAGAATGAAAGTTATACATCTTTTGTAAAAAAAAAAAGACCCATCAAGTGCCAATACTCAAATAGACCCAATGGAGCTTGTAACTATAGTTCATATCACTGATTTAGTTTTCCTAGAGTATGAAAAAAAAAAAGCAACTGCCATATGCTGTATACAAACGCTATCTGAAAATTCTGGATGGAAACATACTGTACCAGCCTACGGCCCGAGTAAGCCTGCTGCGTTTGTTACTGGGCCTATGCGCTGTAGGCTAAGCCCAACACAGTGAACTCAAGCCTCCTAGAGAAGTTGGCGTGGGCCGGAATCCAACCTCCACCCGCCCCACCTGATCCACGGCCGCGGCGAACGGCGGTTTCCTCCCGTCTTCCCGGTGGCCGGCGGCCGGAGCCCCGGGCGCGCCGCGCTCACCGTCGCCGACCGGCGGCCGCGAACCCGCGACCCAGCCGCCGATGCACGCCGCTGCAAGTAACTATGCCTCCTCCCACCGTCCCCTTCTTCCTCACCTCCACCACGCTCGCCGCTGCGGCCGCGAAGCCGCAGCGGCCCGGGCCGCCCTCGCCACCGGCGCAGAAGCAGCAGCCGCGCGAGGCGCGGGATGGTTCTCGGGACGCGTGCGCGTCGTACACCGCGCGCATGCGGCTCAACCCGCAGCTCGCGCTCCGCCTGTTCGACCACCTGCTCCGCTCGGGCGCCGACCCGGACCACGTGGCGTACGCCCTCGCGCTGGGCCGCTGCGCGCGCGGGCGGGACCGCCGCGCCGCCGCGCAGCTCCACGCGCACGCCGCTAAGCGAGGGGCCGCGTCCCACCGTCGCGTCTGCAACGGGCTCATCCACGCGTACGCCGTCTGCGGGTCGCTGCTCGACGCGCGCAAGGTGTTCGACCGCGGGCACGAGGGTGACGCGGTGGCATGGAACTCCCTGCTGCGCGGGTACGCGGCTGCTGGGGACGTGAACGCGCTCCGGGAGTTCTTCGTGGGGATGCAAGCCCGGGACACGGTTTCGTGGAACACGATCATCGCGTGGTGTGTTGAGAATGGGGAATATGAGGAGGCAATTGCGGTGTTCCGTGAGATGCTGGCAAGCATGGAGTGTCTTCCTGATAGAGTCACACTGGTGAGCGTCATCTCAGCGATTACATATTTGGGTGCACTAGCCCAGGGGCTGTGGGCGCATGCATATGTTTGCAGGAAAGGTATCGAAGTCGAGGAGAGGCTGAGCTCAGCTCTCATAAACATGTATTCAAAGTGCGGTTGCATTGAAGGTGCAGTTCATGTGTTTGAAAATCTGGGTGCACAGATGAATGTGGACACATGGAACGCTATGTTAGCTGGCTTCACAGCAAATGGATGCAGTGAGAAAGCTCTGGAGCTTTTCGCTAGGATGGAGATAACAGGTTTGGTGCCTAACAAGATTACTTTCAACACTGTGCTGAATGCTTGTAGTCATGGTGGTTTTGTTGAGGAAGGTATGGGGTGTTTCGAGAGAATGACCAAGGTTTATGGTATTGAGCCTGACATTGCCCACTATGGTTGCATGGTGGATCTGTTCTGTCGTGCAGGGCTTTTTGACAAGGCTGAAAAGATGATCCAAATGATGCCTATGAAACCAGATGCTGCTGTGTGGAAGGCCCTAGTGGGTGCTTGTAAAACTCACAGGAACTTTGAACTGGGAAGGAAAGCAGGCCATATGCTTATTGAGGCTGCACCAAATGATCACGCAGGGTATGTGCTGCTATCCAACATATATGCACTAGATGGAAACTGGACAGGAGTGCATAAGGTGAGGAAGCTGATGCTTGATCGTGGTGTGCAGAAGGTACCTGGAAGCAGCTCAATAGAAATTGATGGTGTAATTCATGAGTTCATATCTGGGGATAAAAGCCATTCAAGCAAGGAGGACATATACGAGATGCTAAGTGAAATGTGTCAGCAATTGAAAGTTGCAGGATATGTTCCAGATACTTCACATGTGCTACTAGATATTGATGATGAGGATGTGAAGGAGAGCTCACTAGCTCTTCACAGCGAGAAGCTTGCAATTGCCTTTGGATTGATAAGCACTGCACCAGGCACGCCTATTAGGATAGCAAAGAACCTCCGGGTTTGTGGAGATTGTCATAATGCCGTTAAACTTCTAAGCAAGATTTATGGGAGGTGCATAATTGTTAGGGATGCAAATCGATTTCATCATTTCAGAGAAGGATCATGCTCTTGCGGGGATTTCTGGTAACTTCAGTTGAGCTACAATTCTATTTCTTTGTAGTTGTAAATGTTAACACAAAAATATATGGCATGTGGGAAAAGTTTTGGAAATGGTTATAGTTGTTTGTCTGAGAACAGTTGAGGGTCTTTACTTGATTCCACGTCTCTATTAAAAGCTAAGGTATCCATAAACCAACACCATGATTACTACCCTCTTGTGTCTCAGCAACTTGAAACCTAATTATTGTTCCTTTTCAGTCTCCATGATCCAGTACTGAACATGAATCTGAGATGTATGTCCTACGCAAAAGTTCAATTAAAAATAAATTCAACTCCTTCCATATGGTAGGGGCTACAAATCATCAATAACCTGATACATACTTAATGCTTTTTTTCTCTAGTGTTGTTACTGTAATTGTTGAGATGGCAGCTTCACATGAACTTGCATTTTAAAGAGGGAAAATAGTAGGTGTCTAGGTGATAGGGACAACTTGGGCAGGCATCTGCTTGCCTTTTTAGTGAGTAAGTCCTGTTTTTAGCTTCTGCTTGCCAATGAAAACCTTCTTCATTCATCTATTCTTCCACACAATCCATTGCCTTTTATGCCAATTCATTTATATTGTTTGCTCATGTTAGATTCTTCTACTTTGTCTGTGCATCTATTCTGTTCTTTGCGCACTATACATTCATCCATGACATCCTACATATGTAATGCAAGTATTGAATATGTTATTGAACAATTGAGTTATACTACAGCTTATTTGTGTCACAAAAAAGTCTTTCAAGTTACAATAGTCTGGAAACAAATCTAGTAATAGAGTACTTTACAAGTACAGTGATAAAGTGGGATTAGTTGTCCCTGGGTTATACCTTTCGTATTCTTTGGCAAAGGCCCAGATGACAGATTTATTCTACTGTTATGTTCTTAACTGTCCTTCAGGGTCTGAAAATTCATGTACTAGGAAAGCTATACCCCTGGGAGAACAGTTACCCACTAGATTTGCTAGTTCTTTTATCTTGCTTGTTGCCTGTTGTTGATGTTGAATGAGACATGAAGCGCTCTGCGCAAGAAATGGTAGCAGTTGTTTAATTCACAAACAAAGTAAAGTGCGAGTTTGTGATAAGGACAAAGATCAACACTATTTGGCAGAAGTAATCACTTCCACCATGCTGTTGTTATTACTTCCTGGTGGTCTGGTCGATGTAGGGCCTTTGATTTGAACATATGACAAGGGAGTGTCTTTGACGCAATTGCATGTTTATTGGGCATTTGCAAGCTTACAGCATAGATATTATCTAATGTCACATTCATGAAGATGGAGTTGTAGTTGCTAGTAGCCTAGTACAGAGGTTGCATTAAATCCTCTAAATAGGAAAAGTTTAGATCTTCATGGTGTCAAATTCGAATGTTTATGCCCTTGAGAAACACTGAACCTTTGCAACTTTATATAGCATTCCGTAAGGACATCATCATGGTAAAAGGGAAGGATACAAAGAATCATGTGCGATCTTCTCATATTGTGATGTCTAGAGAGAACACATAAATTTAAATTAAATCAACACTTTCCCATGTAAAGTAGAAAGATTTGAAACATTACTGAGTTCTTAACCTTTAAGAGAAAACTCAGTAGTTCTATACTTCTACAGTTCTATGTGAACTATCATGGCCACCACTCCACCAGCACTCTGTTCAACTGGTTAGTTTACAGCTTTGCATTCTGTAGGCACCACAAATGCATATACTGCAATATTAGTTATCCAGATCTGGTACATTACAACTAGGAATTGGTAGCCTTTTTTCCTTCACACACAAGGCAACATAGACACGCATGCATACGCATATGCACACGCACATAATGTTATATGATGTATAGTAGAAATGCAGCTCCATGCCAATCATTAATAGGTTGGCCTGGACAAAATAAGCTGCCTGCTGCCCTTATCAACTCTACTTGTTTATTTTCTCTTGGGAGAAGTTTTTTAGTGTTCCCCAGATATGTAATTTGTGGCCTAGGCCCTAGTTTACAACTCTAATCACTACTCTAGGAGTATAATAAGACCATTAGCGCATGGCACAATGCATAATTATGGTTTGGAATAATCGGTAATACATATGCATGGTTTGGATTATATAGCCCGCAAGATGGTTTTCACCTAACATAGACCTTTACCAAAAATATACTCACTTGCATCTCGCGTGCAGCTGGCTTTGCCACGGACTGTGCTTTGTTTATGGTTTACAGAAAGGTGTAACATACGCTTTCCTAAGCAAAATTAGAGATCCTGTACCCTAGCACATGGGAACCGAATGCTGAATTAACACACAGGTGTACTCACAATGCTGAGATACTATGGGCCAACTTGTACTGTAATCAAATCATCCATGTTCAATTCTAATCATCCATTCTTGGTAATGATCCCATTAAGACTGCTTTTCTGTTCTTTGCTTCTCGATACATCTTTCTAGTAACTGTTTGCACAAACTTTTTTAGCATGTAGTACAAATTATGATAGGCATGGGGGTTTGGTTTGATCGTTCTTTTACTTTGAGTAAGCTTAGAATGTATTGAAAACCTTTCTATTCTGTTCTAGATCTTAGTTTTTTTTTTTTTTTTTTTTTTTTTTTTGCTTATGAATCAACACCAAAAATCATATGTTGAATGCTTTCCTGTTAAGCTTAGAATGTATTGAAAACCTTTCTATTCTGTTCTAGATCTTTTTTTTTTTTTTTGCTTATGAATCAACACCAAAAATCATATGTTGAATGCTTTCATGTTAAGCTTAGAATGTATTGAAAACCTTTCTATTCTGTTCTAGATCTTAGGTTTTTTTTTTTTTTTTTTTTTTTTTTTTTTTTTTTTTTTTTGCTTATGAATCAACACCAAAAATCATATGTTGAATGCTTTCCTGTTAATTTCTGAGTTTTGAAGGACAAGAGTGCAATTATATTGTAGTGACAAAAATAAAATTTGGTGTAAACTAGTTAATCAGGACAGTCTACTCAGGGAGCAGGGTCTGCGAGATGAACGAATCCGATGCTGAAACTCTTATCTTCATTAACATGGATATGTTTTTTAGCTTTAGACTTACCCCAAAAGAGACGATTGCCAGCTAATCTCATGCAGACATTGTTCCATTTTTTTACTTTGAGTTCTTTGGCTGTTATTTCTTGGAGCTGTTTTGTTTGCAGGAATCCTCTGCTCTTACTAGCACCAGATGGCCCGCTGCCGACAGGTAGGACCTAAAAACAAGAAGTCCCATCCATATCAACACTGCATTTCCATTTCCTCTCGTTTTTTTTCTTTCGAGAAAGAAAGCGAAAATGACTATGTTGCTCTTGTTTTCAGCTCATACCCTGCTCCTGTTGACAACAAGCTCTGAAGTGATCATCTGCTCTCGCCCTATCCAGTTTCTGATGCAGGCCCATAAGATGTGAGAGCATGTGGTACATATGAATATGTATGACAATGATTGGAAAAGAAGACATAGATCTGCAGCAACCTTTCTGGTGAGCATAATGATGCACGAGAAGATAATCTGGTGGATGGTCGGGTCCATTTCCATCCCTCAATGACTGCAGGAGCCGGGAGGAGCACGGGTAAATGCCTTGTGTCGAGGCCGGCCAGCGCTGCCGTGCACAATACTGGCAAAAGGAGGGCCTGCCCAGTGGTGACACCCGGTCATGGATGGCGAAGGAGATATGTAGGGCTAGCCCCATACAGGGAGCTATCAGCTATGGTCGTCTTCTCAAAGATAAAAAGAAAGGAGGAGCTGGGCTTGGCTAGGAATCTATCAAGACTTGTTATCTAAGTAGCTTGTGGTCCATGTTCTGGGGAGTTTGAAGTCGTATCCTTTCCAATCTTTAGTTTTGCATTTCTCTCAAGATTCGGTTTCTTTGCTTTTCCTTCCCCTTTAAGAGTGAACAGTTTAGTAAGGGCGCCACTAATGGTTGGCAGATGAAGAGAAAAAAAGAAGGGCAGGGAGGGACCGGAGGCAGGCACTGCTGAAAGAAAGAAAGGTAAAGAGGTAAGCAGGGGATAACTTGTAACTTGCAGGCCACTTCTTGCAGTGTTAACCATGAAAGATAGTAAGTAGTAGATAGGATTTTATCACAGCTTCCTGATGCTTTTCTTAAGCACCAATTTAAAAGCTTAAGGAGGGGGGGGGGGGGGGCAAAAGCGTGTTTGGAGTGAATAAAAGTATTGCATGGGTGGTAGGCTTTAACTAATCTAAAGCTAGATTCGAGCGTTCGCTAACCCCGAGGCTAACGAATAGTTTTTATTTATTTACTGCAAAGAAAGATTGAGATTAGGAGAATCTGAACTCTGGAGGGCATCTCTCTCTGATGGGTTAAACTTGCTCTAATCAAAGTTCAAAACTCTAACCCTGGCTGTCTCTAGCTTTGCTCTCTTTCCTTCCAGTTTCTCTTTCTTGGAAGAGCTTGTGTATACAAGGCTCCCACATGTCATATATACTACCTGCTTGTTTTCAGTCACTTCCTCATAAGAAAGATAGGAACATGGTTAGGAGTACTTAGTAGGACCTTGAACAAGAGAGAAAAAATCCAGTGATGAAATGAAAGTGCCATTGCTTTGTTGTGGGGCAATGCCTCGATGCAACCCCCTCCTAATGTTGACCACCATTTTCTTCAACAAAACTAATCATGCCGATCATGAAGGGCGTGTAAATAATTGCCCGTGTCGAGCATAAAAAATGCAAGCAGTCAAATAATGATGAGAGTTAGGGGTGCATAATTTACAGCCAGGCTCCTTGAGAAAGCGAGCAGCCGAGCTGATAAACAAATGCCTGTGAGGGTTGGCAGTGTCAGGGATGCTAATATGCTATGCTCTGCTGGCTACTACTATGCTGTAAGCTTCCTCTCTTTACGCCTGTTATGTGTTTGTGTAATAGTAGTGTAAGTAGCAAGTAAGTAAACAAAAGCAAAGGTAAACAGCATGATTAAAGGGCTGTTAACAAAGATAAAGCAGTGAGTCACTAAAATATAAGCCCTCCCTTAAGGCTAAACGACTAACACAAATAAACCATGGTGTTTGTATTGGTGTGTTGGTGACTACGAGAGGAGTAGTAAAGCGGCTGCCTGCCTCTGTGGTTAACCCTGTACTAGCATTAGCCCTACACAAACTAGTGATGAACAGCTAGTAAATAGTCCTATAAATGTATCAAGCCTTTGCCTACACACTCTCTAGTGGTAGTCTATGATCTTCTACCTCTCTTCTCCCTCTTGCTGGAACATATAGCATCAGAATCCTCACTGGGCATCTTTCCTTTTCTTGCCATATCTGGCCATAGGCTACAATAAGAGTTCTTGCTTGCTTCTCCTCCTCCTCCTATCGCATTGTTCATACAGCTCTGATCAAGCTCTCTAAGCATCGATCACTTGGTTCTTGCTCATCATCTTTCGCTTGCTCGTCAGCTAGGAATTCGTAGTCTTGAGCCGAGGTTGGGTGATTCGATGGACATGAGCGAGAGCAGTGAGAAAGGAATGGAGAGCAATGCGTCGTCTGGCCCTGGCAATGGCATCCCGGTGGAGTGGCAGAGCCAATTCAGCAGCGCCTTCGCGTGCCAGCCGTCGGTGGCGGCGCAGCACCAGCAGCACGCCATGATGGACTCCTTCGCGGCGGCGTCCGCCGGCCTGTGGGCGTCCTCCGACGTCGTCAGCGCCATGTCATCGGCCGCGCCGCCGCGGGGCGCGGGGTTCTTGGCGCCGGTGCCCGGGTTCCTCCAGCAGGGGCTCGGCCATTTCCCGGTGGACTCCGGCTTCATCGAGCGCGCAGCGCGGTCGACGTGCTTCGGCGGCGGGATGATGGCCGGCGGCCCATACGGCGCAGCTGACCAGGCCATGGGCGACGCTTTCGGTGGCACCGCGGAGGGTCTCATGGATCATCACAGGAACGTTGGCAACGACAAGGCCGAGGAGTTCGCCGGCAACGGCCACGACGAGGTGCCGAGCTCGGAGGTAGCCGGTGGAGACTGCTCCTCCAAAGGTTCAGACTCCAAGAAGAGGAGAAGGCCTAACGAGGTAACACTGTTGTTCTTGCGTACGACTAAAAATCTTTCATTTCAGAACTCTGTTGAGTTCTTTGCTTCGATGTTCAAAGAATGTAAATTTGTGTACATTGATTGATAAACAAAGGTGATGGGAACCGATCAAGTCCATTCTTCCAACTTGCCATCTGATTCTGCGAACGAGAGTGTTCACAGCAAAGACAAAGGCGAGGAGAGCAGCCCGGCGACGACGAACGGCGGCAAGTCGAAAGGGAAGGGAGCAAAGGAGACCTCTGAGTCACAGAAAGAAGAGTACATTCATGTCCGGGCTCGGCGTGGCCAGGCAACCAACAGCCACAGCTTAGCAGAAAGGGTACATATTTCAGTGTTCTAGTATGGACAGTATGCTTTGCAATTGGCATCAGTACGTTGAAACTGAGTATTTTACGTTTCGTGTGCAGTTGAGAAGGGAGAAGATCAGTGAGAGGATGAAACTTCTTCAGGACCTAGTTCCTGGCTGCAGCAAGGTGAGTTTTTTTCTTTCTGAAGAAAGAATTGTGAGTTTATCTATCTGAAGAAAGAATTGAACAAATTCAAAATCGTTGTGCTTCTTTCAATTGAATTTAGGTCACCGGAAAAGCGGTGATGCTTGACGAGATCATCAACTATGTTCAGTCCCTGCAAAGACAAGTTGAGGTACTGTTCCTCTAAGGTTCTGACTATCCACATTTACTGTTGAAAATTGTCATGTAGGATTGAATAGAATCACTACTTATTTATAATTTACCAGAGACGTGTTTCTAGTAACTAATTATGTCTGCCATGGTAAACCACAAAACGGAAAATGCTGACCTTCCTTTTGTATTGCAGTTCTTATCGATGAAGCTTGCGACAGTAAACCCAAGGCTTGACCTCAACATAGAAGGGCTTCTTTCAAAAGACGTATGCCAGCAAGTTGCAACCTCACTTTACTTCCACTACTTTTCCTTCTAGGAAGCTAACAATGTCCATTTTTTTCTCCTCAACTACAGCTTCTTCGCTTCCCTGGAGTTCCTTCATCCTCTATCGGATTCTCCCCAGAAATGATGCATCCTCAACTACAATTGTCACAACCAGGACTGATTCATGGTGGTACCGCTGGCATGGCCAACCCCGATGTGTTCAGACGAATAATACAAGCGCAATTAGGTGCAAAGGATGGATCTCAGGTTAGAATCTTTTCACCAACCAATTTTACTATATACCAATATTTAGAAGTTGGCATAGCTTAAGCTGTCATTGAACATAGACTACTCCTATAGCCATGCTTCAACAGTCAACAGCTATCCGATTACAGTCACTAGATTGTATTGGCTGAGACCTACAGTACAGATTCATTCACCTAGACATATTCAATGAACTAGAGGAAACATCCATATAGCTTATTTTCTAAAGGCTATCAAATTTAGGCTCTACCATTCTTATCATATATATGTATATAGCGTCCTCATGCACAAACTGAACTCCATAATCTTCAGAAAGGCGAAAACGTACTACTACTCAAACCCGAAAAGAAGCTGACGAAGTTTACAATTCTTTCCAGCAGATGCCCCACTCATTGAATGGATCATTCAGTGACGTTTCCCAAATGGCGTACCCGTCCCTCGGTTCTCAGGACCTAAGCATCAGGCCATCTCAGGATGGGTTTCAAATGTGAAGAAGACGAAGAAGAAGAAGATGATGATGATGAGGGGGCCAATTCCATGTACGTGCAATTGCTTCTGGCATCTGGTGAACAAGGGCAGGCACACGCACATGACTGAAGCTTGCTACTACTGCTGGAGAAGCAGCGTTTGCAGTGCTGCTAGCTCATCGCGTAACTGAAGTCTGAAGGGCTTTTAATTCCTTCCGTGGCTAGCTGTATATCCATCGAGGTTTTATTGTGTTCAGAACTGAAACTGAAAGGCTTTTGAGCCCCCACGTACAGGGACGCTGGAAACGAAAAATCTGCGTCCTTGATGGCTGGAAATTCTGTCTGGGGAGCGTGCATTTACACTGCAGCACGAGGAGCAGCAGGCAGGCAGCTGAATTTGCTGCAGGGCTGGCACAATGCAAGATCACTCATCCGGTGGCTTTGTTAAGTTACTTCCGATGCATTGTTGGTTGCGAAAACGATTAAACAACTCATCATAAACGTGGCGCTGAATGGTGTTAATGTTAAGATCAAACACATTTGACTCCTGTGTTAACTCTCAGTTCCCTCTCTACTGCCACTAATAGTGCTTCTTTGCTTTCCTTCTCATGCTTTCTTTTCTCCCTCTTGCTTGCAACCTACTACACTCTTCCATGATGTATCAGGCTAGCCATCAGCTTCCAAACATCAGAATCAAATTCTCTCAAAACCATCAAAATTCTCAGAGCATTTCTCCGACATCACTACAGATCCACTTGCGAATAACAAGTGATATCCTGCACAGTGAAAACCCTGTGCACTGATTCTTCTCACCACAGAAACAAAATCGTGCACTGTAGAAGCTGCAGCTGCACGCACAGAAGTGGACATCGGACAAGTGATAAAAAAGAAGCTTGGGTACAGTATATTTCTAGGGTTCCCCGGCCAAGGACAAGCATTGGCTTTGGCACGGGAGGATTCCGTTCCAATTTCCGCCCAAATAAAACTGGCACGTCGGTACGCGCCCGTACGCTGCCGCAATTCTGCGGAACAGTTTGTGCCCTCCATGCGTGAACAGGAGACGCGACGGCGGCGTCGCACGGGACAAAAATCCCATCCCGATCGTCGTGCTGCTGCCGGTATGATCCAACGGAAAATATCGTGGAAACGCGCGTGCGTGCGTGCAGCCGTGCGTGCGTGGTTTCACGAGCGAGCCGGGAAGCGGAGGTGCGTGGGCCGTCGTGGAGAGCCCAAGCCCGAAATCATGGCCTCTCGCTGTTCATGGACTTTAGAAAGGGCGCTTGCTATTAAACGCACGTTCGTTCCTACTTCCTCCGGCTCATAAAAAAAACAAATCTAGAATAGAATGCGACATATTCAAGTACACAAATTTGAACATATATATATATATATACACAGATTCGTAGTATTATGATGTGTCACATTTGATACTAGGTTGATTTTTTTATAGAACGGAGATAGTAGTTGTTTATTTTTTTTTTTGAAAACTTTCGTCAAATAACTTTTATCTAAAAACTTTCATCGAAGAATTCCCATATGAAAAAAATGTGCGTTGGGAATGCACACATGCCGAATAGCGATCCAGCTTCAGGCGAACCTTTTGGTTACCTTGCTTCTAGTCAATCCGATCATCCGAGTTCTTCATGTTTCCTCGTCGAACTTTCATATCTCAAAGGACATAGTACGTAGCTTTAACTTTGGCACAAACAGTGGATGTACAGTACCACCGCAACCCTGCCAATGGAATTCAAGTGCCAGCTAGGCGCTAGCTACCACAAAAATTAAACATGCCTTTCGGGTTAGTACCCTGTACCCCCGTACATTTCTGCAGGTGTACGTAGAAACTGTAGATGGGGTATCGGCTGGTACTACACTGTGGAGTCCGAGGACAAGAATTGATTGGTACGGCGCCAAAATTCCGACCGTCGTCTGCACAGGGCGTCAACCTCCCAGCAATGGCGACGCCGCAATGGACAAGCTGCTGCCCGTGTGCGTCGCGCATCTCGATCGAACTTGCTGGCAATACAGATGGCGATGCATACAACACGCTTTGCGTCCTGTGATTTTGAGAGATGCTGTCTTAATCACATACAGTTTGTTTCTTCGGTTTACGATCTAGCTGCTGTTCAACACTGGCGTCCCTATGCACTCTCGCTAGCTAGTACCAAAAGCGGAACATATGCATGCAAAATATACACAGGACACAACGTATTAATCAAATAGAAATGATTCGGTACGACATTCTGGCGGCGTTGTTGGGAATCCAGGACAAGGAATCCTATTGCTACTACTACAGCTTATATATATTCCTCCAGCTGATTCAGAGCTATAGCTGCTCCGCCCGCCTCCAACAAGCTAGCTTACGCTTATTTTTAAAAAAACAAAACGAGATCTGGAGGGAGAGGTCTTCCTTCAAAGAATTTTTTTCAAAAAAGTTGTAAGCGTGTTGAAAATTAAACACGAGGTTTCAAAATTGAAATCATGCATCTTTTATCACTGTACTATCAAGTGTATCTTCTAGCTTATGCTTTTATATTTGCTCAGACAGAGGCAGGCCCGTACACCGGCCCAACTCCGTGACACAAAGCTCGCGCGCAACTTGTCGGCGAGGAGGACGGGATGTCGGGATCCAAGCCGTCGACGGCGACAACGCATGGGACAAACTTCTGTCCGTGCGCGTCGAGCATTCCGATCGAATTGCTGATAGGAATCGCATGTGTTTTCGTCACCGACGGCTATAGCTAGCCGGTGGGCTGCGCCAGAACGGCCGTGCTGGGCCTGTATTTGGGCCGGACGGATTGCGAAATTGCAACTGTAACCAGCAAAATTCCGGCGAAAAAAATAAAACCCTGTAGTAACTATAGCTGAGTCACTGACACAGCTCGTAGTGAGACGCGAAGGCGACGTAAGGCCGGTCACAGTGGAAGCTATGGCCCCACCTCCTTTGGCCAAAAAGTTGGCACAAAGCCACGCATCCCACAGTGCAAACGCATCTGTTTTGTCGCGTCTCTGTTTCTCGCCTCGCGAGAGAAAGTTTGGCGCGGCTCAGGACGGGAGCGAGTCGCTCTCCACGGGTGTGCGCCCTCCCTCCACGCAAGCAAGAATCCCACGTGGCGTCCCATAGCACCGAGCCAGCTGTATGCACTGTGAAGGGCCTAATATCGATCCCAGCAATGGTGAACTTCCGGGTGCCTGTACGATCTACATGCACTATGCTGCTGTCCAATTGGCTCTATATGTATATATAGGACGAGAACAGGTCGGTATGCTTAAGATTCCACCTGATGATGAACCAATTCCGTGACAGTTCGCATCAGTTCGAGACAGCCGGTGGCGGATGTGCTATGTATGGAGGAGGCGGGGATTCGAGTTTTCAATATCGGCATTAGGGTTATATGAGCCCTAGTAAGAAATGGCTAGAGATTCATCTACTCTACTCAACCTTCTTGTTTTTTTTCTCCAACAAGAGTTGGATGGAGATTAAGATTTTTGAAGCATACGCTTTTCAAACTGCTAAACGAGACGTTTCGTGTGAAAACTTTCTATTTGAAAGTTGGTCTAAAATATCATATTAATCTATTTTTAAAGTTTGTAATAATTAAAACTCAATCAATCATACGTTAATACCACCTCGTTTTGCGTAAAAAAACTTAATCTTCAACTTCACCTTCATCTTCAGGAGAAAAGAACACCATCAACCTCTTTTTTATCCGTTCCTGGTTCGACCATGCGTACGATGACTCAATTTGTTATAATACACCAAATGACAACACAGAAACACACGATATTTGTTAACGAAATTCAACCCAAACTACATCTTCGAGGTTTTGATTATAGGCACTCCTCCTCAATCAACATAGTACCTAGCCAATACGAGTTCATGGCCACGCTGTTACTCTCCCTGCGTGTCTACGCTATATATATTGTAGTTACCATAGTTATATTGTAGTGCCCCCTCTCTATTTAAAAAAGTTGCCGGGTTACAGAGTTTGATTTTAACTTTACCCTTACCACCTATTATTATGAATTTAAGTACAACTATCATTAAATATAACTAGTATATTTGATACCTATTCTAACGCAACGAGATACGGACTACAATATGTATACTTCAGCATTTTGTTTGGATTCCGGTAAGCAGCACGCGACGACGCCAAATTAAAGATCTCTTCAGACTTCAGCGACGGAGACAACACAAGGGACAATTCTCAGGCAGACGGCAGTACGTGCACGGTGCGCATTCCGATCGAATTTGCCGGCAGGATAGATAGAAGAACAGAACACGCATACTCCCTCCGTCCTAAAAAAAAACAAACCCTGGTTTCCGTGTCCAACGTTTAACCGTCCGTCTTATTTAAAAAAAATATTAAAAAAATAAAAAGACAAGTCACTCATAAAATATTAATCATGTTTTATCATCTAACAACAATGAAAATACAAATTATAAAAAAAATTCCTATAAGACGGACAGTCAAAGCTGGACACAGAAACTTTTTTTTTTTACGGAGGGAGTACTTCTCGATCTCCTCTGCAGCGGTCGCGCGTCGTCGGACAGGCCAATTCGCCCGTGCTGTCATTCGATCTACAGTAATTCTCTGACGTGAAAGCTCAACTGTTTAGGACGGTAACGATAAATCTTGTACAGTGAAACCCCGTGCAATGTACTCCCTCCATTTCAAAATAAGTGTAGTTTTAGCACTGTTCATGTCTAATGTTTGATCGTTTGTCTTATTTAAAAAAAATATAATTAGTATTTTTATTGTTATTATATGATAAAACATGAGTAGTACTTTATGTGTGACTATTTTTTAATTTTTTCATAAATTTTTTAAATAAGACGGGCGGTCAAAACACTAAACACGGATATCTATGGCTGCACTTATTTTGGGACGGAGGTAGTAGCAACGTCTAGCCTGCACTGAATGACAGAACAGACAGACATTGGCCACAGAACAGACAGACATTGGCCTTAAGATGGATGAAAGGTAAAAGAAAAACAGCCAGAGAATCATCAACGGGTGAGCGGGACGAGAGAAATCTGCACCCAGGCAAAATTCTCTCGAAATGTCTCACCACATGGTGGGAATTTGCTTCCATTTGCGTATACCGCGCAAGCATAAAAAAAAACTCTGTGGAATGGAAATAACAGAATGGATATGGAAACTTCAAGGCAATGTTTGTGAAAACCATTTCCAAAAAGGAAATACATTTGCAGAGCAAAGATTTCGAAGGTGGTACAGAATCATCTTTCCTAACGAACTCATGCCAACTACTATACTCATGGTCTCATGCCAAGTTATATTACTATAACTACACAGATTTGATTGATTTCTCCATCTAACGGTTTACGGCAAGTGCTCGAACACGGTGTGAAGAAGAGGAAGTGGTAGGATGCAGCTGTCGGTTCATGGATACCTCTGGAGTGCATGGTAATAATGTTGTAGGCCTGGGCCTTCACTTGCATGGGTTTGCATGACCTTGTAGATTGCTCTCTCTCTCTCTCTCTCTCTCTCTCTCTCTCTCTTTCTCTCTCTCTCATATTCTTATCAAGCTAAGGTATGTGTATTACGGTTGCAGCTTGTCCTTAATTAATTTTGGGTTTTCTGACTGCAGTAGTATACGATGACGGGAAAGCAGATTACCGGAGGACCTCCTAATACAAAGAGGGATCAAACCTCCTTCTAGGTTGTCTTTTTTTTTACTTTTTTTTTACGAAGGGAGTATGCTGTATTGTTTTTTCTTCTTTCCTCATCCTGGTCAAAGAACCATGTATTTTTCGTTCTGGTTTCCGCAGTAATGAATGACTATGGCCGTGTTTAGATTCTAACTTTTTTCTTCAAACTTTCAACTTTTCCGTCACATCAAATGTTTGTACATATGTATGGAGCATCAAATGTGGAAAAAAAAAACAATTGCACATTTCGACTATAAATTGCGAGACGAATCTTTTGAGCCTAATTACGCCATGATTTGATAATGTGATGCTACAGTAAACATTTTACTAATGACGGATTAATTAGACTTAATAAATTCGTCTTGCAGTTTATAGGCGGAATTTGTAATTTGTTTTATTATTAGTCTACGTTTAATACTTCAAATGTGTGTCCTTATACTTAGAAAAATTTTGGCACACGAACTAAACACAGCCTATGTATTTTCCATTTACTTTTGAGTTTTGGTGTCACTCTAATGCGTGTACATAGATTTTCTTCTTGGGAAATTGTTTCCCTATTGCTTTAGTTTGTAATTTGGTGCCTATCTACGTCTTAATTTAGGCGAATCAGAATGAATGCGTCCTATATTTGGGGTGTTCTATTAGCACATGATTAATTAAGAATTAACTAGAAATTTAAAAAATAAGTAATATGAATTTTTAAAGCATTTTTTATAAATTAATTTTCATAAAAATACCATTTAACAATTCAGAAGATTGAGAAGAGAGTAAAAAAGGCACCCTTAAAGGGCTTGAGGCTAAGAACATCTATACACCGGCCATAAGAAAGAGGCTCACAAGAATTTATCTTAATATCTTCGCTTTATCAGAAAGCTGAAACTATTTTGTTTTACGCTGGGCGGGCAAACTTGTATTAAGTGGGGCTTATAATAATTGGATATGTCCTATACATGGTACATACTACGTCAACCCAATATTGTGGTGTCAAAAAAAAAAACCAATATTGTGAATACTGAACTTGATTAACGGTGATATCGCAAACACATTTCAGCTTTTGTTTTTCCTCTACCTCAGAAGTAAAAAACTAAAATAATAGCAGGACATATGTATAAGGCCTTCTCATTACGAGCTTATAAATAAGCAAATGCCTACAAAATTTTTTAGCCTTGGCGGCAACCCAAACATGACAAACCCAAATACCCAATGTCTAAGACGTTTGTGCTCAGTTCATCATAGATCTGGCTTCTGTGGTGCAGTCTGCTCCTATCCTACCTTTGGGCTAAGAAAAGGTATGCCTAGAATTGCAAGCACATTAATCCTTCCATGGATCACTCTCGGGCCTCACTTCAGAGGGCTCAACAACTTCCGTCGCGGAACCTTCAGAAGACTCTACCTCAACGTTGGATTCGCTGGTGGCGGCTTCAGACTCCTCCGGTCTTCCCCATCTCCCGCCAAGAGCGATGGTCATCATCTCGTAGATCTTGCCACCCAACTCAGCTGGGCTGTCAGGCTGGATGATGCAAATGAAGAAACATGAGGAAATAGCAACATTCGTTATCATAAAAGCGTGTGTACAAGCATAGTTTTTGTTGCACTTACAGTATATCCACTGGAGATCAGCGCAGTCTCGTACAACAGCTCAACGGCCCTCTTGGCTTCGGTACTTTCAGGCTCGTTTTTGCAAGCAGCCTGCAATTGTGTTTGTTGTAAAGGATTAGTCGACCAACCTCTTATAAAGGGGGGATGACATATGGACGAAAGCTCTATATCAAGATAGGCATGTGGCAAGGTATAAGAACTAGCAGGGTACAGTAACTCTTACACTCAAGTCCTTGACAATTGGGTGGTCGGGGTTGATTTCAAAAATTCTTCTTCCTCTCATGAACTCTAAGCTTGAAGTATCACCAAGTGTTTGTGCCTTCATAAGCCTGTCAATTTAAATAAACAAGCATTAGAAAAAAATACAGATTTTTAGGTGATGATCTAATTGTATTAAATCTATAAAACATTATGAGTACCTTTCCATGTTTGCTGACCAACCAAATTTGCCAGATACAAGAACACATGGCGAAGAGCTAAGCCGGTTTGATATCTGAACCTTGGCAACTTTGTCACCAAGCTGTTGCTTTATCCAGTCACATAGAAGAGTGTATTCCTGCTTGCTCTCATTTTCCTTGTCCTCATCTTCATCACCTGTAGCAGCCAAGAGCCAACGTAAGTAAATGTGATGGCATAACAGGGGAAACTTATAGCCAACCGCATCAAAATTCCATTACCCAATTCCAGGTCTTCTTTGCTGATATCAACAAATTTTTTCTCTTTGTATGTCTGTAAATTCTGAATGGCAACCTCATCAATCGGCTCGATAAGGTAGAGAACCTGAAAAAGGAAAAGTGTGCCTCTGAGCCAGAACTGTAGCACAAGCAAACAACAAACCTTTGGTAAATGGTAAATAAAAATCGTGCTCTTACTTCAATGTCTTTTTGAACCAACTTTTCCAAGAAAGGAGCAGTCTTTGCACTCTGAAGACTGTCTGTAGCAATGTAGTAGATTGCCTTTTGGTTTTCTGGCATGTTCTCTACATACTGATCAAGACTTATCAAATCTGTCTCATTTTTGGAAGAGTAAAACCGCAACAGAGGAGCAAGGCGTTTGTGATTTCCTGTGTCCTCAATGCAGCCAAGTTTAACAAATTTGCCAAAACTCTCCCAAAATTTTTTGTAGTCCTGCAATACAAACAACAACATGCATAAAAAAAAGGCCCAAAACATCAACATCTTGGGAAAGAGAAGTCTGGTTCTAACCTCCTTGTCCTCTTTCTCAGCAATCTCCTGAATCATATCAAATGTCTTCCTGACAAGTCTTTTGCGCATGATCCTGACCTGAAACATTAGGATCCCAATCAGCGAACCGTTATTATTCAGACATCAATAACTCCCCAGAGTCTAGTAAGCAGTAACTATAAGTTAAACCGCAGATGTATTATATCCAGAACTTACAATACGACTTTCTTGAAGAATCTCACGGGAAACATTGAGAGGAAGATCATTTGAGTCCACTACACCCTTTACAAAGCTTAAGTATCTAGGGAACTGCAAAGAGAGTAATTCATTCAACATTATTATCATAGTAACGGAAGAACTAACATCTAGCTATAATGTAAACAGAGCAGTAAAAAATACAGCAACATACCAACTCGCCATCGAAGTCATCTGATATGAAGACTCTCTTAACATACAGCCGGATATTCTTGGTCTTAGGGTTCATTATCTCCTCATTGCTAAGAGGTGCCATTCCTGGAATGTAGAGGACGCTCCTGAATTCCACCTCACCCTGTTTAGAACATCCGTTTCATCATGAATGTTTCTACGCATGAAAATGATAAACACAAACAAGTAAAGTTTGACAAGTCCAGGCACCTCTGTTGTAAAGTGGGTGTAAGCAAGAGGATCCAAAAACTCATTGAATGCCTTCTTGTAGAATTCATTGTACTCAGTTTTCTCAACTTCCTTTGGATTTCTCATCTGCATGGAAGAAAATTTCCATTAATAATAGAACACATATCTGTTCATGCAGCTATGGGAGATTGAGAAAATCAAAGACATGTTTCATGTTATAACTGCAGCGGAGGCACCAATTCTAGGTAACAAACTAATCAGGTGTTGCCTTACCCATATGGGCTTTGTTTCATTAGCCAATTCCCAATCCCAGTACTTCTCAGTGATTGTTTTCTTTTTCTTCTTCTTTTCACCCTATCGAACAAAGGGAAATACATCACATACAAATATACTGGAGACAACTTCAACATGAAGGCAACAAAATTACGCAGGAAACTAACCTCTGTTGCCTCTTCACCTTCTTTCGGTTCTTCTTCTTCAACCTAGGTACACAAACAGGGAAAAGGAGAGTGGAAATTTAGTAAGCACGAACTGCAGTAATACTCAGGATTCAGAAGGATTCTAGCATGGTCTTTCTCTACCTCAACTGTTCTTGATTTCTCCTGCCATGTATATATGGGGAATGAAACAAACTGGGAATAGTTCTTAACTAAACCTTGAATACGTCCAGGGTCAGCAAACTCGTACTTATCATCATCCTAAAAGAACAAAAGAGATAGTTAAAGATGTGCTACGAAATGAAAATTAGTAAACAATGTGCTAGGAAGTGAATTTAATCACATATACATAGTTGTGTACTGGTGAGTTAGTATAAGCTACTCACTCTTAAAAACAGAGTAATCTGTGTTCCGCGTGTCAACATTTTCTCAGGATCGGTTTCTTCCTTAATAACATATGAGCTGCTGTCAGCCATAGCTTCCCATACATACTGTTTGTCTGCCTTTGGACTCTTAGTGGAAACCACAACCTGCAAGGAAATGAAACGACAACAAGCTAGAGTAACATTTTCTAATTGTAAATTCAATCCAATATTCAATTTGAGAGGGAAGGTTTTACAAGCATTGAAAATCCAAAAAAAAAAACCTTGGGATATTGTGTACCTTCTCTGCAACAAGAAAAGCCGAATAAAATCCCACACCAAATTGACCAATAAGTCCATTATCTGCACCAAGATCTTTGTTCTCCTGATAAGAAGCAGGGTTTAGCATGGCAGCAACAAATAATAATAATAATAATAATAATAATAATAATAATAATAGAACGCAACACATATGTGACTACATGTGGGCAAAGTGCACCTTAAGAGCCTTCAAAAATTTGGAGGTGCCACTTTGGGCGATGGTTCCAAGGCAATCTTTGAGTTCATCTTTGGTCATCCCAATGCCAGTATCACTGTAAGATGCAAAACAATGAGATCGCCTGACGAGTTCCAGTGCAATTGATGCTTAAAATGATTAGTGGATAAAAATAGAACTCACGTGATAGTAATTGTGCCAGCCTCTGGGTCGGGTTTGATCCTAATTTCCAACTCACCGCCATCGGACAATACAGAGGAATCAGTTACACTGAGAAATCTCAGCTTATCCAGCGCGTCACTTGCATTACTGAGGGGAAACATAAAATGTGTCAGCATCAAATGGTACTGAATTGCAGTTTGTGGATAGTGATTCCTCCTTGGGCGCGACTAATTTAAAAACCCTAACAATGAGTAGAAAACTAACCTTACGAGTTCACGGAGAAAAACCTCCTTGTGGCTATACAGGCTGTGGACAATCAAATCCAGCAATCGGCTGACCTGCAGGACAAGGAGAAACATTGCATGACCAACTAATCCTCGAGCTACAAATTCTAAAAACAATAAGCAGATTGTAGGAACAGTTCATGACAATGTCAGCTTCAGTTATCTAAACACGAATTCCAAAAACGCATATCAATCAACACTGGCATTTCGCAGAAGAAGCCAAATCCAACATTCGACCTAGACGCGGACTCGTCAGCCCCACCTCAGCCTGGTACTCGAACTGCTCGCCGGCCGCCTCCTCCTCCCCGGCGGGCTTCTCGGTGACGGCGGCCTCGCACCTGACCCCGACCATCCTCCCCTTCCCCTTCCTCCTCCCGGCCTCCCACCTCACCCCTCTCGCGGCCACCGCCGCCGCTCCCCTCCCCTGCACCGCGACCGCGCTCCGCAGCGTGGGACCCCGGCCCCGCGACGGGGTCGGCCTCAGCGCCGCAACGGACGACGCCCCCAGGCTCCTGCTCAGCGCCGGCGCCATGGCCTTCCCCCTCCCACCACTATACCTCTGTGCTCTCTCGCCGCGGGCTCCGCTTCTGATGAGAGAAGAGAGACGAATGGATAAGAGAGAGACTTAGGGTTTATACGAGACGCAACGGCAAGGCGAGGCGGGGAGGAGCGGGTTTTGGAGGGGATGGATGGAGAGGAGGGCGACTGGGCGAGGGAGAGGGGGAGGATGGCGCGCGGCGCGCGTGGCGGCGAGCCCGGAGTGTTCTAGAAGCGCCTCGGGCGCACGGGAGTGGCGTGGTGTGGTGGGGTCGCGGCGCTGCGCGCGGACGGCTGTGGTTCGTCGGATGGGCGCGTCGACGGCGGGGATGGGGACGGGTTGGTTGATCTTTTGCCAGCAAGGGATATGCGATGGGCGAGGAAGATATGAGTGTGAAAGGATGGAGGGCCCACGTGTCAGGGTCAGTTCTGGGTTAACATTGTTGCTGGGCTTAAGTTAGTACTACTGTAGTACTGTTTATGGGCTGGCCGAGGACGTACTGCTACATTACTGTTCGAATAAGTTCACTTTGACTCCCTAAAATATGACCTGAATCTAATCCATGACCCTAAACTGCAAAACCGGATATCTTCACCCCCAAACTATTGAAACCGGTGCAATTTGACTCCCTTAGCGGTTTTAGAGGGCGGTTTCGTCGACGTGGCGTTGACGTGGCGGTATTGACCTAATCTGTGTACTGATGTGACGCTGAGGTGACATTTCAATTAAAAACATATATGTGGGACCGTTTGTCATTCACACACACAAAATTGTGGGGCCCACTGACATGTGGGCCCCACATGTCATCTCCTCCCTTTCTTCTTCCTCCCCTCCTCCTCCCTTCTCTCTCTGTTCTCCCTCTCCCTTTCGGCCGTCCGCGGGGAGCGAGCGGCGGCGGGCGGGGGCTGAAGCGACGGTGGCCGGCGGGGGCTGAAGCGGCGGCGGCTGCGGGAGCTAGCTGGAGGTACATCCTTCCCCATGAGCAAGCTCCTCCACTGCGCCACCGTCTCCTTCCCGCACCACGCGCGCGCCGCTGAGATCCTCTTCGAGCACTTCACCCCTCGCCCCAACCTCTACATCTACAAGACTACAATTTCATGCTCTCTTCGGCGACGGCGGCGGCCTCCTCCTCGCCGAGTCGTCGACCGGCTGCTCTCTACATGTCGATGATGGCGTCATCCATTCCCCCCGATGAGCAAACCTTCCTGTCGATGCTCAAGTCGGAGCGCCGCTCCGTCGGGAAGCAGGTGCACGTGCACGTGGAGGTGAGTGGCTTGCATTCGAGCGTGTACCTCCGGAACTCGCTGATCAAGATGTACCTCGACGCCGGCGATGTGGAGGCGGAGGAGGCGATGTTCCGGTGTACGCCGACGGCGGACACGGTGTCCTGCAACATCATGCTGTCCGGGTACGTCAAGGGAGGATGCGGCGGGAAGGCGCTGCGGTTTTTCTGCGGCATGGTGTCGAGGGGGATCGGTGTTGATCAGTACTCAGTACACGGCTGTTGCTCTCCTCGCTTGCTGCGGGCGGCTGAAGAAGGCAGTTCTTGGTAGGTCCGTCCATGGCATCATTGTGCGGAGGATCGGTATCGTGGATAGGGGATTGATTTTGAGCAATGCTCTCTTGGATATGTATGCCAAATGCGGGGAAATGAACATGGCCATGAGAGTCTTTGATGAAGCTGGTAAGAAGGATGGCATTTCATGCAACACTATGGTTGCCGGATTCTCACCGGCCGCCACCAATCCGGCCCATGCCCGCCGCTGCCAGCTCCAGTCCACCGTCGCCGCCGCTTCAGCTCCCGCCGCCGCCGCTCGCTCCTCGCGGATGGCCGAAGAGGAGAGGGAGAACAGAAAGAGAGAAGAGAGGAGGAGGGGAGGAAGAAGAAAGGGAAGAGATGACAGTGGGCCCCACAATTTTGTGTGTGGGAATGACAAACATGTCCCACATATATTTTTTAATTAAAATACCACCTCAGTGCCACGTCAGCACACAGACTAGGTCAACACCACCATGTCAACGCCACGTCAGCGAAACCGCTCTCCAAAACCGCTAAGGGAATCAAATTGCACCGGTTTTAATAGTTTAGGGGTGAAGATATCCGGTTTTGCGGTTTAGGGTCATGGATTAGATTCGGGTCACTTTTTAAGGAGTCAAAGTGAACTTATTCCCGTTACTGTTTGGGGCTTTTGTCCACCCGGCCCAGATTCACTCCAAGCCGGCAGGCCACGATAACCGCAGCTCACACCGCCCACGAAGGAGTAAGGGGCTGTTTGGTTGCTACCCTGAGCAAAACTAGCCTGGCCTGGATCTAGCCTGGATCAGGCTAATGACATTACGTGTTTGCTCAGGCCAGGCAAGAGGAAAACAAACTCAGGGTGGCAAGAGGAAAACAAACTCAGCCTGAGCTCCAGGCGCAGTATCGCTAAGAAGAAGAGGGCGTCGTCGTCGCGCGAAGACCCCCACCGCCGCCGCTTTTGCCTCCGACGCCGGCGTGTGAGTCATCACCAACATGCTAAACCCACCGCCACGTAAAGCATCTCGCCCCCTGCCGCTGCGCGAAGCCCTCGATGCCGTCGTCTCAAAGGATTTCGCGCACGAAGCAGTGCTAGATCTGCAGCCGCGAGAACATGCCGGAACCGGATCCTCTGACGTAGCGGTTTCTACGTCAGAGGGACGTCCGGCTACGCTGATCCGTCCGATCGGTATTGGACGGGAGCGATCGAGCAAGCTAGCTCTTGCGGCCCATACAAGAAAAATCGGCCCACGAAGAGGCTCCACCGCCGCCCCCCTGACAACCGAAGCGGCGCCGGTAAGGGGAAGAGAAGGCAAGCATCGGCGCTGCCAATGGGGAAAGCCGACTGACGTGATCTTCATCTCTCTCGAGCTACGGTGTCAGGAGATCGCAGGAGAGACGGGTTGAGGTGGCCTTGGCTTTGTCCGGAAGACCTGCCCTCCCCGGCAGGGCTCGCGCGCACGGCCGCATGTGGTGAGCAAGGCAAAGGTGCCGGTGCGGCGGTGCGGCTGGACATCTGGTGCCCAGGTCCCGAAAGCTTGTGTTCCCGACGTTGCTGGCGGAGGCGTCGGATTACATTGCGGCACTGGAGATGCTGGTGCGCTCCATGGCATAGCTCCAGTTTGTGCTTCGGTCGCGCCGGCGGCAGCGGCGGCGGCGGCGGCGTCGTGATCTCCAGTGGTCCAGTTTCAAGCAAGGAAGGACTCATGTGTATCTGTCCGTCTCTTTTTTGGGGTGTTAGTGATCAAATCTATGGTGAAATTCATCCATAATCAGAGCAAGATCTAGTGTTTCTTTTAATTAACTTGGTCCGAAATGATTTTTGTTTAACGGCAAGCTCGTGGCTTCTGCTGCAAAAGCAAGCACGAGAGTATTCACACGCATTTTTTGGACCGTATGTTCTCGAATGGAATCGTGGGCGCCTGCTGTTCGTGGGCTGATTTTTTCCGGCGGTAGGCGCCGCTCTATGTTGTTCGTCCTCCCAGGCGGCGGTCCGGTTGCGTTGGGAGTGAGTGGGACAGTGGTCAAGCCTCGTCATGTGGGCCACGAGAAGCTTGTTCGATCGCTCCCGTTCGACGCCGATCGGATGGAGCAGCGTAGCCGGACGTCCCTCTGACGTAGAAACTGCTACGTCAGAGCATCCGGTTCCGAAGATGCCGCCATGGCTGCTAGCATTTGATTCGTTGATGGTAAGTGCTCTGCGTGTGTCTGAGAGAAATCATCGTTGATTGAATCGCTTAATTTGGTGCATGCTTGGATTTGGGGATTTCTTTCTTATTTTTCTTTCCCTTTTTTTCCCATTTTTTCCCCATGGATTTCAGTTGTCTTCTATGATTTGTGTCTTCAATTAGCATCTACACTAATCATCTCAATTTCTCAAGCCCAACCGTATTGGCTCTAACATCAGTATTAGCAGTAATAATATCAAACCCAACATCAGTTTTTCCTCTTAGACAAGAGTGGCAAACCAAACAAGGAAAGCATCAGGCGGCCTGAGCAAGCAAGCTTCATGAGCATCTCGGATGCCTCTCAGGCATACAAATTTCTCAGGCTTGGTGCTAAGGGTAGCAACTAAATAGACCCTAAGTCTTGCCTCCCTCAACTCATGCCCATGCTTGAATCGTATCTCTCAATCGTAAAACCCGGTATAATCCATCCCCTAACCCTAAAACAGTTACAAATCGATCTCTCGGGTGCTTCGGAAGCATTTTTTTTCACGTGGCATTTTTATTCCATTGACTGGCTGAGTCAGCTTGTGGGACCCATATGTCAGTGACAAGGATAAAAATAAAAAAGTGAGGCCCACCATCAACCACACCGATCAAAGCGTGCCACCTACATCCTCGAGAGCGTCTCCCTCGTCGCCCTATTCCTCTTACTCTTCTCCATGGCCATCAAGACAGACCTCACCTTGCTTCGCCGCTCCACTGCCCATGCCCTCACCATCACCGACTACCTCGCCCTGCTCGTCGTCACACTCCTCGTCGACCTACGTGGCCCCTCCCTCATCACCAAACTTATCATCCGCCTCTCCCTCTCCTCCTTCCCCGTCATTGTCGACGCGCTCACCAAGCTCGACCTTCTCAACTCCGAGCTTGGCTTCTTCTCCCTCAACACCTCGCTCATCACCGACGTCACCTCCTGGTTCCTCCACGCCTACTTCATTGCCGCCTTCCTCATCACGGAGGCCAAGGTGCTCACCTCCTTTGCTACCTTCGTCCTCTCCGTCGCCTTCGTCGCACAGCCCGCTGGCCGCCGGCCGCAACATATTGCGCAAGCGCATCCCGGCATGTCTCCCTCGAGGGCGGTCGCACAAATCCTGCCATGTCGCTGGCCGTCCATGTGAGCTGCTATGCAGATGAAGGTGCAGAACAAGGGAGGCTCGGACGACCGCCACGCTGGCATCGGCCTCACGGCGCTTCCGCCTGTCCACAGCCGTCCCCGATGAGCCTCCCAAGTCGTCGGGACTAGGCTCGCTATGCGAGCTGTGGTGGCTAGGATTTGAGGAGGGTGGAAGCGGTGGAGGCGGTATGGGTGAGGACGGGCGCTGTGAGGCAGGCGACCAAGAGAGGGGCACGAGATGAACGACGGGCGATGGCCGGTGGGCGGAGGGTGGGGTGGCAATCGGCGAGCTGGTCAGCTGGAGGAGAAAGAGAAGGGATTAGATAAAAAAAGGAGAAGTGTCGCTGATAGAGGGCTCCACCGTTTTTCTTTTTTATCCTTGTCACTGACATGTGGATCTCACAAGCTAACTTAACACATCGACGGAATAAAAATACCACGTGGGATAAAACCACCTCCGAAACAGTTCAGAGAGTCGATTTGTATCGGTTTTGGGAGTTAAGGGACGGGTTATACCCGGTTTTACAGTTAAGAGGTACGATTCAAGCTTGTGCATGAGTTGAGAGAGGCATAATAGACCAATTCCGCCCACGAAAACCACTGCAATCCGCGTCGGCGACTGGCGCTGCACACGGCACGCGCGCGACCTGCCAATCCGCACCGGGTGCCCCGCTCGCACGTCGACTCACCCCCGTCTGCTCACCGCAGCCACACGCCACCGCAAAACCGGACTCGTACGCACGCACGCACGCACGCCGCGCACCCTTACCACCACCACGCCTGAGAAGTGAGAACCGTTGAATCAGAAGCGCGCACCGGCCAGAAAAAAAAAACGGCGTCCGCACGCGACGTTCGCAGCCGGAGCTTATTGCCGGGCGACAAGAAGACGACGAGCAGCTAGCGAACCAAAGCCGCCACTGTGAACTTTTCATCGTATCAATGCATGCACACCATGCGTCCATGCGACCATGCCTCTCGCCTCATGTCAAACCTACGCGAGACAGAGCACTGCAGCAGCAGCAGCAGCGCCCGTGCGGCACAGTCAAAGATGCGAGGCGCCAGGGACAGCCAGATCCAGACGCTCTGGGACTGAAGAAATTAGTAGCAGAGCACTCAACTACCAACTGAAAATCTGGAAGACAACAAACTGAAACCATGATCGAGATAGTAGCAACGACAACAAACTGTCACGCCCCATCACCAGACACTGCCAGGTGGGGCCACGGGTCTGACCATGACCACGAACACACTCACCATCTCGATCGCCGCGGTAATACTAGTGCTAAGCTAGACTAGTACTAATCCCGGACCGCTTGGCACCAGCACTCGCTTGAATCAATGCCCGATCTCTCTCTCACGCGCCAATTGTTAATTCCATCACCACGATGCAGCTGTGTGACAGATCTTTGACCGGGGTAGCAAACAAATGGTTAGGGCCCTAAATTACTAGTTACTAGGGGCAAAGAATCTTGACTGTTAAGCAACGTGGCCCCCTGCTTAGGGCACCCACAATAGTTATCTATAGACTCTCTACAAGAGATCCATGTCAGCATATTTTCCTACTTGGAAAGTATTAAATGAAGAGAGAGAGCAAAACTATCTACTAACTTAGAGATAGTCTATAGAAAAAAATGAGGCAATGCATGAGAGAGCTATAGATACCAATATAGACATACTATTAAGGTGGTTTACTATTAATCGAGTCTATTGCTGAGATGCACATGTTTTATAGAGAGCACCTTACTTTACCATTGCGGGTGCTCTTAGGTAGCTGCAAAAATAAACCCTCCTCCCACATTATCTTTGGTAATTAATCAAGACCACTCACCCATCACTTCATCATTCACCACTCACTCACCAATCTCACCGTTACCACTTGGCAGATCAGATCACACTCCTCCAGATGCTGTAATTAACTCCGTAGTGCGCAAGTAATCACTGTGTCAGTGCTACTAACTGAAAAAATATGTAGTGCAAACCACATATGTAGTGGAAACTTGGAAACTACTGTTGGATCGAGAAATGGACGTTCGAGATTCGTCCACGTCACCATGAGTTAAATTTTAACTCCCAATGAAATTTTAACTCATGAGTGAATCTGCGAGTTAAATTTTAACTCATGGTGACGTGGACGAAACTCTGACGTCGTTTCTCGGTCCAACGGTAGTTTCCAAGTTTCCACTGCATATATGGTTTGCACTACATATTTTTCCCTACTAATTGGTACCCCTAGCTAAGCACAACAATGGCAGCTTGGTCTCTGAAGGAATCCTAGACCCTAGCTAGTGATCTCCCTGCAAGAACCAAGGGGAGTATTATAGGGAGCTGGATCTCACACACGAGAATGCGAGACGGTTTTGTACTAGTTTACCGTCTCCAATGCACGCAGGGTTCGTCGATCTGAAGACATCTCAGATGCGTGGATCTACGCATCCGATGGCGATCGCCTCCGTTGCATCTCATCGTCGAGCGCGCGGCGGCGCGAATGGAGGGCAGAGAGAACAATGCAAAAAATCATCACTTCTCGGGGCTTTCCATTCTTGCGTGCATTCCGTCGCGGCAGAAGCCTCAATGGGAGTGATCCTTGTCTGAACCCCGATGGCCGGTGATGAGTGCCCCGGAGATTGATCGGTTTCGATCGTTTTTTCGCCTCAGAATTTGATAAATTTGATATCCTTCCATGTGACAAGCAAGAGCGAGTTCAAGATTTCGACTCGTAGCTAGGACCACTGCGTGCGTGCATCGGTGTGCGTGCGCGCTAGAGAGAGAGAGAGAGAGAAGGTGAGAAAAAAGGATTAAGAAAAACGGAAAGCACGTACACGGCCGGGGACAGTTTGGTATTCTAGAGGGCGTTGTCAGATGGCAATTTGAATATGCAGTAGCTCTCTTTGACTAACACATCTCTGTTGATCTGAAGCTCTGAAGCCTTATAAAACCCCTTCACTTGCCATCTAAACCTCTCCTTTGATCCTGTGCTGGTTCAGAGTTTGGCAACTGGCTTGGCTTGCAGGGTTTGTGTCCGTGTGGCAACATGAGGTGCGCAGGTGTTCTTCTTCTGCTACTCCTGCTCTCCCTGTCTGCTCTGTCTGCTTCAGCTTCTGAAGCCAACGAGGTTAGTACTACTACTGACCACTACAATTCTGCCAACTAGTTGTAGTAACTTTGCAAGTGAAACTCAGGTTATTTTTCTGCTTCTTGTATAAAAATGCAGGAAAGGTTATTGCGAGAAAATGCGATGCCGATAACGGGTCGGAAATGGTTGAGAGGAAGGAAGGCAATGGCAGCTGCAGGTCGGCTGGGACATGGTGGTGTGGTGGTGGTGGAAGGCAAGGGAGGAGGAGAGGAGAAGAATAAGAAGAACACAGGTGCAAACACTGCCCATGTCCATGGAAATGGAAGCGAGAGAGCCGTAGATGTTGCCGTTGTCGGCAAGAGTGGCGGCAAGCACGGGTTTGCCGGCCTCGTGCCGTTCAGCTCCGATTACCGCACTCCGAGAACTCATCCACCAAGGAATAACTGAGAGAAAAAGAAAAGGCAAAGACTTTAGACTTCTTCTTGGTTGTTGCCACTGATTGATTTACTAGGGACTAATTTGAACCAGATAGTGTGTTTTTTGTGCTTTTCTTGTAGGCTCTTAATCTCTGATACCTCCCAAAAATTTTAGCACCCAGACTTGATCCTGTCATTAGCATTGCATTAGCGAAGCGTAGTTAGTTCAGTTATACTGCTTTTCTGACAGAATTAAATCACCTCTTAATGAGGGGCTGAAATGTGTCATTTCTGTTGTTCCAGGAGCAGCAAATCAAGAAGCAGATGCATCTGCTAAAGCTGTAAATCATGAGGTATGTGCATTCACCTGTGTGCAAGCTTGCACGAGTATCAGCTTCTACAGTTTGCTGATGTATGTTCTTGTTTGCATTTCAGGAGAAGCAGAGCAAGGGGGGAGCTTCAGCAGCAGCAACAACTCATCTGTCATGTTTCAGGAGCCAAGTAAGCATGACGATACTGCCGCCGCGGTGTCCAGGATGATGAGCATGGACTACAAGACGCAGGATGCTCGTCATCATCGACCGATCAACAACGATGCTCCGTTGGACCATGAGCTCGTCGAGAAGCCCTAGACACATTTTTGACTTAGCTAGCTAGATATCTACTAGCTATATATCGGAACATGAGATCGAGATGCTGACTCCTCTACCTTCATAGATACATGTATTTCTTCTCTGCTTTTTTTTTTGTCAGATACATATGGTAGTCATTAGTTAGCTGATAGCTAGCTAGGTAAGGTAGGTACCCGTTCTGACCCCAAGCAATATGTAGCATTATAGCCCATTCCTGGCCACTACGGTTGAGGAGATGGGCAGTTTTGGTGTGTGTGATATGTCCTCGGAGATTGGTGTGGGGAACATCTGTAATCTTTCAGCAACATTTCTGAAGTTGCAGAATTGTTTGGAACTGATGAAGATTATGATTAAGTTGACACACGTAAAATGAGAAAGCTATTAGCATATGATCGATTAAGTTTTAATTATTAGAAACTTGACAAATTGATATATTTGGTATTTTAAAACAACTTCTACATATCAAATTTTCACACAGAACACGCCGTTTAATAGTTTGAAAAGCACGTGCTAACGTAAACCGAGGTAAATCTATATCTTAATAAGAAAAGAATAGGACAAGGTGGTAACTGTCAGATAAGGTTTTCCTTACCAAAGGTACCAGAGAGGAGGGGTTATCGCACCCAGGTGGTAAGTCCCGTAACCACAATAACCATGGTGAAAAGTTAAAAACAGTATTTTTTTATTTAAATTTCTTTTGAACTTTGTGGGGTTATTAAGCCCTTACTGTTACGACCACCTGGTGGTAACCGGGGCCAAAGGGCCACTCTGCTGTTAAATGGACGGCGGCCCTTGTACTTCATGCTGTAGCATCATGTGAAGTGCAGCAGTATGTTCTTCAGGTCGTTCAGTTTGCAGTGATGGGGGAGGGACATGGAAGATTCACAGTTCCTTGAGTTGTTGGGCAATTTCTGACTTCGTTTGGCCCATGGCATTCGTCCGAAGTTCCAAACCAGCCCATCTAAAAAGAGTCTCGGGCTATTTTTGACTATAGGGAGTACTATCTCTCACCAAGGACAACCTTGCTAAGAGAAATTGGAAAGGCAGCAAGACATGTTTCTGCCACAAGGATGAAACTATCTGTCGCATCCTGATTTTCGTTTTAGGATTTATAAATTATTTAATACATTATCATTAAAATTTATATTAAATGTTCATTAATTTACAAGTGAAGTTAAATGTGGGAAATAAAATTTCTTAAATATAAAGCATGGATGGATTTAATTTTTATTAAATTCTTCATGGTTAATTATACTCTCTGGAATTTTCTCGGATTTTTCGGAGCTCAATTCCTAATTTTAATCATACAAACAACATTTCAGTAATTATCCACATATTAAATTAATCATTAAATGGTCTTATTATAATCTTTTTAAGTACTTTGAGTGTCCAAATATTTTCAGGATTTTTCTTGAAATTATTTGAGCATTGGAAGTATTTTTAACAATTCAAAGATCATTTCAGTGATTAATTTAATTGGAAAAGTAATAAAAATCATCTTCCTAGTCTTGGGCCCTTTTCAGCCCATTCCCTCCTTCTTCAGCCCAGCCGATCCAGCAGCTCCTCTTCCTGTCTCTATCAAGTCTGCTTTGTATCCCTCCTTTAATCAGTCCTTGGAAGAATAAGCCCAGCCGAAAGTCTTCTTTGCCTCCCTATCGCTACAGTACCATCTTCAACCTCCAGGCAGAGCCGAGCCAGCCGTCCCGTGCACAGTTGCCGTCGATTTCCCCTCCAAATCCGGTCTCCTCTCTCGTGTTATTTCAAAATTAGTTGAGGGGAAATATTCCTTTATATCTCCTCTACTTTTCCCCCAAGAATCGAACTTTATCCCGAAGAAATCAACGCGGAATCGAGCTCGGTTCGTGTTTATCTCTCCACCTAACCCTCGGATTTTCCGGCTCAAATCCTTTCGTTTGGAGTCCGATCTCCCTCACCCATGCCTATATAAAGGATCCCCTAGCTGCCCTCTTCCGTTTGCGTCGAGTCCAAGCCGCAGCCGTCGCCCGTAGCGCCGCCACCGCGTAGCCCTAGTCGTCGCCGTCGTTGTCGTCGCTTCAGCCGCGCCGCGCCGCTGCTGTGGTCGTCGCCGCCGCCTTACGTCGCCACCGTCGGGTTCGTGAGGAGGAGGAGCACCCCGTCCGCCCCTTTGCAGCCGCCGAAGACCGCCGGAGCGCCGCCGTCGACGTTGAGCCGAACCGTGCCGCCTTGGGACCTCGTCGCCGGCCGTCGTTTGTCGTCGTCCGTCGTTTTTCTTTGCACCGGTGAGCTCGCGTCGTCGTCCTCTTTGTGTTGGTGTCTTCAGATAGCCCAACCGAGCTCTCTATCGCCGGCGGAGTTGTGGTCCAGTGCCATCGCTGCGATGATGTCATCGCGACATCATAAATCTTTTTTTAGTTTTTCTGTATTAGATAAAATCTGATTAAACTTCGGAAATTCATAATTAAATCATCATAACTCGGATTTGAGTCATTCAAGTTGCTAAATTCACTTAAAATCATGATCTACATGTTTGTTTACTTTTTATATACTGTTTATTTGGTTTTTATTAGTTTTTTTCTTCGTTTTACGTGTTAGCTCGTCGTTTCCGTTGTTGCGAAGGTTCGCGAGTGCGTCGAAACTGGTTTAGAAGACTATTTGAAGACCGATTATTGCAAGGCAAGTCACACAGATCCTAAACACAATCCAATCCTTTGAGCATGTTGATCCTATATTTAAATTCTCTATTTATTTCAACTGTGCATTTATTTTCGAATGTCACCGGATGGTGTGAACCTATTCCTTTTGTTATGGCCAAATTGCATTGATTACTCTATTCCTCGATACCTTGGGTAACAAATTGATTAGTTTGAACCTTATATATTGGTTTGGTTCAGCTAAAAGCTATATATATATATATATATATATATATATATATATATATATATATATATATATATATATATATATAAATTGATTGGTGCTATATGGAGTATGGGCTCCAAGATTCAAATTGAGTATATACCCAATTTGAATGAGTATGAAATTTTTTTAAATGTTTAGATATGAACATTAACTTCTTTACTAACAAGTTTGAACTGAGTTTAAACTTTTTTTTTTAGATTTTAGTTCTAAGTATATAACATCCAAACATATAATTCGTTAGGTATGTAATAATGAATTGTGAAATAAAGTTGAGTTTGAGTTGTTTTGTTGTTAGGTATTTGTATGAATCAAATTCATATACCTAGGTATATACTCACAATTTGAAAATTTTAAAAAATTTGAGAGAATTTGTGTGTTTTATACATTGGAGCCCGGGCACCATGGAGTCCCATATGTGTATCATATATATATATATATATATATATATATATATATATATATATATATATATATATATATATATATATATATATATATATATATATATATATATGCTTAGCCATGCTTAGAAACATTAGCTTATTAATAGGATGAATCATACTACATTATTATTTATGATTATATTCAATGGTAGCCCATGATGGTTAATCGTGTTATGATAATTAAAACTTGACAATGGTGGGTTGTGAGCACATGGTTTTAAAGGTCGTGCTCATGACAATTAAGGACCGGTTCGCGAGCTACTGTTGTGAGACATTAACTGTACCAACCACAAGCCAGCGTGGGCAACGGCTTTACCTTTTGTATAGCATGATTCATTGTGGGGTGCCAGACTGAGAAGCGGCGAGAAGTCCGTGGGGGGTCGCTGGGGAGTCCATGCCTCTGGTTATATTTATAGAGGGGGTGATTATGATCCAGGAATGGTGCACTGTGGTGAGTTGTGTTGTGCTGAGGGTATTTTCATAGCCTCTATTCAGGTACTTTCCAGTATCGCGACGCATGGTAGACATGATGTTGAGGCTGTGTCTTGTGGGTACAGTGGTACACCTCTGGCCAAAGTAAAACTATTTGAATAGCCGTGCCCGCGGTTATGGGCGGGTTGAGCAATGTTTTTCGTGATTAGTCTCATACCTCTCACAAAAATTATTGATGCTATAACTGGTAATAATTTGCTTAGCTTCTGGTTTGGAGTTAGATCTGTACAACCGGGTATGGTTGTTCAGGATGGTTGGGCCTGAGCAGTATGGGTGTGCTGTTCAGTGTTGATTAAAATTGATGATTAATTACTCTACTGTTTTACTTCTCTTAAATGTTTGCTAAATGCTGCTTTTGCAAATGAGCCTATATTATGCCAGGTATCCTTGTACACTTGCATATTTGCTGTGTGATTTGTTGAGTATGTCATATGCTCACCTTGCAATAATCAATCAACCTCCTTTGAAGAGAAAGGATCCAGAAGGAGAAGACGTTTGGCTTATACCCCAGTTGAGCTGCCTGTGGGAGTGGAGCTGAATTCATCGCTAGACCGTTAATCCGTTGCTGTTTTTCTTTTCTTTTGTAAGTATGCAACGTTATTATTATGATGGATTTGTATATTAAATTGTCAGTTTGTGTACCTCGGCTGATTCCTAGACGAGGATTTTATGCACAAATTAGTTCGGAAATTACTAGTGAATTTCCGGGCTTGACACTATCCAACATTTATTCTTTCAGTGCCGCTTATCTCGCTTGGTGTGGTCTGTAATTCATTTGGCTTCTAATCTGAAACCTCCTCGCAATGTTGGTCATATGTTTGGGAGTTGGCTATCATGTGTCCCCAAAGAAATGAGGAATCTGCTTTTGATGGGTGCAACAGCTCTGTGTTGGTCCATTTGGCTAAGTAGGAATGGAGTAATCAAGATGGTGTCTTCTCCTTCGCAGGTTATCACCTTAGTTACCCGGTGGCTATGTACCTGGGCTATCCTCCACCAACCAGGACTGCGGGATACTATTACAGTGATATCTCGACAGTTGGACCAGGTAGTACATGAGTTTTTTACCCAGGAGCATGGGTGGCGGTCTAGTCTACGGATTGATAGCTATTAAGATATACGGTGGTATCTCGACAGTTGCAGTTGGACCAGGTGGAACAGGAGTTTTTTTACCCAGGAACATGGGTGACGGTCTAGTTTACGGATTGATAGCCAATAAGATATACTCTCTCCATTCCAAATTGATCTACATATTTTATATGTAGATCAAGACCAAGAAAAGCTAATAACTCTCTCATACTATATTTACTCTAGCAACAAACTTAATGCATGCACCATCCCCACTATTTTCTAGCCAATAGCAAATCAAGATATTGCATTATGAATGAACACAGATGTGTAGATCATTTAATAATAACCTAAAAAAACTATATGTAGATCAATTTGTAATGGAGGGAGTATGTTTCTGTCAAACTTTTGTACTTTGGAGATGTTCTAGTTGTTTCTTTCCTTTTTTGGCTGTGTGTATTTTATGCAGAGGCCGGGGGTGACTTAGTTTAATTGTATCATTTTTGATGTAATTAATTGAGTCTAAATAAAGTTTCCATTATCTCAAAAGGGAGTACTATCTTCTATTTTAGATTGAGAGAACTGAGAACATGATAATTCTGTGAGACTCTGTTCAAATTTTCTTCTAGCGGCACTTCTTCCCTATGTCGAGCGACTTCGGCACAGTGGGGGCCAGCCAAGTGTAAGCTGTTTTTATGGCTGGCACTGGCACGGTTTTTGGATGCAACGCATGGATGGACAACCACTCGTTGTGTCATTTTTGTGCATAGGAGGAGACGGTAAACCACATCCTGATCGAGCGCGTCTTTGCTCATAAAGTTTGGCTTTACGTGCTAACCTTTGGCAGAGGCGACCTTTCGTCGGACCGACATGCCCTGCTTCACGAGTGGTGGCACTGGCACCTTTCGAGGGGTCGACTGGGCAAGTAGCTCAAATGAGGTTTTGATACTCCCATCGTTCTCGTCTCTTGGCATCTTCGCGTCATCGACGATATTCTCTCTTAAATGCCGTAGATAGTGTTTGGTTGTAAGGATGGTTGTAAGGATGGGATATGATTGAATAACATGGGACGAATCTACTTTTTGAGATGTTTGATTTAAGGGTGAGTGGGATGGGTTGATCCCTGGAGAGAAATATTCCTCTCAGATCCGGGACCAATCCATCCTGCAAAATCTCGCGGATGAGCTCGTCTCACCTGGAACGGGCTCACGGCGTGAGGCGCGCCGCTTCACCCCGTTCACTCGCTCGCACTGTCCCCTTTCACTCACATCGTCGCACTCCGCTCGTGCTCCTCCGCCCACTGTGAGTGATGACGATGGCGGGCTCGAGCGGCAGCAGGCAGCTCGGGCGACGACGACGAATGGGGGCTTGGCGACGACAGATTCGGTGATGGGGAGGACGGCAGCGGCGAATCCAGAGGCGGGGAGGGCTGCGACGGAGGATCTCGAGGAGGGGAGGGCTGCAGCAGCGGATCCGGAGGCGAGGAGGGCTACGGCGACGACGGGCGAGGGTGAGTGCTTCGACGGTGGCGGCGGCAGGAGGCTTGGCAATGGCGGATTCGGTGGTGCGGCGACGACGACGACGACGAGTGAGTGTGAGTGCTCCGGCTGCGGCAGCGTCGATGACGATGGTCGTTGACGGTGGTTGCAAACGACGTCCATCCCATCTCTCCCTCGCCTCTTTAACCAAAAAAAAATTTGGATAGTCCCATCCTACAAACCAAACATGTGAATGGAATCATCCCAACCCCAAAATCAATGATGGTTTCATTCCATCCCACCTAGTCCCGAAAACAAACTCATGCTTAAGTGATCGATTGGATTAACAAGGAGAGGCAATAGTGGATGGAAGCGAACGCTAGCCCATTAGATGTTTTGTTAACTGTCTAGTTCTTTTTTTACATCCCGGTCCATTTAGAATGAGGTATGTGTGGCCCATATGAGCCGTGTGCGCATGTGTAGTACCACCTTGCTATTTTAACAAGGGTGAAACCAACTTATAAGGCCTTGTCCCTTCAACCATGCCACTCTCAGGTTAACCCTTTTACACAAAGCGATGACGAAAGTGTAAATAGGGTGGCATGTGTAAGTGGGCTCGTTCATCGGATGGGCTGGCTACGCGGTTCTACAGGAAGGGTTGTTACATTTTTGCTGCTAGTCTTTTCCTGTTGTCTGAAATAGTTATTTTTGTTCTTGTTTTCCATGTATTCCTCGGCGACCATCTAGTTCTTGTTCTCTATGTATTCCTCGGCAACCACCTAGGCAAGTCATATTCCCTCCCATCCAAAAAAAAGGTGAGGGAGTAGATGTTCTCTTTTTCCTTCTAACTAGCAAAAGTACCCGTGCGTTGCACCGGGTGATTACGGAGTGTGTATATTGACCAAAAGTGTTGTTTGGTCTAGCAAAAGTGCCTGTGTGTTACAATGTGAAGCGTACAGATTAGAAAAATATGCAATTAATTAAAATACAAATTCGCTGAAATATTTGGTATTTTTAAGTAGGTATGTGTATAATTAAATAAATTTACAAGTAAAGCAAGTGTGAGAAATAAAATGACATGGTTAAATTTAATTTTTTTTAAATTCTCCATGATTAGTTACGCTCTTTGAAATTATATTTGAATTTTTCAGAGCTTAATTGTTAATTTTATTAATACAAACGTCATTTAACAATTATTTACTTGGAAAAAGAAAGAAAATACTTCCTTTTAGGTTTGCTTCGAAATAAACACATTCAATAACTTATAATTGTAATGCTTCTGAAAAAATGAGCACTAAAAATGAACTTATTCTCTTTTTTTAGGCCTGAGGGACCTAAAATAGACTTATTTCCGGCCCTTGCCGGTCGGTCCACGGCCTTTTGTGCACGCGCAAGTGCACTTCCCCTCCCCAGGCCACAACCTGGGCTTGGGCCAGAAAAGTGGCCTCACTCTCGATCCCTCTTGGGCTGATTTCGGCCTGGACGACACCGATCGTCCGATCTTTAGGGTCTTGATCGGACGGCCGAGCGTCGATATCGGGGAAACAAAACCCTAGCCCATTTCCCTCCCTCCCATCTCACATCGCCGCCCTCCCCTCCGCGCCCCCGAGCGGCGGCGACGGCGCCCCTCTTCCCGCGAGCGGCGGCGGCGGCGCCCTCCCCCACAACCAACGGCGCGGCGCCCTCTCCCCGAACAACGGCGGCGTGGAGGCGGCTGCGGCCCGGCGGGAGCGGGAGGGGCGGCGGGCCGGACCTCGCCTCCGCCAGATCTGGCGGCATGGAAGCGGCTGTGGTCCGGCGAGGGCAGGAGAGGCGGCGGCGTCATCTCTTTCTCTCTGTGCATGGTGGGGAGGTGCGGCAGTGGTGGTGGTGGCGGATGTCATGGAACGCTGGTCGGGCCTCGCCTCCGCCAGATCCGGCGGTGTGGAGGCAGCTGCAGCCCGGCGGGGGTGGGAGGGGCGGCGGGCCGGACCTCGCCTCCGCCAGATTCGGCGGCATGGAGGCGGCTGCGGTTCGACGGGGGCGGGAGAGGTGGCGGCGTCGTCTCTTTCTCTCTCTCTCTGTGAATGGTGTCGGTTCTCCTGGTGATGCTAACCGAATAGGACTTGGTATAATTCAAACCAAGTCCTATTCGCCCAAACAGAAACAAAGTCCTAATCAGCTCAAATGAAAACAGATGGGAGTTTGTTTCCTATTTTTGTGGAATCGGACATATTCTTTTTTTTTCCCGATTTTTCTTTTACCGCGTTGATGAATCGGATTCGTTCCGGTTTTTTTTCACCCGGTTTTTTTAACGGACGATGGAAGCACCTCTTATTTTTTAAATAGTAGTAGATATACTTTTGTGCAACTCTTTTGTACGTCCGAAAAAAAACAATCTCAGTTCAAGCTTCCACGGGACTGTTGTCCGTTGAATTGAAACTCAAGCAAGCATAGCAGCTCTCACCAACAGGAAACATATATAGCAGCTCTCACATGCCAGTTGCGTGCCTCCTGTTACCGGGAGTTCCAAGAAGAAAAAAAGAGAAAAAGCCTCTCCCTTCCCTTGCCGTAGCAGCTGCCCATCCAAACAAACAATCAAGCAGAGCCAATGGCAGCCGTGGCGAACCCGACCACGCGCGCTTTCCACTCCTCGCCCATGCCGCCGCCGAGATCACTACGCCACCAAACGCGCCGCGTGGGCGACGACGGCGACGCGTAGCCAATAATACACCGCGCGCGACATGACGAATTGACGATGACGAGACGGCCGCGGCCAGGACGCCCCCGCGCGCGTTGGCGCCTACGGCGAGGCGACACAGCGGGAGGAGGGCGAGACACCTGTTGCTGTTATGGACGTCGACTTCTGAGCTCGAGAGCATCATATTCCTCTGAATATTTTCAGTTTTTTTTCCTTTTTACCTACGAGATGAGTTCAGGCCCTGTTTACATGCCACGCAAAAAATTTTACGCCTATCATATCGAACGTTTAAACATCTACATAAAATATTAAATATAGGCTAAAACATAACTAATTGCACATATTACGACTAATTTACAAGATGAATTTTTTAGCCTAATTGCTTCATGATTTGATAATGTGGTGCTACAGTAAATATTTACTAATGACATGTTAATTAGGCTTAATAAATTCATCTCGCGGTTTACTGACGGATTCTGTAATTATTTTTTATTAATACCCGAACATCTCATGTGATACTCTACATAATATCCGATGTGATACGTTAAAATTTTACACCCGTGAATCTAAACAACCCCTCCGTTTCGCCATGGAAAGCAACCTCCACTTGTGATGAGCTGTGAGGGTGTAAGATGAGATGGACGTGCTACCTAACCTGACTCACACTCCTGACAAGGGAAGGAAGAAAGGGCATAAAAAAGGTCACTTATGCTGTGGATAACACAGCAGGGGTGGCGGCTCCCTTGAATGTCTACAGGACATATGCTGGCGATATCAGAAACAGTCCCAGGCGATCTCTCCAAGAGCATACGTCAATCCCGGCAGAAAACAACGATGTTGGAGACCAGAAAATCGGTGCTTTCGTAGGTAGATATCACAAGGATATCATTTAGTAGTAACACAAGATTTCTGCAGGAGAGGCATGAGAGACCCACACTGATGGTGATATCAGCCAAACATGCAAGCAGAGTAAGGAATTGCTTATTGACATTTTTTTTCTGATGCAAGTTCTGGATAGTTCATCCACAAGAGCACCGATGAGGATCTCTACAGATTACAGATACAAACTGGTTATATATATATATATATATATATATATATATATATATATATATATATATATATATATATATATATATATATATATATATATATATATATATATATATATATAGTGTGTGTGTGTGTGTGTGTGCATATCTGCAGTAATAATATCCAGGTAAACGTCTCCAAAATGGTACAGCGCCGGTACACCGGCAAGGCCAGCACACTCACCACTACCAGGTCAAGCCCGGTATCGAGAGGTACTCATTCATTTCATATATGTACAGATGAAAGAACAACCCAACACATATGTCAAAGCTATTCACAAACACGACACAAACCCTCCTGCAAGCTCATATTTGTCAAGGACGGACGGTCTTATTCCCGAACCACCTCTATATCTTCTCCGAGAACAGACACCTACAAGCGTACAGAGCTTCTGCTAGCTGCCTTCGACGGACAAAGCTGCTGCTGCTGAACACCTGATGGGTTCCATCTACATTACCTTGGTATAAAGCTGCTGCTTCTTCTTCTTCTAGTTTCAAAACTGGCAAGAAGTGCCCAGCCTCTGCAACGGACGAGGGCCATCAGCAGCGGCGTGCTTCCGGGCTCGGAAGGCGCTCGGGAGCAGCTCCTGGAACTTGTCGAGGAATGCGCTCCACTCATCAGAGCCCATGTCGGACAGCTTCACAAAACTGGCGCTGGGAGGGAGAAGCTCATTGGCACTCCTGCTACCAGACTGATGCTCACTACCTTTGCCACTATAGTTAGTTTTAGCAGTCACCTTGTTCTTGGGAACACCTTTGTGGTAGGCTCTAGCTTTCCCAATGAAACCGAGCCCCTTAAATGATGCTGATAACTTTGAGACTGAAGGAATATGCTTCGAAAACGGATTTTTCAAGTTGCCAGCATCATCTTTGAACATATCTTCATCATCATCCTCTTCATCACCATCATCATCCTCTTCCTCTTCACCATCTTCCTCATCACACTCATCTAACTTTGACAGTGGATTTCTGTGACTAGCATTCATGAGCCCGAACTTGCTGAAAGATGGTAATTCAGATGCATCTGAACCATCTTCGCTGTCGATAGAGAACTGGGTGATGCCATCATTGTCATCTTCAACTCCGGCTTCTGGAAGAAATAGCTCTCTTTTCTTGACCCACTTCCTTGCCTCCATGCAAAGAAGCTCAAGCTCACTTGGCTCCTCTTCTTTCCCAGTGAATTGCCTACTCATCATCTCTCCTATCTCTGATAAGCAGAGGCCAAATGCTGCAGCTTCTTTGAGAAATATTGTTGATAGCACCAGCACCCTCAGACATGCTCCACGGATAAAGGGCAGCTCCAAGCGAAGCATTTCAGCATCTTTTACAGGATCCAGATTTGCAATGTATTCGAGTTCCTCCTCAGTGAAAGGAATGGATGCCTGTGGCCAGTGAATCCATTCAAAGTAAGGGTCTTCTAGACTTTCTGGAAGACAGAGACCATGGTCAATAGGAATGAGTTCAGTCTGCACTCCAAAATTGTCAGGCCCAGGTCCAAGCTTCCTAACCAGAAGATTTCCTGCGTGCCTGTCCGTGTTGAATATTCTGATGTCAAGTATGCCAATCCTGTGCACTGCAGATACAGGGAAGCTTGATGTCCCATGGTCACTAGCATCATAATCATGAGCAATAAATTGCTGCAATGATGCAAGCTTGCTCACAGCCTGCAATTTGTTGTGGAAGACTTTACTTTTGCAGCTGACAGTATCATTCACATTGAACACAGAGTGCGTGATCTTGACCAGCATTGTGGGTGGGACATTTGCAAAGTTATCATGGTCAAGAAGGTAAGCAGCAACCTCTCGGAGCCCAGTCTCACCGACCGGTACTGATCTTTTGAGGCCTGGCAGTCCAAGGGTCTTCCCCACAAAACCTTTAGGATTATTTGGAGCAAATGGTTCTTCATCTGTTGGCTTGACAATTGCAACACGTTCCCCGTAAATGTTCTTGAAGTAGTATGCGCCACCCATGCCACTATTAACAGGTACCGGGTCAACACCATTCCTTATGGCTTCCACAACATCCTTAGCAAGCTGCTTCATCCGAGAAGAGGGGCTCAAACATCCAAGGATTTCAATGGGTTCGCTGTGATCTTGCTCCTGCACATCATGAGCAGTAGGAGAGAGGCAAGGAGTTGAGCTGCTCCGGTGCATTTGATTCTTTCTGAGGAGCAGTGGTGAGTCATTGCGAATACTGCTGAGATCATTATTCAGAACCAGATCACCAAAGGTCAGTGAGCTCTCCTCTGTGGGTACCTTGAGGGCTACCTGGAGCTTCTTTTTCACAGTGTGTGCATTTTCTCCCCTCTCCAGTTCAATGCCCAGGACATAACCATTTTCAGTTTGGACAAAGACTCTTTTCCAACTACATGATCTCCCCTCAGTTCTGCTGCTTGCAGGATATTCACTGCTGAAGCTCCGATCCAGTACTGCAACGGCCATCTGTGTCTGAACAGGACAATCCAAGTCCCTGGACATAGAGTGGCTGAAAGAAGCTACCTTTATCTTCTTGCCCTCCTCCTCTCGTCTACTCCACCAAGGAAGCAAACAAACAGGCAGCAAGAGGAAGAAAGGCAGAATCTTCCAACTGATCACTGCTGAGCAATGGAGAATAGATTATAGAGCAAGGCGTCTCCACCAACTCCGCGTCAACTGGAAGCACTTTATCGCATAATTGAGCAGCAAATATCCTGAGAACGAAGAATTGAACCATGAAACCTAAAATATTTATAAAAAAAAGGGTAGCTTTTCAACATTCACAGGTTTAAGTAAGTTTAGGGCAAAGCTAGGAAGTATCTAAGACAACCATCCATGGTACAAAAGCAATTCAAGGGAAAATATATGGATATTTGACACAATAAATTGTCTACAGTGCTGCCTTAATCGAGCCTCAACTTGTTTCAACAAACAAATGTCTTTAGATCATCTGTACCGCTGCAAGCGTCAATCTAGTTTCCGAAATTTTGTAACTATAGTTCCGTAACACCGAGCACATCTTGCCAAGTTGGTTTACTTCTGGTTTTCATACTTCTCAGAGTCAGAGGTACACAACTACACAAGCCTTTTGTCGACAGCTATGGGAGTCATCAAAGCCGGTAAGAGAAATAGCTTGTACTACCATAGTTTTGTCCATCATGTATGACAGCAAGCTCCGGTCTGAACCCCGGACAGACAATATCATCAGTTGATGGTAAAATTTTAAAATATACGGCAGAAATCATGTGGAAAACACCCCGCCAATAACATACAGAAGGCCAACATAGAACAAACGAAACTCTTAGCAGTTCTAATTACTCCGTAAGTTAGATCGAGACTAGTTTTTTTTGGGGGGGGGGGGGGGGGGGGTCTGATGAAAGCCGGTCATAAGAATCAGTCAACCACACGGTGGAAACATGGTGATTTTCGAATGGTAAGTCTATAAAGCATAGTGTAGTCATCTAAAATAATCTCGATCACTACAAGTGCAGCAGATAGATTTAAATCCCATACAATACAACCATGAGTGAACCAGAATATAGATTAAAGGAAATGATCTCTGGAAAAGCTACACAGCTCCATTTAACAAATACCCCCAGCACACAGCAAATCGATTTCCCGTACACAGAATCAAAAACAAAATCACTCAAAATTCGATCCTAGAAATTCTCCACTTCTCTGCTACATCAACTTGTTCGCACTGCATGTAAAACGACAAAATACGAACTCACAAAAACAACTCCAAAAAAAACTCTCACGAACTGGCTGAGTCCTAAAACTCGGCGCAAAAAATCGATACATGAATAAAACGAGAGTTGCATCAAAATTTAGAGAGGGAGTGAACCGCACATGAATCTAACATATTCCGAAGTGATTAGACGAGAACCAGATCACACACATTTCGATCGACCAAAACCAAAAAAAAGTCACTGGGAAATCACGAAACTACACACGATCCCCAAACATTCGCAAATCCTGCACCGTTCACCGGCGAAATCCTCAGACAACGGCTTGAGGAACTGCGATCACACGCTAAACCGAAAACGAGAACACAACAAGCCGAAATCTCCCGCAGGGAACTCACATCCATCAAAGCACAACACCGTGAGACTCATCCGAACAAAAAAAAAATCCCGATATCTCCATCCCGCTGCCCGCTAGCCCCGCACAACACCGTGGTTGGCATGACATCCATCGTCCCAGGCAGCACACAAGCCGAGTGGAGGAGGAGGAGGGCAGGAGTCGCAGGCAGGCAGAACTCACCGGCGGGACGGATCTGGGCGCTCGCGGGCGGGGAAATGGCCGGAGCGCCGCCTCGTCCACCTCCGGCAGCGGGGATCCGGCGGGGGCGCGCGTCGCCGGCGCAGATCCGACGGCCGGCCGGTGCGCCGTACGCCTCTCCCGCCGCGGTGGCGCGTCCTTTTTTTTTTCTCTTTTTTTTTCGTTTTTTTTTCCTTTTCTCCCTTGGCCTCTGCGCGCTTAACTCGAAGAGGCCCTAGGTGACGGGTTAATCTAAACCGTGGTTAAGGCGATCCCCCTTGGCGCCATCTTATAGCCTTGCAATTTTGCGATAGGACCCTTCGAAATTTTACTATTTTGACGGAAAGGTCCTTTGCCTCCTGGGATCGCGACAAAAAGAGCGCCACTTGCGTTGCACGTCGCTACAACGTTGCTTATGTTGCAAAAACAAAACCGCAGGGTCGTGCACGGCCAAGAAAAATGAGAGGTAAGCTTCTTTGGATTGATCAAGGTGTGATGTTAAATCTTTGGGAGATAGTTCGAAGAATTGGATTTTTTTTCTTGTGGAATGGATGTGTTGAATTGTATCAGTGCTATATTACTTCACTTTTGTAGGTTGAAATCTATTGCTACGTTCATCTCAAAATATAACAAGTTTTAAATTGATAAGACATATTATGGTACTACAAATCTAAATAGGGTCTATATTATGATTTATCTCGTCCACTTAAATGTTGATATATTTTTGGATGAAGGGATTAGCATTTTAGTGAAACCACTAATTTTTATTAAAAAATCAATTATCATTTAAAGTTTGTGAATAATAAGGCATATATTTTAAGACTAATACTTGGATATATAGCACTGACGCTCTTTATTTGTTGTATGTGATGTGATTTCTTATCATTCCTTCAAATTTATCGAGGACATTCCTTAAAACCAACACAGATGAATTTAAACTATGCAATTAATTTTTTTCCAAATTTCTCCATATTGTTTTGCTAGTCATACATACACCTCGAACTAAAACACGGGGTGATCAAATTTTGGATATATTTTATGAATTATCGTGGTTGCTCGTTTCAAGTTTTAGTTTTGTCTATTTAGTCTACAGTTTTGCAAACCATTTGTCGATTATGGGAATTGGCAATGATAAAATGGGATAGCACATAAGAACTAAAAGTTGATGGATGATAAAGACAAGGATTTAGATAGATTCAGATCCTCTCGATGAGAGAGAATACCCTACTACTGTTTAGAGATTGTATACGTAGAGGAAAACGTAAACGGGCACGCATAAGTTTCCTAATCTACCACATAGCAGTACTCAATCAAGACTCTAGGCCCTGTCATAGAACACAAGACAATATTGCAACCAAGTACTACTCTATTACATAATGGCAAATTTTGCTACAGGACATCGCAATTGTGTGTATTTAGCTCAGGGACACCGCGAAAGTGAACATTTGGGGGGAAAACATCCCATAATCTTGGATATTTGCCCACGGACACCGCGCCGTCTCCTCTCCACTTGACGTGTTGACGTGGCAAACGGGAGGCTGTTTTTTGGCCCGGTCGGACGCAAATACCCCTCGGCCTTATCTCCTCATATCCACTCGCATATACCGCCGCCGTCGCGCGGCGCCACCCCCTCACCCATGGCGAGCTCGCCGGAGACAACCGTACCACCGGAGAGCACACACATGGGTTCACCTCCGCCATCCCATTCCCCTTCTCCTCCTCCTCCTCTCCAAGGAGACCACTCCCTACCAACCGACGCTCCACCGGAGCCATCCCCGCAGCCCCACCACGCCACCCCGATCTCGCCGCCGTCTCAAGGTCAGGCCACCAAGGAGCGACCCAGGGTGGAAGAACCGCAACCTCCGATCGATGGGACCCCCGGTGCGGCGGGCCCGCCAGCGCAGCCTTCGTTCTTCTCCTTGCTAGAGCTGGGTACCTCGGCGGCACCACCTGCACCCGCGGCGACGAGGCAGCCCGACTCCCCCTCACCCCATCCTTCCGCCGAGCCGTCGGTCGAGTTCTACCTCGGGTTGGCGGCGTCATCCCCTTCTTCCTCCTCGTACGAAACCGCGCAGGATGACTGGCCGGCGCCGCCGCCGCGTGCCCACTCCCCCACCACTGGTCTCCTCGCCGGATTCACCCTACACCGAGTCTTCCCCTGCACGCGATCGCTTCGGCGAGGAGGAGGGCTCGCACGCCGCACCCGAGCCGCCGCCGCTGACACCATCGGAGATAAGGCCAAGGGGTATTTGCGTCCGACCGAGCCAAAAAACAGCCTCTCGTCTGCCACGTCAGCAAGTCAAGTGGAGAGGAGACGGCGCGGTGTCCATGGGCAAATATCCACGATTATGGGATGTCTTCCCCCAAATGTTCACTTTCGTGGTGTCCCTGAGCTAAATACATACAATTGCGATGTCCTGTAGCAAAATTTGCCTTACATAATACATGGATCCGTCTCACCTCCTATCTCTAGTCGGATATGTAGGTCGTGTGTGTACCAAATACCCATGTTATCCACACCATTAATATTTTTAATCCACCCTTCTAGCCTATGTTTAAATAGGATATTTAATATAATTATTGTTGTTCCAACCCTTTGATATAAATTGTAAAGGTTAATACTGTTGTCACCTTTTTTTTTCATTGTTTTTTGTCTTTCACCATAGAAATAAAGTATTGAAGAGGAAAATATGCTAACCAAAAATACTGAAAAACCTATTGCATTATGTTGGAGTAATTTATTTATTGGACAACTAACATAAGCAATTGGTTCCCATTAAATAGAGAAGAACGCAATTGGTTCCCATTAAGTAGAGAAGAACATTACCCTAAAAAAAAGTACAAGAACATGTCCAAAAGTTATCGTCAAACAAAATTAATGCAAGTTCTTTTTTAAAGAATACTAGATATTTTTATAATATTAATAAATAGAATAGATGAACAAAGTCATGAATGATAGCTAAAAGTATTAGAAAGGTACAAAGTACCTTACCCCCAGTATACAACTACTCCCTCCATTGGGCTGTTCGGCTGTCATTCTTGCGGCAGCGCTCTGCAGCGCTTGGTTGTGCGGCTACAACTGGTCAACTGTGTTGCTTGCTGCTGCGAAAAATGGCAGCCAAACAGACCCATTTCAAAATATAAGACACAATCGTCCTTAACTCAAATATTAAGAAACAATTATTATCATTTCCTAATTTAGATCACTCTAATAAATACAATGCATGCATCCAATGGAGTTAGAGATCTTGAGAGTGAAGGATTTAAAAGTAATAATTCAATGGAAAAGAGGTCCTAGTCTTATACTACCTCCATTTTAAATATAGTAATTTTTATCTATAAATCTGGACATACAGTTGTCAAGATTTATTATAAGAGAGAGTACACGAGAACCTCTCGTTGTTCCTTATACTATGAAATGGAATTGAGAGAGTACACCATAACCTCTCGTTAAACTACAAGACACCCAGCGTACAACTACAAGCCCACGAACCATGGACGCGGCATGAAATTAAAGCGAAGCTAATCCTTAATTATCACAGATGTGGACACATGTCAAGTCCAACCACAGTCTCCTCACTCCTAAATCCTAATAAAGGGATGCACAAATTGTACTACTACTAATTTGAAACAAGAGAAAAACATCGTATAGTCCTTGTCCACGAAAAGGAATTCTTGGGCGTCCTTGTATGCAAAAGCGATCCTGAATTCCCGATACTTTCCTGGGCAGCGAGCAATGGAAAAAAAAAAGAAAAGAAAGCGTCTCCCAATTACTTTCTCTGACAGAAAACGAAAAGAGAAAACGATTGCAAAATTAATTAATTCATAAATTATATTAACTGGGGGGATCTGCTGCTTCGCGTCGGGATCGGAGCCCGGAAGCCTCTAGAACCGCGCGTGGTGGGGCCCCACCTGGCAGCGTCCTCCCCGCCCCGCCATTGGGCCACGTGGCGTCACTCGAGTGGCCGGTGACCACACCGCGCGTGGGGCCCACGTGGAAGCGGGCGTGGGTGGCGCCGGCCGCTCACCCCGCGGTGCGCGGTGAGAATGAGATACCGCCGCGCGCGTCGCCCGCGCGAAGCTGCCGGCGATGGGGGCGGCAGCGAGGAAATCCGGCCTGCTGGTTCACGCAAGGAAGGACGGTGAGGTAGGACCGTGCTTTGATTGGGGTGAGTCTCCGTCCCTGGGCACTCACAGTCACAGACGCACAGTGATCGAGTGATACTCCGGCACGTGCCTGACTAGGCTTGCTGTGAATGTCGCTGTGGATTTCGTACATGTCAGGACTATAATTTACATTTCCTAACATGGAAAATATCTACCAGTAAAAATCGGATCTAAGAGTTATATAAATTTATGAAAAAAAAGTTAAGATGAGTATATAGGCATGAAATACATTGGCCCCAAATACATTCATACCCTCAAGTCCAAACTCAATTTCATTTGAGATAAACAAAAATTTAAGTGAACTGTATCATGTTACTATTTACCTAAAACTTATTTTTTTTTAACTCCCAAATGAAATTTAGTTTTAACTTGAAATTTGATGAGAATACATTTTATGGCTACGCCTATCTCTATTAATTTTTTTATGAATTTAATGAACTTTTAGGTCTGGTTTTCACGGGTTATCACTTATTTACTTATTTAATAATTTTTACAGGACATGTCCTCTTCTTAATATTATTTTAAAGTGCTTATTCGTGGACATAGAGCTTATTTGGATTAGGCCAAGTTTTGCTATGCTAACATTTTAACAACTTTCAAAATATCACATGGATATTTATTTCAATACAAATCTTTGCCATATGATTGAGAGGAGATGAAAGAAGAGGATTGAGAATATATGCAAAACAAAGTGATTCATTACACGTAATTAATTAAATTTTAATTATTTTAAATTTAAAGAAGGGATTGATATGATTTTTTAAATGAACTTTCCTATAAAAATTTCTTGTAAAAAAGACATTGTTTATTAGTTCGTGAAGCGGGCGCACGGAGAACGAGTGAGTTTTTCTTCCAATCCTCTGCTACCGAACACTGAAATAATTGGTCCAATCAAACTAACCCTTATAAAACCTCTTTGTGATGATTCTTTAAAAAAAACTCATTCACGGTAAAAGATTTTAAAACTGAACTATTATGGTAAAAGGCACTCCCCTCGTTTACTCTTCAGTTATAAGTAGTAGCCAAAATTCTTGGCTTAGAGTTAGTTTTGAGGGTTTTTTTAATTTAGTTTTTAAGTACTTGCTTTT